ATTATTTGACTCTCAATTTGGCTTCGCAAATCCTTTACTTCGCGTGGATAATCCATTAATTTAATCTACACTCCTCGTTCGAAATGAATTGAAAATGTCCACAGGGAGAATCGAGCACAATGGATAACTCACAAGGAATATAATGGCAAGGCTGCAATTTTTCAACTTTAGCTCGCAAATCTACTGAAGCAGTCTACTACTTCTAGCTTATCTTCTTATCAAATACGCCCCTAAGTAGTCGTAGACTGACTGCGATCAGACGCTACGGATTAAACTTTTCACCGCGGCAACGAATTGAAGATGTTTATCTTATTTATTTTTCTTGGTGTACTTTGCGACCTCTTTATAGCCAATTTGAGTAAAAGCTAAGATTTGAATTTTATACAATTTATTGACCATTCGGTATTGAACATTACGTGAATAGAGTACGTGAACAGAGTAGTGTCTAGTAAAAAAAAATTAATTCGATTTAAACCACAGAAGAATGAAGATGAAAAGCAATGGTTCATTAAATTTTTAAAAACTTTGTTTCAAAAGTCGTCAAGATGTAACCTATATCAGTATTTGTTATATACCCTACACAAAAAAGAGGAAAGTAAGCAACTTGTAAAAAAAAGAAAAAAAAATCGTCAGTCGCTGTCACCATCTACGTCAAGTACGGGACGGATGAACCAATCCTTCACGACAAATGGATCACTCCTTTTTTTCTTCTCGGATTACAAATATCCCAAAGACGGGTGAGGTAAACGATCGCTTTTAATCGTACTTGAATATAGAAAAAAAAGCATATTTGATTTGATCTGTAAGATCAATCATGTAATTGAATGTCGCCTGTCCTTAATTTAATTCGCAGTCAACTGAATTCTAAATATTTACTTTTATTTGACAGTCGATTTACTAGCCTAATAACCGGCGACATACGTAAATAGAAAAAAAATTATACTTTTCATGAATTACAAGCACATCAACGAGCATTCAGCACGCAAAAGGTTTGAGCATTAAAGCGAATGTTAAGGTTCAGCAAAATGATTATTATGCATTGAATATATACCTGCCGTGATGCAGCGCCGTCGGTTCGTAAAATCGTTAACAGAACTTTTCCTCTGGCAGTGGTGCGATCGCGAAAATGTTTACTGCACGCAACGAAAGTCCTATATGAAACTACTACTTAACAGCAACCAGATTCAAGCTTTGGCGAATTTGCAGGTAAAAGCCTACGCCAGGCGGCGCTTAATTCGAGTCTAATTTCATTAACCCCTTGACGCGGGAACAATGTAAAAAGACTAGGGCGCGGGCGAAATTCTTTGAAGCTCCACGGGTAGAAGAACAAAGCCCAATTCTTTGGCCTTTTTCCATGCGAGCGGATCGATGCGCGCGGAATTTCCAGCTCTTTCGCCAGGCGACGTGCGGCTTTCCATCGCGCAAACGAACCAATTCTCACGAGTTAGTTTTTTGAGCAGACCGGGCAATAAAACGTGTTATCTCGCGTATGCCGACAGGATGCGTGTATAATTGTACAGATAGCGCGGCGTTATTTTCGTTAATTAACCGCTTGTTGGAGCTGCAGTTTGAGTTCCGCAATCGATTTCGCGATAACAATTTCCTCCGAAAATAAAAACAATCATCTTCAATAATTAATATGTGCATTGAAAAGTTCATCATACGTGGGCGACCTGATTCGCGCCAAAAAGAATCCAGTTAATAATTCGAACATTCTGCCCACGAGAGAGTTAGCGTTAGTTAGAAAGGAACGAGGCTTCTAATCAACGAAAATCGCCTGATCGAACCGTACGCTACGCGCGCTTGTACACATTTTCTCTGTTTCTTTCTTTTTTAACTTTTTGGATGTTCTAAAAAGATGATAAAAAATGATAATAGTAGATTATACACTATTTTCAACAGCTATATCTTAGCTTCAAGCGAAAGGTCAATCGACAAGGTCAAAACGAATACATACTCGATTGATAAACAACCAACTTTTCATCTCGAATCACGGATTGCGGAATGAATCACAATTAATCACATAGAAACAAAAAGATTCTAATTAGTTAGCTAATAAGAGTCCGACCCTTCTCCACCACCTATATACACCCCAACTCATTAATACACACTCGATTCCCTGCCAGCCTCGAAACCACGCGCACTCGTGTAAAATTATAATCAGCCTCCATCTGAAAACCTTGAGCGCCACCCGCAATAACGAATATAAATTTCGTTTGAAAATGAACGATTGAGAGGAACTTACTTGGGGAAAACTCGTCGTTGGTGAGCTGAACGCAGCGCCGGCAATGAGTGTCTCGTCGCCTTTTGCACTCGCGCTGATTTCTCTCCTACCCTTCGCGCCTCTTTCCTTTCTGTTTATTCACACTCGCGCAATTGCCGACGCATTGTGCATCGTTGATTTTGCTGGTTTTTTTTTGCGCGGCACTGCACGCGCGTGCCTTCCCACGGGGGTCCTCTATACCCGAGCTCCCGGCTGACTACTTCGTTTCTCCTCAATGGGACACACTTTTGTACATTCGAGCGCACGTCCTGGCGAGGCTCATCGGTGTTGGCGACTGAACACACTTGCATATGCTTTGGGAACACTTTGTGTTTGTGGCTTGGCTAAATTCTGCGCTTTCCTTGGCTCCGCTTGTGGCTTCGTCTGGTTAGTTTTCGTTGTTAGAACTCGCGCTGAGAGCCAACGAGAGGGTAATCTCTGCAGAACATGTTATTTTCTCTTTTTAGTCGTAAAGTTATCGATGCCAGAGACCGAGAAAAAGATATTCTCTGCGAAGGGATGTCAATTCCCATCGCTGACTGAAAGACGTACGCAAAAATAGCAATGTAACGGAAAAATTAAATGAATTTAGCTCGTCAAGTTTAAAAGGATTTTGCAAATAAAGTTTCATGATTCTAGTGAATCCGCCTCGCACGCGCGTTACTTGTCGAGCACGAAGCATGAAAGACGGAAAGGTAAAGAACGTTAATTAATTTCGCATTCCATAACAATTTAACTCGTCCCGTCGAGCTCGGACGTCGCTGTTCCGCGACGATATGCCGTGTAACAAAGAAAGGTGGTCGGTCGAGTGGAAGAAAAGAAAATTCGAGGCAGTACTTTTTTTTAATTACGGAGTTGCCGCTAAAAACACTTGCTTCATTGTGTGCGCGGTCGGCATAACTTTTAATTGCCATTTTCTTGTGCTTTCCGCGCGCAAAGGAGGCTTTCAACTTTGCTCGATCCCGCCATTAGGTTCTATTTTTTCTTTCGATTTGTTTCTTTTGCCATATTTCACTCGAGCTTAAATATGAGTTTCGCCGCCGTGAAGAAAGAGCAAAAGAACATTTTCATAATTCGTATAATGAAAGTGCATCGATCGCTTTTCAATCGATGCCTATTTTCCCCGAGTCTGGCATTTTCTTCATGTCCGATTAAACAATCTATTTTTACTAAAAAGATATTGCAATGCACGATTTTCTTTAGCCCCCCCCCCCCTTGTTGGCTTTACCCCTCACGCCCAATAGCCTCGAAGAACTTTAGAAGAAACTTTGAAAAAATTATAAGCACGCGGCGCGTAACTGGTTTTTTTCCTTTTTTTAATCTCTCGTGTAATTTCTATGCTTATCAATTCTTGAGCGTTTTAACTATATCGAGCGCAAATCATCACACTCGCACTGCAAAGTCATGTAATAACCAGACGACACTACAAGAAAAGCAAGCAAGCACTATGCGTTGTAAGAATCTACCTTCGAGTTAAATAAACACACTGCAGATGGACAAAATAGCAACAAAAAAGCAGTCCGAGCAAATGAACATCCGTCGACCGCGTTGTAGACAACGTCGTGTTGCACTGGCGACCACTCTGCTCGCATGGAGCACGCGGCGGCAAAAGTACCACCTCCCCACCCTCCTTTGCGCGCCGACGCTTACAGCTACTTGCGATAACTTCGGACTATGGCTTTTCTGTTCTCTTGTCGTTGTTTTGCGCGACGCGACGATATGTGCCGGATACTTTCGGAAAACGTACTGCGTGCTAACCTCGTAAAGTTTTCTCGGTCACTGGAAATTTTTGCGGTACTTCAAAGTGGATTTGCAAGACGTAATTGCGTTTCCTTTTTTTCTGGCAAGGAAATTAAAGGTTTGATTAATAGGATGTCCTTTTTGTTCGTGTATTAGGGAGCTTTCGATAATTAATTGTTTATTATGAAAGCTTTCTTTACGTACACAAACGATATTATGCGTGTTCGATAATGTGTTTTGGAATAGATTTTACTTTTCAAATAAATAAAAATAAATAAAAATTAAATAACTAAAAAATGTAAATGATGTCATACAAACAAATCTACAGATAATTACTAAGTCATGGACTGGTTCCAACGAATTTACAAAGAAAAGTAATACTCATAAAGGCTACACAGGATACACAATTGCAACCACGCAACGTTAAGACAGTGAAACATTGAAAAGAACAGAAAAGGTATAACAAAAAGAGGTACATAGTTCCCTGACCTTTAAAACCCAGCAGTAGTAAGCAAGAAGTGCACAGAGACTGTTTAATAGTTCGAGTGAACGACTATTTTCTCCTATTCTTTTCCGCTTGTTTCCTTTCAAAGCCCAACAACCCCTTTATTTTTATTCTGTTAGAGATCTTACAGTAACAAGCATCACATTTCAGGTGAACATAGACGTAGAAGGTAGCCTCGTATGTTTTTTAAATAATTTATATCAAATGCGCGCGTAACATTTATAAAATTTAACACAACTGTACTTTGAGTTAAACTATGAAATGGATTATTATTATAAAAATATTACGTTTAATGTTACCTTGAGGGTGATAATAAAACTTTGATTAAAGACAAACTAAAGTTTACGAAATTTAACCAAAAGTCAGTTGAGTGAAAATAAAAATCTATTTGATAATTTATTGTCAAAATTAGCAAGCTGAAAATGTTTAAACATGGTCAGTAATTTTTATAAACCTATGGGTTACTTACAGGATACAGTTATTTACACGTACGTTTATTCAATAGATGTTTTTATTGAAACGTAAAACTTATACATAAGATTCCGGAAATTCGAACGTAACATCTCGACCAGTCAGTTTTTTGTAAACGCCGGCAAAGGTGTCAACCTGCAACCGAAAGTTTAACATTGATTTAGAACTTGGTAATAGCAAAAAAAAAATTGATGATGTACTGGATCAACAATCAATGGTGGTTATTCAAGCAAAATCAAATAACAACAAATTAAAAACTTCAATTATACATATTGACAGATCTAAATAACTTATTCTAATATTTAACTTTAGTAGAATTAAAGTTAGTTTCAAAAATAGCTTGTAAAATACTTTTAGTTCAATAATTATTTATCATTAATCTATTTAAAATAAAAAAAAAACCTAAATAATGAATATAGAGATATGTCTGTTGATGAAGATATACATTTTCCAAACAAGAATTCATAAAAATAGTGATAATTATTAATTAAATAGAATTAAATTCTATAGCTAAATAACTATTTTAATTCTGTCATTTGTTGAAATAACCTTGAGCAGAATGCTTAGCTAATAAATTGAATTAAAATATTTAAAAATAATAACTCACTTTGTGTTCAATATTGGTCTGTTCATTCTTGTCTAAATGAACTTTAATGAGCTGTGATCCATCAAGCTTAACTCGAATTCTCTTTCCTACAATTTCAACAGGATAAACGAGATCTTCAAGAAGTGCATCATATACAGCAGTCAGTGTGCGGCTAAAATATTAATGAATATTACAAATCAATTATTTTTAAGAATATTTTTGAAATAAATCACAGTACAGCAAAAAATCATTCCTCTGGTAGGTTACTAAACCTTATTTGAACCTTCCTCTGGTTTAATATGAAATAATAAAATAAATAAATAAATTATAATTAAATACCTTCTGGGTCTCTTTTGTTTATTCTTAGTCCTAGTTTTCCTTGTGGGCTTAGGTAAGATTTTCCTCTCACCAACAAACATAACATGCTTGCCTGAAAATTTTTTTTCTAGTTCACGTACTAACCTAGTCTGAATCTTTTGAAAAGCCTTTAGCTTAGGCATAGGGACATAGATGATGATAGACTACAACAAAAATATGAAAAATTAATTCATTGTTAGCTCATTGTTTAAAACTGTACAACATTTTATGGAAACCATGTGAATATTGTTGAAAAAACTTAAATGGACTTACTATAAACAAATGGACATACCTTTTTGTTATTGGTCTCAAGTTCTTTAGCTTTCGTTATATACAATTCACGAAGCTGTGATTTCAAATCACTGTTTGTTTCTAGTTCTAGAAGAGCTTGGGAGATGCTAGCCTCAAACTGATCAGGCTCACCACCCCCACTTTTCATAATTTTGGCGTTCGACGGGAACATCTGTAAAATAACAACAATTATATAAACTTGTATATCGCACTTCAAAATAATTAAAGTTAGTAATGCAAAATCTTGAAACAACTCCTATACACTTGATATATAGTGAATTATAAAATTCATTTGTGACGTACAAAATTGAGGACTAGAACGATAATAATCACTAAACTTACAGTTAATGAAATTAATTCGCTTTTTTTAATATCTGAACGGTTTTTCGTGAAATCAACGTAAAGGTTAAAATATTGTTTACGTCTTTAATGTTGATACAGGAACTTTATAACTTTAAAAGGCACTATGAAAATGTAGAAAAAAGATTTAAACAACTGTGATTAGATGTTTTCACAGTAGAACTATTTAATTCACAATAAAAAAAAACGAACAACGAACATCTGATGAAGCGGCGGTACACACGCGTATCAGTCAACGAGTTGGTAAATCCGTTTTTATCCGATGCACAAATGCTCATCAAAATATCTAATTGATACTAATAATTTCGCGGATGCATGTAAGATTATTCGTCAAGTTGCGTTTTAGGATTTTGCATACTTTTATCGAAAAAATCAACAATTTTTCACAATATATTCGCGATTACACACCTTGTCTCGTTATGAGCCAGCCACGTAAAAGAGTGACACGAACTACGGACAAATGGAAGATGCGAAAACAACGGTAACTATTTGAGGTTATGTTAACTATCGCCATCTTCCGTAGCCATATCGAAACATATATTTCGACATTCCGTGCGCAAAGTATGTCTTTCCCGCACTCTTGGCGAAAAACGAGTGTTGAAATAGTACATTACGATACAAGTGCGGGAAAGTAGATTCTTGTCTCGTGTGGCGTTTACACCCGAGCGAGGCGAGGGTGGAAAGGTACACGAGACGAGAAACTCTTTCCCGAACATGTGCCGTACCGTATTTTTTATACGTGTGCAAAGTGCAATTTTCAACGCACGTTTTCTGCCGAGCGAAAATGAGTACAAATACATTAGGATTTTTGTCGGAAGTAAATATAATTGACAATTACAAAAATTTAATTTATTTAAATTTTATACACAGACACAAATGAATTCAAACTATTAGTAAAATATATAATATAATATTATGCGATATTGTCACATGAATAAATAATACAAAAGATAAAAACATTCCACATAAAATCTTTGATCAACAAACTAATCACATGATAGATGTTTTTTTATTATTATTTAAGTAAAATTTTATACAGCAATAGTACAGAGACGTGTTATTTGTTTGCGTCTAAACCGATTTCGTCAAATGATTCCGATGCCCATATGTAATTTACCTTAAACTTCGTTAGTCTCAATTATAATTAGAATAGAGATTAAGCTCAAAAAAACAATCAACAAGATGGTAAAGCTAACATATTTATGGCACGCGATTGAAAATTGACAACCCACAAACATGTTAAGTAACAAGAATGAATTAGTAACAAATCCAAGCGAACCATCTGTTAAGTATTTAGTTTCGTCGAGTTTTCACTTTGTGGATTTGACTGCATCATAAGATAATTCAAACGACGCCAACGAATATCTTCTTGGTCGGGAGTTGGTGGTGCTGTGACACATTCCAAACTCAATTGAAGTGCTCTTCTGAGATCATCGTCTTCCTCGTCATCCGGACTATCAGTAGTCGTAGCAACAGAACCAAAATTTGTTGACAATGTGGAAGGATGTTCCAACCGAGATATAAGATTTCTATCCCTCTGCTCTTGCTCGTAATTCTCTAAACTCAATTTGAGAGCTTTCTGCAACTCGTCGTCCTCATCGTCATCCTCGACTGTGTGAACTTGCTGGCGATCATCGATCCTAATAATAGGAATTATCCTATCGCGTGGTTGCCTTGGTGTCTCAGAGATTATTTCAACCTCTGGTCGACTGTCTATTTGTGAAGTTGATGGAACTACACAACTCTGAAATGCATGTGCTACTTCCATAATTTTCTCCTCATCTTCAGTCATAAGATCTAATCTGTATCCTTTTCCTGCAAATTTTACTTCTTCTTTGCCCGATGTACTTGGCACATTGGCCTTTAATGAGACTATTGAACTTTTTGAGGGAATTATAGGATTTTTAGAGAGAACGCTGTCAGCTGTACATTTAGGAATGTTTCCATTGACAATGAAAATCGAATAACCTGTGACAAATTATAACAATATAGCTTCTGAGAGTTGACTTAAGAAATTTTTATATGTTGCCAATAGCTGACTCACCTTCCTGAATAAGTTGTGCTAAATACATGGCAAGGTATGTGTCTGATATGAGTTGAGGTCCACTCAGCATCGAGTTCAAATTGAACCACTGATTACCTAACTTCCTAATTGTGAACCAGTGGCCTTTGTAATTACAAATATATGCTTTCATTTGGCTAAAAAGTAAAAAAACAATTTAAATAAGTTTTACACAATCTGGTGAACAAAATGAGTACTTTAGAAAAATAGCAGACTTTTTTAGCAAAAGTTTTATACTATTTTTCGAAGCATCAAATTGGACACGACTTTAGAAAACCTACGATGGTTCTTTTTGAGCCATCAACGCTACTGGCTCTGTACTGGTATAAGGGACTAACTCCAGTTCATAAACTTTTAAAGCCTGAGTTATCACTTGTACAGAAAAGTATCCACTGTCGTCCATGTTTCCCGAGGGTTGCTGAAACACATAACAAAATAACCTTGAAATAATAGCCTTATAAATATTAGACAAACAATAATGCATTTAACATGTAAATCAAGAGCCAAGTATAAAATAACAATGTACAAAAGAAGAAAATACCTTAATGAATCTCTGATAATCATCGGTATCCTCACCACTCTCAGCCATAGCTCTCCGTTCCTCAGCATCTAATTGTTCAGCAATAGTAGCCAAATCAACAGCATTGAAAATTTGTTCTTGAAGCAATGCATTAAGGCAGTGCTTTGCACAAAGATATCCCTCTTGCTGCAACAATTCGTCAATGGGTTCATAATTAGCGACAGGTAAACAATCGCAAGATAGAAAACAAAACAACGTTACGTCGATGAAAGCGTGCATGCCATTGTTTCATTTAATCGAAACGTAAACGACAGTTTACCTTTTCATGAAATATGCTTTCCATGACGAATGATAATTTGAAGGTACAGATATAAGGACGATGCTCGCGACAAGCTTAAACTTTTGACAGCTTCGTCGACTAGTTGGCAGTTCTCTATCTCTTTCTGGCTAACCGAAACGGGCGAAAAATTGCACGACAGATGATTCAGTCGTGTAAATACATAATACTGGTAGGCGCACCTAGCACAACGCACGCACACGTCTCCTCCAATGATTCCCTTGCTCTTTTATATATATCTGTGTTTTATCTCCGTCGCTTTTTTCTTTCTTTTTATGTTACGCAGCCAGAGCGCAGCCTTTAACAATGGAGATGCTCTAGATGTTACAAAGACAATATAAAGAGAGCAAGAACCAGGAGCAACGCCAAGCCAACACTAAACGCGGACGCGGGACGACGCGGACGCGGACACGCGGTCACAAACGGCGGACGCCAGACGGACGCTTTATATAATTCATATTGACAGATATGGCGGTGCGAGTTTTTCAAGCGGTAAATTTTAAAAAGTCAGACATTAACTATAACGGTAAGGTGTTAATTTTCATTTAATTTTTTTCAGAAAAGCATTATTTTGAAAGAATTATTTATTTTAATACTAATTATATTACAATGTATTTGTTTAAAAAATATCATGTATACAATCAAGAGAAATTTTGCAATTAAAACGCAATACATTTATCATAATTATAGTTATTTTACTCGTATGAAAAAACATTAAAAGATTAATCAGTAATATATATTTTCGACTGTTTTTATGCAGGTAATAGCGTCTGAATACCACAAAAAATCACAATAACACCAAAATATGAAATAACTTAAAACTTGGAATGCATGTTTGAAATCACAAATACACCTCAAACAATACTATCATATTAGCATTGATAAGAAAGACGCTGATGTAGTTCGATTTATATTCGCTGATTATAGTTTATAGAAATTTTCAAATAATATAAGAGAAAATGAACGATTAAAATAAACAATTTAAATAATATTCTGGTAAAAAGCTCAATACGTAGTACACAACGTGCGCATCTCTTAATCGCTCGCCCGTGCTCACAAAATGATCAGTCTCTCTTTTATTCAATAACTCAACGGCAATATTCTAATAGAATTACAATAGTTATTCGCAATGTACCCGTACTGTAACTAGGTTACAGAAACAGTCTTCTGCGCTGATAAAAAATTGCAGTCTCTCTGGCCATTAGATCTGCAACTACTTCCATGTGATTATTTTCTTCTGCAATGTTTGATGCTTTTTTGTTTTCGTTATTTAAAGCCTCCACATTAGCTCCACTATTCATTAATAAATTGACAATAACATTTGAACCTATTTCTGCCGCGTAATGCAATGCTGAATTTCCATTATTGCATTTAAAATTGATATTGGCATAAAATTTTAATAACTCATTAATGATTTCTACATTGGCGGTTTTAGTTGCTAAATGTAATGCTGTATTTCCCAAATTGTTTGGAGAGTCAACTGCAGCTCCACAAATCAACAACTGCCTAACCACGTCAATATGCTGATAAAGTACCACTACATTTAATGGAGTGTCTCCGGTTTCAGATCTTGGATCAATTGAAGCTCCACGTCTGAGCAACTCTTCGGCGATCTCTCTATTACCCGACTTAGCTGCGAGATGCAATCCTGTCATTTGTTCTCTGGTTGGAAAATCAATGACAGCTTGGCATTCTAATAACTTTATAACCGCTTCGAGATGATTGCTTGTTATTGCATAATGTAATGCGTTACGGCCATTTACATCTACAAAATCGAGAATTGCTCCGTTTCTCCATAATACATCGATAACGTGTACCTTGCCACCTAACGCTGCAAGATGTAATGGCGTAAGTCCATTGCGACTTTGGACATTAACATTAGCTCCATACTGCAGTATGATCTCAATTATTCCTGGATAACCCTTCTTTGTAATACAGTGTAAGATTGAGAATAATCGACGATAGTTGGTAGTATCAACAATAGCTCCACATTCCAATAATTTTCGAACAATGTGACCGTGGCCATGTGATGCTGCGAGAAATAACGGTGTCTTTCCTGAGGGCGATTTTCTTATGTCAGTTGCAGGATCAACCTGACAACCTGTCATCAACAGCAGTTCGACAACGTTCATATGGCCATTTTCTGCTGCCTCATGAAGCACTGTCATTCCATTGTTGTCGACAATCGTAATATCAGCTCCGTTATCTAATAATAGCTGAACGATGCCAAATTGACCATACCGTGCTGCATAATGCAGTGCAGTACGCCCTTGCTCATCTTTCAGATAAACTTTAGATCTATCTAACAGCAACTCAGTGATAATCCATTGACATCCTCTTCTTGCCGCATAGTGAAATGCTGTAATTTGATGAAGATCCGGATGGAGATTAATGACTCTTTGTAGTGCTGGTCCAACGTTAGCCATTGCGTGATTTTCCCTTGAAAATCTTGCTGCTAGATGCTTCTGCAATACAATGACGATAGAACGATTCTTACACAGCGATCGGAAACAATTATAAGATTATATGCCAATAGTTACGAAATAAAGAAGATACGTCGGAAGAGTCAGAAAAATTAAGATATATTGATAACAATGTTGATGCTGATATTTTACATTCGCCCAATAATTAAGCTCTTCCTTTTACAGCCTTCCAGCATCGACTGTCGTTTCTCTGCCGCGACATGTACATACATGCTTGTTCGTCATACTTACAAGCCTGGCGCGCGCAACTGGCAAAATTACACGGTCGTAATATGAAAGAAGCCAGAGATACGCATCATTTTCTTGAGCGACGCACGACTCTGCAAATATTACTCTATGCCAATAATGCTGATCGCTATTACGTACTTCCACTCCCTTCGATCGATCGTAGAACTTAACGCGTATCAACGCGGAAATTCCAATCAAAAATAAAGAGGACTATCGGATGGGCTTGAACATCAAAAAGCAAATGGCAGACAACTTACTGTTTTTACACAATGGAATTTTATTTTAGACTGATGTTAATTAAGATTAACCGTTCGAGGGCCGCTCTCTCATTTCGTTGCTGATCCCTACTCTCGCGGTTTTCACCATTGGCTTTACCGACGCACATACTAACTAACGTTTACACCTTCGCCATCTATACGTTATATATAATTAGCTATTCAGAACTATATAATTAGGCGAGTTATCAGTACTTATATATGGTGTTTTCTTTTTCATTTTAAAAGGATCATAATAATTTTAACGGTCAATTCAATGACAATTTATTTGTAGTGTTCTACAAAGCATCCCAAATCATTGTTTCACACCTCCAGTTTAATCAACATTTAATATCTACAAAGACACCATCGCTCGTAATAATGTCAGGTTTAGCCATAGTTGTGACTTCAATTAAAAACTCCAAGTTATGTTTCAGCCTTCGTTCTCTGCTAGCCGTGAAGCTAATATCACGACCATCCTCTGAGCAGTTAATCTTGTAAACATTCTAGAATTGCTGGTAAACATATTTACTAATGCCCATCCATAGTATGTGAAATTTACAACTAGTTTACAAAAAATCCTACACTCAAGAGTTTTTACAATAATAAGTTGGATGTTTATTAAAAGTATGTCTTTATTAAATAAAATGAAGTTTATTATATAATGAAAATACAACAAAATTGTATAACTTTAACTGGCAACAGTTAATAAACTATTGTTATTGCACTTTTATATTTTCAGCAAAGAGTATCCAAAAGTCTCAAACTTATGTACGCTCCATAAGATAGAACATGCACGGAAAAGTAGAAAACAGATCACTTGCACGCAATGAAAAAATTGTAATTACCAGGTAACGTGTTGAACATTCCAAACTAACGCAATAAACTGCCATTAAAGATATTCTCAAGATGCTAACGATTTTACAAAGTATAAATATAATGAACAAATTGTATAAACTTGCTCTGTTCATCATTGTAAACTCATGCGCACACATTAAATTCCAAAGCATAATGTAATCAATATGTCTACTGTATTAAATTAAATACTTACACTTATCTCTGTACTGTAATTCATTGTCGTTAATGGCCTAATGTCGATGCAATATTAAATAAATAAAAAAAGTAAAAAATCAAATTTTCTTTTCTTTAAAACTCTGATTATTTTTATAGCCATTTTAAAGTGAAATTGAATATACAATCATTTCAGCTATATATATCTACAGTTCGTTTTTCAGATTTTTCTTCGGAAACTTCAAAAACTTCTTCGTACTTCTTTTAGTATTTCTTCGATTCTACTCTGACGATACAAAATCTCGGCTATCAAACGTTGTGAATTTAAAATACGTTGGTGTTTTGGTATTATCTTATCTCTTTCTGTTTCGACTTTTTTTAAAGCTTTGTCATATTTTTTTTATTAAACAATACTGATGGGATACTCCCCGAGGGTTCTTTTTTTTTATTCCTAAATCTCTTTAGATAGGTTTGACAAACTTCTTCCAATTTATTGTGGCTTTGTAAGATTACGGCAATAGAATACTTAGTATTTAAAATTTCACAGAAATCGAGTGATAATTTATCAAACTTTTTCAAAGCCACGGCAAAACCTTAAAATCCTATGTGTTTAAATTTAAACGTTTTAAGTGTGCAATTGTGATGTCACCGATAAGAAATACATTGTCGTTCAATTTAAACGTTTAGAAGTGTTTAAAATTGGGGACAATGTATGTCTTATGGGTAATGTCATATTAAACGTTTAAATTCAAACACATGGGTTTACCGTGACTTCATCGAATTTCTCCTGTCATTGAAATATTGTCTTATATGCCGTTATCATAAGGACTTTTTTTACACATATTTCCTCTATAGTCATGTTGTTTTTAGTTCACTATAGAACTTATTTTCTACGTTTCCATAAATCTACATTTTCTTGACTCTCCACGGAATTTTTCGCAATATTTGGAGCACTTTTCAGAAATTCAGTATTTTTATTTTGTTTCTTCAATTTTATCCTTAATACACCTTGTACTAATCTTCATCGTCGCAAACCATTCATGATGCAATATGTTACAAGCGAATCAATAGCGGATGTTTTAGCGTTTTACAGTTACCTTACACAGATCTGAAAGTGTTAATTGAACTATCTTTTGTTTTTCTCTTAAAAATATTAAAATAGGCCACAGTGATTTACAATTCATCTGAGATTTCATTCAATTATTGCATTAAATTTTACATAAAATACTATATTTTTTATAGAATCACTAATTATTTTGAGAGAATTCAGATTTAATTATAAAACAATGTTATGCTTAATTTCACAATTATAAAATTAAAATTACGCACAGTAACATTAATCATTGTTGGATGCGCAGCAAACGTGCGCATAAAATCGGCGAGTCCTCAACGCGGAGAAGCTCGAAGAATAGTCGCTATTGTTTGTCGAATGTGAGATGCGCGAGCAGCTGATTCATGACACGCCAAATTGAGGTCCATTACGATCACGGATTACCTGTCGGCCACTGAGTCGAGCTCTATTGACGTTTTCACAAAAAAAAACATTAGTGGACAACAACAGCAACGGAATTACGCCTGCTCCCTGTCAAAGTGGCTCATCGACGGGTTGGGCTGGCTCATTCTAGGCATTTTTCGCACGTGAGTATATCATATTACATCTTCACTCTGTCCGAGCCAAGTGCACACAAAGGGATCGTGCGTCAAGCAACGTTTTTCCGTTTATCTACGAGCTTTTACATTATGGGTTTTTTACTAAACGAGTAGGTTTTTCTTTTCCTTTCAAAGACTGAATTGAAACTTGCATTGCCTTTTGCATAATTCACACTTGTTTTTGTTATTGTAAGGGATGTCGTATTGATTACCCACGCCAAACTTTTCTATACGTGTGTCTATGTGTGCAGTCTTATATGTGTATGAGAATCATATTACTTACCTTGTTAATTTTACGTGCGATGCAATTTTAACAAGACATATATTTCGTGAATCATTGCGTCATTCATACAAGTACTGTACAATAACAGGAACAAATTGATTCATAACCTGGCCAATAAAAAAATTACTTAATTTTGCAATTCAGTCTCAAAATTTCTTATATATAAGTCAAAACTGCATTTTCTTAGGATTTTCATTGAGTTTTTTTATTATTTCTGCAAAGTCTCACCTTGCCACATCCCTTCTTGGTTAATTAAAATTCATTCTGGCAAACTGCATCATTGAACAAAATAGGACATCAATGAAGTTCGCAAGGGCAAGAAACCTCATCTGTAAGATAATTACAGGCTTTAATTGCTTAGTTATTCCACTAATTGTTGACATATTCACTACTTTTATGGTGATTGTGACGATACTTCATGGAAATACCTAAATTAAACTAGTCTACTTTGAATATTTCTTTGATACAGTGAAATAGCTTAACCATATTTTGATTAAAAGCAGATAAGAAATTTTTGAATAATTATTTTATAATAATAAAATTAAGCATTTTTATTTTTCATGTATGCCACTGAGTCTATCTCATATGCTTATGCTGTGATTTTATTTTTCCTTTGAAGTATAAAATTACTAACCAATTCTTTTTTAAAAATATGCAAGATTAACTTGTCAATTAAATGTTAACTAATTCATGGTTTTTTCATTAAGGAGGCGCGAAATGTCAAATCCTGCAGATCGTCTGAGTTACCTGCAGGACAGTAGTAGCGATACAGAGACAGATTACAAAGAGACGGATGGCCGTGGAAGACGGCGAACATACAAAAACCGATTGAGGTGAGAATACATTTAGTTTCTGCAATCCTTTGAAAAGACAATGCTATCCTTGGTAAGTAAAGGCATTGGCTCCAGACCACCAAGGATTTCAACATTCTGCTTCCAGACTGCTGAATATTGGTAACACTTGTTGATTTTGGCACGAAATTGCATTTTGTTTGTTTCTTCAAAATTCACCATTAATCTTACTAAATGAATGAAAAATTATCTATATATATATTTTTTGATATATTAGTAGTGTGTAATAATTTATTTTTGTTTAAAGCCAAAATCATTCAAAGTTGAATCACGTAGTTGAAAACTCATACATCATTAGCAAAACACTATCATACCTTTGAGTTCGATTACATCTTTTTTTTTTGAACGTGATAAGCTCATGGAAAAGCTGAAGATCTCTAATAAAGTCAACAACCAAGAAAAGGTTAATTCAATCAAATAGGGAATTAGTAAGGAAAAAATATTATTGTTTTGCATGTAGTTGTGGTGGCTCAACCAAACCGAAATCTTGTATGGCACATCGGGATGGCAACAGCAAACATCATAGTCGATCTTATGAATCAAGCAGGCAAAACGCAAATTTAGCACAACACAGCAGGTAATTTGGTTACTTAGAATCTAGTTCTGTCTCTGTCTGTCTCTCTCTCTGCCCCTCCTCCCCCCTCACTCTCTCTATTTTATTTTTTCCGTTCGTTCATTTTCATTCGAGTTAACTCATCATCACTCACGTTACTTATATATATATATATATATATATATATATATATACATATATATATACATATAGCTATTGCTTGCCTAAGATTAAAGGAACTATAATGAAACTGAAGTGAAAAATAGGAGGACTATAAAGAACCAAATCTAATTTTTATTTTTTAGAGTTCGTTCAGGCATGGGGTTGAGTAAAAACCAGAGAGAGAATCGTGAGAATGTGACATCAGGTATGACTTCATCGTCAGGAACGAGTCTGCACCAACAGAGTAGCGATGAGAGAATAACTTTAATTGTTGATAACACTAGGTGAATATTTAAAACCTATATTTTTATAGTTACGCAGAAATATAACGTAATTTTTATTTCTTCTTTCCTCTTAATTGAGGTAAATATTTATGTAGAAACTACTAGATTCAAAAGACTTTAAAATAACACGATTCATTTACGTTAGTGATCATAATAAACAAACGTGAATATAGTTGTTAGTCGTAAACTGTATGACTTTAAACTATAAACAGTTGATAAAATTATAACTCTTTGAAATTAATAGTACTTTGACAAAAATAAATCGAGATTACAATGCTCCAGAAAACAAACTCAACAAAAAGCAATTATTCTAGATTTGTAGTTGACCCAGCGCTATTCACCGCTCACCCGAACACGATGCTCGGTCGTATGTTCAGCTCGGGCATCGAGTTCGCACAGCCAAACGAGCGCGGTGAATATGAAGTAGCCGAAGGTATATCTGCAACAGTTTTTCGCGCCATCCTCGAGTATTACAAACATGGTGTAATTCGTTGCCCTCCTACTGTCAGTGTTCAAGAATTGCGAGAGGCTTGTGACTATCTACTTGTGCCGTTTGATGCTAGCACCGTTAAATGTCAGAATCTGAGTAAGTCGATAGATGTGATCATTGGTTAAATTAGATAAAATTGGACGTCTTTTTTTTTAAATCGATACTTATTTTAAGCATTTCAGTATTTGTTTCTCATTTATGAATCAAAAATACGATCAGTAATTGATAACTAACTCAATTACGATTCAGTCACCAATAATTACTTAGTTTTTAAAGAAATTCTACTTTTTACAGGAGGATTACTGCATGAATTATCAAACGAAGGGGCTCGCTGTCAGTTTGAAGAGTTTTTAGAAGATCTAATACTACCTTTAATGGTGAATAGCGCAAGGAGAGGCGATCGTGAATGTCATATCGTTGTGCTTTTAGATGATGATGTGGTAGATTGGGACGAAGAGTATCCACCTCAGATGGGCGAAGAATATTCTCAGAGTGAGTTTCATTTTTCATTTTTGAAAAAGCTATGTGATTGAATTTAAAAAATTATATTTGAAATTAATAATTATTAATTTATTCACTCCGATGGGACAGCTGTTAACAGTACCGTAATGTACCGATTTTTTAAATACATTGAAAACCGAGACGTAGCCAAACAAGTGATGAAAGAACGTGGCCTGAAGAAAATCCGTTTAGGCATCGAAGGTTACCCGACTTACAAAGAAAAGGTGAAAAAGCGTGCAGGTGGTCGTGCCGAGGTAATCTACAACTACGTTCAGAGACCGTTCATTCACATGTCATGGGAGAAAGAAGAAGCGAAAAGCCGTCATGTGGATTTTCAATGCGTCAAGTCAAAGTCAGTGACGAATCTCGCTGAGGCAACAGCTGATCCAGCACTTGACTCGGCTGGCAATCCCATCACTGCCATTGCTCTACTGCAAGCTTCCGAGCCAATACAGCAAGATGCTGCTCTACCTGTCGGTGCCGATCAAGGTAGAAAAAGTTTCATTCGTGATCATGTTTATGATCGTACTAAGGTACGAGTTTTGATGTACGATTTCAAATTTCCCACTTTAATTCGATATAACGATTAAAGTTCAATGTATTTACGAACCATGAACGATCAAATTTCTTATTTCTTTCGTTTCTGAAATTCTAAATTTAATTATATCTATTCTTTTCGTTTTTTAAGTTTCAATATTTAGACTATCGTACTATATAAGTACTTTATTCAAAAAACTTACGTACCAAAAGTTTTTCATGATGAAGTCTATTCTTTCTTTAATCGTTTTTATTTCCAATCTTTGAGTTTTCAGTTATTGAAAGTATTCAAACTTCATCTAAAAAATATTATAACTTGTCTTTACAGATACGGAAGGGGCAGCGGCGCTCGAATTAGTACCACTTGAGCAAGAAGTGCAAAACATAGAAGAGCCTCAGCCTCAACCGCAGCAATTACAACAGCTGCCAAATCAGTTTCCACCTCAACAGCAATCCTGAGTAGTACTCGTGCCTCAGCAACCAACGAAACAGCAATCACATTTCAACGGATCTGTTCAGCGACGCGCTGCCTATGGTAACGGTGTCACTCTTGCCAAAAAGAAGGTGTCCTGGAAGAAAAAGACCAACTCTCTACGCTGAGGTCGCATCATAGCGACTTAGACTGAGAATAATTTTTTATGACTGAAACTTAAGCGCTTGTATACTTTTTTTTGTCTTTTTCCATTCGTATTTTATTCATGCTGTTAGAAATACAATACAAGGTCTTATCATTAGAACTTATGTGGCAATTTGAATGTTGTGTGAAATCTGGAAGTAGATGAATCGAAAATATTGTTTTCTAAGATGAAATTCCTTCTCAAATATTTTATATAAACTGAATCTGTATGTCATTTGATTTAAAATTAAGTTTGCTATGATCTGAAAAGACGTAATTAATTTGTATATTTTCACATCTCTACGTGACACAATATCTTATATTTAAAAATAGTCTTTTATAACGTTCAAATTACGATGATCCATGCAAAGTAAGTTTTACAAAACTGATAGAAAATAGTGATTTATAAGGTGCTCAAATTGTAACAGTCGTAAATGACTATTAAGTACACAATACTCTTTGAAAATTGTAAACAAAAAATTTAATAATATACGTGAAAGGAAACATAAATTGTGATCGACCAATTGGTAAAAACAATTCGACTGCATTTATTCGATATAAAAAGTGCTGAATTACAGGTGCCGAGCGAGTTCCTCAAATCGAGGGTTTGTAAATAATTATTTTAAGTTTTTTTTACCAAGTGGCTTATTCTCGTAACGCTGAAATATCTACTTATTCCATATCATCTGTATCTTTCTCGTGGATACACGTATGGATATCTCGGGATGTATTCTTATCTATTTTACAATACGGATACTCTGACAATTTTGTTATGATGTTCCAATGAATAACTTCCAATGGATAACAAATAACTAAAAATTGAACATAATGATTGAAATGTGCAAACAATACATACGAATTTCTATACATTGTGCACTAATGTTAAATAGATCTATCGTCATTTTTGCCCGAATCCCATTTGGTATAATATTTAATTTGAAAAATGTTAATATTAAATTAAATTATTTATTATAAAAATGTATAAGTATATAAACTAAAATTATAAGTAGTAAGAAAATGCTTGAGATATGTCTTTCATCCTATATTTTGTATAATTACCTTCAGTAAGTTGTTAAATTATCAAATTTTCCACTCATAATATCAAATTTAGTGGTTGATCACTAACGTGCAAAACCATATTACATCATACAGGCATATTTTGGAAAACTCATTAACAGTAAGCACTCCAGAGTTTCAACTAAGCACTTTTTATTTTTTACATATTTGAACAAGAAAGGTGTTATATAAACTTTTATGTATGTACAGTCTTAAAAACTTTTTAAAAAGTCAATTAAACATTTTCGCCTACATGTTTCAAGATTCCATTTTTTGAATGTTAATACATGTTATTTTCAAAACTGTTTATAAAGTATCTTAATAAATCGGCATTCAAAATATTTTAATCTTGCCGTTTATTGAAGTTACTATGTTTGCGGAACTAACTTGTTTCCATTAAACAACCAGTTTTATGTAAAAGAATTCCTCAATAAACATGTGTTCATCGTTGAAATAATATCAGAAAAATAAATATTTATCTAATTACTGAATATTAGTAGTTTTTATGAAACCATTCCTTAAAATTTATGAAAAATTTCTCGTAATATCGCTTATTTTTGTATAAACATCCATTCTAATAAACAAAATATATATTTTGCACGAGTATAAATATTTCCAATTTCTTTTAATATTCTTTATTATTTAGTTCAAACAATTTTCTTATTCCTTTTGTCATTGGTATTATTATTCTGCTTATGACTAGACGATGTGTTATACGTAGAAATGAATTCACATTAGTCGTTTTGTAAAATTTAAAAATCTATAATTGAACTTAAGTGTAGAATCGCTGACGTTAGTGACGTTATTCGCGGATTCGTGGTTCGCTAGAACACTTCTTGTGACACGTAATGTTGAAGATTATTACTCTCGTGTTGTTTTCTATAATTGTTTATAGCTAAAGTTTACAGGTTATATGTGTTGGTTTGATAAAAACGACGTAGCAACTGCGAATTGCATCAGTGTATACAAGAATATTTCAATCCAATTGATAAGTGAACCAAGTACTTAAGATTAAACATAACGTTTCCTGTTTCAACATACGAAATGTTCTTATATAGACAAGCTAACGTCACAGCATGATTAAGTTTCATCCTAAGTTATTATTAGATCAATTAAAAATCAGTGATTCAAACAGTGATCAATATTGAGGTGAGGAAACAATCATTAATTACTTTGTTCATACGTAATAATTATTATTCAAGAATGATAAAATTTAACATTTATTAAATATGGTATGATTACAATCAAATAAATTTTAATCTAATGTTGAATAATAATATTTTTCAATTCTTAGATCTATTTTAATTTAGAAAATTATATTTTGTTTATTGCAAAAATATCCAAATAATCAGTAATATTCTATTTCAGACCTATTCACAATGGTGTTACTTTACTTTTATTACCTCAATATAAATATGTAGAAAATTTATGTTAGCACAATCAACAAATATGTTTTATTAAAAAATTTGTTGATAGATGTATACTTAGTTATAAAAAAATAAAAGTACATTTATAAACATGTATAGCACAGCATAATGACAGAAATGCAAAATCCATTCTCACAGCAGTTTGTTGAAGAAATCAATTACAATGAAATTCAGATAGAAGAAATTGTTGGTAAAGGATCGTTTGGAGTGGTATGGAAAGGTTTATGGAAAGGCAAACCAGTGGCAGTGAAACATATACATTCAGATGATGAGAGAAAAGCATTTGCTACAGAAGTACGTCAATTGTCTAGGATAAACCACCCTAATATTGTCAAACTTTATGGAGCTTGTACTAAGAATCCTGTTTGCCTTATTATGGAGTATGCAGAAGGTGGTTCTCTGTACAATGTATTGCACTCTAATTTACAAACACAATATACAACTGGCCATGCCATAAGCTGGGCACTTCAGTGTGCCAAAGGAGTAGCATACTTACATAGCATCAGTGTTGTTCACCGAGATTTAAAACCACCTAATCTATTGTTGATTTTTGGAGGTCAAATGTTGAAAATTTGTGATTTTGGTACCGCATGTGATCTGAATACTTATATGACAAATAACAAAGGTTCTGCAGCATGGATGGCTCCTGAAGTATTTGAAGGAAATGCTTATACAGAAAAATGTGATATATTCAGTTGGGGAATTATACTCTGGGAAATACTATCAAGAAAGAAGCCTTTCGATGACATTGGAGGATCAGCTTTTAGGATTATGTGGGCAGTTCATGGAGGACAAAGACCTCCTCTCTTTCAGACCTGTCCACAATTAATAGAAGATCTGATACTAAGGTGTTGGAATCGAGTTCCTAATCTACGACCTTCAATGGAGAACATTGTAAAAATTATGACATATTTGTTAGAGTTTTTTAGTGAACACTCTCAGCCGATTAAATATTCCTTTGATTATAGTACTGACAGTGAAAATTGTGATATTAATAATTATGAAGATAGCTCATCTGCATCTGAAATTACATGTTCGAGTGTCTCAAAATATTCACAATCTAATATGTACACAAACAACATTAGTAATCCCTGTAAAGATGATTCATATAAGACAATGCGAGACATTTCGAACGTTGCTTTAAATAGCATTGCAAAAGACTGGTCAGATCCAAAAGTTTGGCCTTCATGTATGGAATCAGACCAGAGTAATTATGAATACCAAACACATTTAAGGCTTTCTCAAAGCATTAATGATTTAGCCCCTGTCCATAATAATCTTAATGAAACAAAAAGTCTTATTAATAGCTTGGGCACATCAAACTCAGACAATTTTACTGATTCAATTGATAATACTTTGATACCTGTCAAACCTGATTATCATTGTTCTACATCATTAAAAATCTTTGAAGAACACAATTTGTTGATAAAAGAATATCTTGCAATGCAGCACAAAAAGAAAATTTTACTTCAGCATAGGGAGCAATTATTCACCAACTCTAAAGCAAAGAGTAGCATTAATAAGAGGAAGATTCAAAAGTTACGAGATGAAAAAGTTGCGCTAGTCACACTGTATAGAAATCTAAAAAAACAATTGGAATTGATAACGATTCAACCAGCTTTTGTTACTAATAAAGATGGCTGGGTTCTGATAACAAAGAAACATAATTCTTTTTCATAGAGATTTTCATAGACTAGGATACTCATGATTTTGTAATCGCGAACATTTAAATTAGGTACTAATGTTTTAAGCAGAAAATCAAATTAATCACTATTGTAAATAATTAATACAACTTGAAACGATATTTAAATTTGAAATAATTTCTTTTGTTAAAACGTAATAAATTCAATAGTAACCAGTAGACTATTAATTACTTTTCTGATAATAGAATTCACGCTTAAAATCATGTTTTTATTTATCTATTATTACTAATGTAATATACCTTTTTGACAAAACGAATACGACACATACGCTGTGTCTATTCATCTGTTTTAAATTTAAATTATTAGAGATTCGTTTACAAAGTGTGGAGTGTATATTTGTATTACACATAATATACAATGTAAATTATCACTCCGATTTTCAATCAAATAATATTTTAGTAAATCGTGCTAGATTTTTAGTGTTAATAAAATGTTAACTAATGCTGTTCTACTCAAGTTTTCAAATGTACATAATGTTTGTAAATACGGAGTTAAGATGATGGCGACATTGAATAAAATTTTAACAATGTAGTTTTGACCAGCGTTTCTTTTTATTTCTTGTGGGTGCGTTAAGATGAACCTTTTTAAAAATGCTTTCGTGATTCAAATTTAAACTTCAAAAAACCTGTTTATAATATATTTTTGGTTCATGATAGCTGAGTAACACAACCTTACAACGCTTTTCTTCAACAACAATCTTTTCATTATAATTTACAATACCTTAAATCATTCATTATGCTCAGTCAAACAAAAAAGAAAGTTTTATTTTATCCAAACATTTATCTATGAGTAATCTTCGCATAATACTCTTGAAAATTACCAAATAAGAGTCCTAAAAACCAAGCCTATCCTTTTTATCCTCGCCAAATATTCCCAATAAAGAAGAGGAAAAAAAGGCCTTGGTAAGCAATGCCTACCATCGTGCCTCTCCCCCTCCTCCTCTTGGGAAGGGGGGAGGGTGGAAATCGCAAGATCGAAAGTGCGATCCCTGCGTCAATGTAGCATATAGGCCGCGCCGAGAGAGCGAAGCTTTCTCGCTATCTTCCTCGGCGCTCCAGACTTGCGCAGGCGCCAGTTATGATCAATAAGCGGCGGTGCGCGCTGCCGGCAGCAGTAGCTCGATGTTGGCGATCCGCCCCCTCCGACGTACTAGTGCACAGCCGCCCCTCGTGAGTGTGAGTGCTTCTCCGTAACCATGCAGCCGCCACCGAGAAAAGTAAGTTCCCTCATTTTGCGCCTGCTGAATTTTTCCGATCGCGTTGTGCGAAAATATCGACAGCGAATTGGCGTTACGACTCGTGGCCGATCAAATTTACGGTCGTATCACTGACGGCCAGCTTGGAAACACGCAAGCGAAAGGCGATGCTAGGATTTCCCTTTTCTCTCTCTCTCTCTCTCTCTCTCTCTCTCTCTCTCTCTCTCTCTCTCTCTCTAAGCAAACGGAAAATCGATTGCGACGCAGAGAGCCAAACGAGAGTCACATTGATTCGATTTTCACCCTTCGCATAGCGCGTATATGCAAACTTTCGCGATTAGCAATGCCGATTAACGTAATATTTCCAGGGGCAGGGAGGGGGTGAAAAAGCTTTTACTTTGACGATCAAGCGTCTATCGGACTCAGTGATTTCGAAATGTGTCTTTCGAGGCCGGACGCGTAAACTACGAGAGAGTACACGTTGTTTCAAAAACCTGCGATCCTTCTTTTTTTTTAATTCATCGTACTCTGTGATGATATCGGCGCTCTCTTCCTCTCTAGCTTAGACGTATCGCAGAGCTCTTATGTTAACTCGTATTCCGCTGCGAACGGAAAAATATACATTTCGTAAAATATATTCCGCGAGTCTTATGCGAGAGAAATATGGACTTTCAAATCTATCCTTTGAAACAAAAAACACGTAACGTTCTGGCGAAAATTGAAAATGGAATTCAAGAGAGTCATAAAGTCAATTAAGCTTCGTTTGTTCTTTGAAAAATTCACAACCCGCTTATATTTTTAGCCTGCACTAAGTTCCCTTGCACGCGTGGATGCTAACGCGAGACATGATCGATTAATATATACCCAATTGTTTATAATTTACGCAGCGCCGTAAAAACAACCGTCTATGCTATGCAATTACATCGCCGAATTCTCTTAGTTTCATTATTTTTTCTATACTAGTTAGTGCGCATAAAAAGAAGGTAATCATTGTTATATAGCACATGTGTGCAAATCGAAGGTACTACCTGTTATGAAAATAACGCGGACTATAATTCACACGGAAATTGAAAGTTAAGCCGGGGCACTGGCCAATGTGTTTCCGTCGACGAAATGACGGAGAGATCCTATCTCGTGATGAGAAAGATAGCTTCTCTCTCCCTCTCTCTCTCTCCTTGCTGCTAAGAATATAACTTTTTAATAAGCGACAAAGAAATTTTTGAATAATGGTATCTATATTTAAAATCAACGCTCAGAGGGTCAATGTATCGCTGGCTGATTTACTCAATACTAACCATAATTTACGCACTATATTGAATAACGTAATTACGAGTTATCGATGAAATCAGTGGATGAAGATCAGGTTTTGGTCGCGCGAGACGATTACATTTCTGATTACCGACGGATCATCGGATAAAATTTCGTGTGATAATGAAGATATCGAAAAACTGGCCGATTTTTCCGTAAATATAATTTAAATATTTTGCGACGATTCCTCGCAGAATATTGAAACATTTTTTTCCCAATATTTGGAAAATTTCTAAAACGCACACCGAAACTTTCATTAATATCGAAGCGTACTTTTTTTATAAAATATAAAATTTAAATTTTGGCCACTTGATCATACGTACTGTCAGAAAACGCATCGACGTTCTAACTTTTTCAACAGAGCAAACGATTGTTCTGAGAATGTGAGAAGGCGCAAATTTGATCGTAAAATATTCTTCCTATCCGCACACATTTGCCCAAAGGTCTCTCTTTGAGCATTTCGTGTTTCGCTCGACCGCGCAATTACGCGCATAGTTTGCCTCTGCATCTATACGCAAGTACAACTGCTTTATGAGCGTAACACTCCTAGCATGTTAAAACGAGCTTTAAGAAAAAAGAAACATTGTATTTTTGAAGTTACTTTATACCAAGTTATAAAGTCTGCACTCGGTTTACGACCCGGCATAAAAACAATAAAGCATGCGCACGTGAAAGAATTGATCGTTTGTTTACTAGCGTCCCACGCGGCAACTGTCGCCTATCCGCCTCTCTGCGGGGAGCCGCACTTGTGTGCAATATTACGGTGCACCCCCGTGATGATACGTGCTTACTTTGTCACCAAGACTTCTTTTCTTACTTACTCTCTCTCTCTCGCTCTCTCTCTCTCTCTCTCTCTCTCTCTCTCTCTCTCTCTCTTTCTATCTCTCTCCGGCCTTTACTTTAGTTGCGGTTGACGAGTATCTTGAGGGGGACAAACGCTTGATTGGGAAAAATTGTATTAGGGCGAGAAGATTATATTCTTCTCTCCGCAGTGATATAAAAAATGTCGCCGGCGGGATGGACAGCACTGCGACGTTGAAATTCGAAGTGACATTTTGAAAGTTATGTAGGTCGACGGGCTCTTGTGTGCTTAGGATTCCAATGAAATTTTTCGAATCGTCAAGTGTCGCTTGGCTGAAAAAACTGTATCGAGTTGCGACGATCGTATTCCTTGATAAATTCCGAACATAAAGCATGTATTCAATCGGACTGCTATCATCTAGTGAAAAAAGGGCAAAGAAAAATAAGCCTTGGAAAAAAATGAGATTTAATATGCATTAATTTCCATTAATGCCTCGACAAGTACAACATAAAGGTATCACAGAATTATATGGTTAAAAGAATAAAAACTAGCTTGATCAATTATTTAAACCTGTTAATATTGCATCAACGCTCTAATGAAACCTAATTGCGTTAAATTCTGAAAGCGACTTTAAGTCGCTTCTTCGACAAGTTTCATAAAACTCAAAGGATTATAACGAGAGTCGTGCTCTTCAGTACTTTCGCGCTTAGAGTAACGAGCTCCTTTATCGGATTGCCAACCAGTTTGAAAACCTTGTCTGTCAATTTTGCACGCAAAATTTGCGATTCTCGCATGACGAGATTTCAAGTTGAACTACACTCGTTTCTAATTGTTGTTCGAGTCGGCATCTCTCTCTCTCTCTCTCTCTCTCTCCTGCGCGCTTGCATTCGAATTTGTTCTATTAACAGGCGAACTGATTTATCAGCAAAAGGATCGTTTGTTAGATAGCTTTCCGCGTCCTTTTCTATCGCGACGCGAAAGCTTTTGTGAACGCCAACGTGTTAATTTAGGAGGCTCGCACTGCCGATACACCTTTGAATTCGTTGTGTTCTCATTGTGCATCGCGAAGTCCATTAAAAAACACATACAAGCGATGTAATTTTTTTTCTTATTCACGGAGCATCGGACTAATCTTGAGATCGCTTCCGTGCTGAACTTGACCTACAGACTTCGACTTCGCTCCGGCGTTCCATTGCTGCCCAAAAATCGATACAATGTGTTAAGCAAAACTAGTACCTTGACGAAAACCCAACTTCGAACAATCGAAGGGTAATACGGGTTCGTAAACTGGGTCATCGCACGTACAGATAATTTTCATCTCCGTCAGCGCATCGAAAAGTCAACTAGCGTGTGAGAAAGAATATAAGTTTAATAACCGCATGCACAACAGTGAGCGTGCGTGCTCATTTGCTCAAGTGGAAACAGCGACAATGAGCATGGAAATACCGCTCGAGTCGTAGTACCTTTTGCTCATGATTCACGAATGACGCTTACGCTTTTTCTTCTTTCTGGACGAACGGTTCAGGAGTGAGACTCCTTAATACGACTTGCGATTATTTCATTCATGAATGGTTGTGAGTGCGATGACATTACGTTTGTCGGGACGAAGAATTAGGATGGAGGATAAGTCGGGTTTCAGCTAATCAACGTCGAATTCAATACAAACTGTCGCTTCTTTAAATAGAACTTGGCAGGATTAACAAAAGAGAGCGGATGAGGACGAAGAAGAACGAATGTTTATCCAAAAAAGAGAAAGAAAACCAGTAGATCTCCCCCCCCCCCAGTACAGACGCAACGAATGGCTGCTTCTAATCACCGCCCCTTTCCATGTTCTGATCTGTTTGTCAACAGGGGAATTACGCGAAATTCCTGAAGAACGTCCACGCGGAGCAGGCCGCCAAACTGCTGGCGAAGAATCAGCACGAATGCGACCTTCTCGAAGACATCCGGTAAGTCGCCGCTCGAGTATCGATTAATTGTTCTACTTATAAGTATCGTAGCTCTGCGGTGAGTTCTTCAATAAAATGCAAGCGAATGAGATTTTAAAATTCATTGGACGGTTCGATGAGAATTATTTGAAATGTCGATGAGACGTTCGTTCTCTCGTATCGAATCGTAACTCTATAATCGTGGATTCCTTGCTGGAAAGTTAGAAGGTAAACAACAACAAAATTTGAAATGTTGATCGCTCCTGCAGGTCGTTTCGATGAATACGTTGAAAGCGCGAATGCATGGAAAACAAAATAATAAAAACAGACGTCGATTCGGCCCTGCGTCAAAATGAAAATCCAATCTCACCTTAAATGTTTTCAGTAACTTCGTTCTGAAGAAGTCGGCGATCGAGAAGTCCTACGCGGACGTAAGACTCTTTCATTTAATCGCTTCGCCGGTGTATCCTCGCGAAAGCTTTAATAACGCAACCTCGTTCTTCGCAGGCCCTACTAAAAATATCCTCGGCGTACTTGAACAAGAAGTTCCCCAACATACCCGACATAAAAACCGACAATGCGGACGACCGATGGTAAGCGTATCGTTGTGGCTAAGTGTATTCCAAAATTTGACGCGCGCTGCTCTGTTGCCTCTGTAGGAATATGTGGAACGTATGGAGGACGGTGCTGGAGGAGAACGAGAAGCTCGCGCGGGCGCGGCTGGCTGCCGTCGAGGTGTTCCAGACACAAATTGCGGACGAGGCGAAGAGCTTGAGGATGCACAAGGTCCAAATCGCCAAAAAGGTATCGTCGCGCGATCAAACCGAAAATTGAAGGGCGCTAGCGTTGTCAAAAAAACTGGTGATTGTTTTGCAGGCGGTCGACCAATTGATAATAGTACAAAAGGAGCTGCAGACCTGCGTGCAAGAGGTCGACAAGACGAAGAAGCTGTACTTCGACGAGGAGCACAGCGCTCACGACGTGCGCGACAAGGCAAAGGACATCGAAGAGAAGTAAGCCTCTTGATTTCGTCCGCGATTCGAGGGCCGATAGCTCGTCCATTCTACGAACGACTTTCGATTTGCAGGCTGAAGAAGAAGAAGGGCTCCTTTTTCCAGTCGATCACGTCCCTGCAGAAGAACAGTGCGAAGGTATTGCGCGCGAGACGAGCGATCGATTGGCAGCTGCCGAGCTCCGTCGCTCGCCTTGCCTATTTGTCGCGAGTCGGCTGCGCTACTAAAATGTTGTCGCGTTGCGCAGGTGAGCACAAAAAGGGACGAGCTGGAGGTGAAGTCCACGGGGGCGCGCAACGACTACTTGCTCGCCCTGGCGGCGGCCAATGCCCACCAGAACAGGTACTTCGTGGTCGACTTTCAGAGCACAATGCTGGTAAGTCCGCGTGACGTTGTAAGGCGCGCTAACAACCTCACGCCAGAGAGAAGCTCCAGCGAGCGACGCTTTCATTTTCGTTCAGCGGAGCCAGTTTAACGAACATTAAAAGCCCTCTGAAAAGTACACTCGATCGACGCGCAACCAACCTTGAATACGCATCGCGCGTAAACGAGCTCGCTGCGAGAAGGCAAGCGCTGACCCTCTCGTCTGTTTGCAGCACATGGAGCAAGCCGTCTACGACAAGGTGGCCGAGTATCTGTCGCTGATGGGACGCACAGAGCTGCTCACGTGCCTGGCGATGCAGAACAGCTTCGGCATAATCCGCGATCAAGCGCAGCAGGTGAGTAGGGTCAGGTGTTGCTCGTAGCGAGTGCAGTTTAACGAGATAGATTATCTGAAGCGGACGAACGCCTGCACGTTCGCCTCTTCCAAGCGTTCTTAACGCTTGCAGCGACCAGATAAATAAATTAAACGATCGACCCGACAACCAACCCGTGAGCTCAATCCGTTCGCAGTAACGCCGAGCAATCGGCGTAGGCAACTATCGGCAAATCAGTTCGCAGAAGTGCGAAGCAACGTCGCTCGGTCCGAAACTCCCGCGCGACTGGTAGTATGCGTCTTCGACAACGAAAAACTCGGTGTGTTTGCAGCTGACGCGCGAGTATAACATACAATGCTGCTGCCTTTACTACCCGGTGCTGAAGCAGCACATACAGTACGACTTCGAGCCGTGCGACAACGACCAAGTCGACAAGTAAGTTTGGTGCGCGTCGCGTCGAGTCGGTTTGGGTGCGACTGATCGCTGCTGCCGTTACAGGGTGACGGCGGACAACGCGGCGGCGCAGACGCTCAGCAAGGAGGCTCGCCGATGGGCCACGAGGATCGCCAGGGAGATCAACACTTACAGAGAGAGCAACAGGAAGCTGCAGGCGCTGCAGCAGCTACGCGACTCCGGGCAAAAGGTTGGTTGGTTGGTTGGTTGGTTGGTTGGTTGGTTGGTTGCCGCTTCGTCGAGGCGCTACGTTCGGACGGTCGCGTAGTCACGTTTCGCACGATCTGTTCGCAGACTGACCCCAACGATCCGAACGGACCGGACTTGGAGACGAAAATCGACGAACTCAAGCAGACCATGCGTAAAGCCGAGGTATACATGTCGATCATACGCGTAACAGTGTTCGTTGTTAAGCTCTGACGTTGCCACCTGATGCTTTGCAGACCGCAAAAATGAAAGCCGAGGCGCGGATAGAGTGTCTTCGAAAGGGCGGAGGTAGGTGAAACAGAGTTTCGACGCTCGGGGTGGCGTCGCTTTGCGCTATAATCATCAAGCGCTAACGATGTTCATCCCGTCACGCTCGCCAAGCGTTGCAACGAGTCTTTCGCATTCTTGCTGACTTCTTTCTCTTCAGTGAACGTGGACGAGTGGCTGCAAGAAGTGGAGACTCTCAGTGTGCAGGATATACCACGCTCGGCAAGCTCGCTGTCTATAAGGACTGATGGATCTGGCAATGTGGTAATTATTCTCTATTTTACTTTCCTTTTCAAGCAATGCATTTCGTAGAGCTGAGACTGTGAAAAACCAATCCAAAAAAGTCACCTTCACCTTTGCTTTCGCTCTATTTACTTCGAAGCTCTCAGCGTGTGGAAAATCCATCATCTCTTTAAAACCGTCACTCCATGCGTCCTTTGCTTTAGAAATAGGTCTCGTCGATAAGAAAAATATGCGCTAGAATTTATCAAACACATACCAATTTTTGTGCGCGCCATAAGTCGTGCAACAAAGCCCATTGCTCGTTCTAGTTCCAATTCCTTCAATTTTTGTCGCACACATCCAACTTGCGTGTTACAAATTGCAGCAGGAGCAGCCATCGTCAGACTCGTTCTACGATAGCGACAACGACGCCGGCAGCGATCTGACGACAGTGGAGCGGCCAAGTCGTGGTTCCACGGCGGGACAACACGCTCAACGTCAGCAGCAATACAAGGACTCGGACTCGGACGCCGACGAACGCCAACGCCACGACAGCGCCGAAGTCGACGGTAAGTCACTGTAAACAGACAAGAGTGTGTTCTAGATTGAAAAGCAAACAAACAGACATGCTGAAAAATGTATCTTAATACTGGTTTTTTCGTTTGTCTTCGCGGTGAAGATGGGAGCTATAGCGGACAAGGTATATACTAGGTGTTTTATGAGAGTAAATGGCTAGAGCATAAACGCCATTCATATCTGACCGTCTCATCGTAACTTTTTTTACACGACTGAACAACCGAGAACAACGACAGTCATTTATACGCTGTATTCTCAATTAATATTTCCACGAAAAATCCAAGCATGTACATCCAGTAGGTCTCTTCATTGCCATGGATTTCCCATTTTCTTTTCTCCTTGAGAAACTCGCTCACTCTTATACAATAAACCACAAACATACAACATTGAAGTGTATTTTTTTTAAAGCTACTGAAAAATGACTAACCCGATGAAAACAATAACAACAGCTCGATATAAAATCTCGGAATCATCATTAAGTATTATAAGTCAGCTTGTTGAGTGTGGCGTGGAGACTCATCGATGGCTTGTATTAAATGCAATCTGATCAACAGCGCTACTGGAGCAAGAGAAGCAGAGAATAGACGAGATCACTGCTGGTTGGGATGATCCAACGTCTGCCGACTGGGGTAACGATGACGCCAATGACTCCGGCAATGTGGCGGACGTGCACGCAACTGGTGACGCTGGCTCTGCGCAGATCATCTACAAGTGCACTGCATTGTATTCGTACACGGTGAGCTGAATGTATTTAATGGCTGTTTAATATTTTCAATACTGATATTCGTGATTGCTTTGGAAAAATACGTTATTGTCGGTGACCGATTATCATAACCAGAGAATTAAAAAAGAAAAACTAATGTTCCGAGCATGGCCATGTGATCTAATATTTAATCGCTGTCAGGATTTTATCTATCTACGTTATTTTCAAACAGGAATTGTGGAAATTTCAACTCAATTTAGAGGAATTCCTTATATAAATGTCTAAAATTACATTGATATTAGTCTCTTAATCAAATGTCGGAAGGAATCAGAATTAAATATTAAAAATATATTGTTTTAAAGCTGAAGATCTTTATTTTCATATGTTGATATATAAACGTGCATTTAAACGAATTATTACTACTAATATATATGAAATTAAAAAATAAAACGAAACAGAATAATAATATTCTGATAAGACTGACACTTACAGAATGAATTCCAATAATACAAATTGTAGCTAAATATGCAAAACGTTCTCTCTAATAGTAATTTTGTTAGCTTGTAACAATATCGGCTGAATGCATTAAATATTAGTGGATTCTCTAGCCTCAGTGAACGTCGTTGTTTTATTAAATTGTGTTATCAATTGAGGATTATCGCGTCTGAATAAGTATTGCGAAATCAACTACGCAGTTTTACTTATCGCTACTACTATCAACAAGAAAAGCTTCTATTTTATATGTCGACTGGTCATTTTACGTGTCCGAATTTTCGCATTGACGAAATATTGATAGAATAATTTATTTGTCCGTCTCTCGACAATTCGTAACTCACAATCATAGCCACTCGCCTCTTTCGATTAGGCGGTCAACGAAAATTTTGCTCTAACCGTGAATTTAATATTTTTCTGTTGAGATCTTATGATTCGCAAAATATTATTCAAATGAACTTCGCACTGTTTTTACATATGCAACGAAATGAAATGGAACGATATTCTTTAAACTTTAAGTTAATCACACGTATAATCTTCATTAATAGGTTTTCTCCTACGTCTTATAAATACTTCTACTTGTCTATCGAGTGGTTAGCGATGATTGTTATCCAACCACTACCTAAACTCTCTAAAGAGCGCATCGACGAATAATGAATGACAATTGCAGGCCCAAAATCCGGACGAGCTGTCGATAGTGGAAAGCGAGCAGCTGGAAGTGGTGGGTGAGGGTGACGGTGACGGCTGGTTGAAGGCGCGGAACTATCGCGGTGAGGAGGGTTACGTGCCGCAAAATTATCTGGACGTCGAGAGGGATCCCGAGGACTCGACTCAGGGCGGTCTGTCCACCCACGCGCCGAACATCGCCCAACAAATTTCGTTCTCGTCGGTCGATTACACCATCGACGACCACGACGCTGTCGATCCAGACGCTCACCTGTACCAGCAGCAGCAACAGCAGCAGCAGCAGCAACAGCAGCAGCAGCAGCAACAGCAGCAGCAGCAGCAGCAGCAGCAGGCACAGCAAGCTACGGTCAGTCGCATTGCACCGCGGAAGTGCATGCTATCCGCGACGCTAGCGCAAAGCGGCTTTCCGATAACCTCGAGCTTGCGTGCAGGAGGTGCCAGTGGAGAAGTCAGCAGTCGCGCCAGTAACGACAGCGGCGCCGGTGGCCCCGACGGCGTCCGAGCAGAACCACGTGGGCGACGACAAGGAGTACTGCGTGGCGATGTACGACTACGACGCGACCTGCGACGAGGAGCTGGCCTTCATGGAGGGCGACGTGATCGTGGTGGTGAACAAGGAGCCGCACGACGTGGACGACGGCTGGTGGGAGGGCGAGCTCAACGGACAAACGGGCCTCTTCCCCTCGCTCGTTGTCGAGCCGTGCGCGCCCGACGGCACGCCGCTCTCCGAGGGCGCCGACGAGGTAATTCGCCGAAAACCCTTCGGGCGGGCGAGTTCACGGCGAGAAGCGATCTGGCGCGTGGTGTGCGAAGCTCTACAATCTCGCTCCGAGTGTAGCATGCGGGAAACACATTAAAGCAGCCTTTGGCGACGGGGGAGAAAGACTATGTAATTGCATTTTGACGCAGGAGGAGGACGTAACGCCGCCTGGCTCGGCGGCGCCGCCCGTCTACACGCCACCCGAAGCTCCGGAGTTCGTTCTCAACGAGGAGCTCGGACAGGCGCTTCTCAACGGTGAGTGCTTTACTGCTGCTATTATCTTTGTCTTTTTTCCGCTAGATTAGAAGTATTGCAACATATTCGGTTGCTGCGTGAGATTGCTTACGATGTAAGCGCGTCAATAATCTTTGTCGAAACGATCGAACAGTAAGTTTTAATTGACAATGAAATCGACCGGGCTGGAAACGCTTTTATGTTATCCGCACGATAGTTCACTCAGGTTGATTCTGCAATATCAATAATCCTGTCGCGAAGCAAAGGTTTCGAATGTTCGATGAATCCGAGACAAACGAGATCGTTGAAACCTTCGAAAAAGTATTTGAACCGATAAAACCAATTTAGACAAAAGAATAAAAGAAATAATGTAAGCTTTAGAGTTGTATTGTGAAATCTTTGGCAAAATTAATACATTTCCATATTTTTTATAAATAAATCAACCGTTAACAGTGCTTGCCAAATATATTTATCAATTTTAAACAAAAATATTTTTCACGTTAATCCTGTAACACCATTACTTTACTTATCATGACGTCAACTATAGATGTGTTTTCTCTAAGTAATTCCAGAAGCTACATAGCTATGTAGCTACAAACTTGCAAACCTTTTGTCATAATGTTTCTCATTAAGCAGTTTTAGAGCTTCTTACTCTGTAATCACGAGCCTCTAAAAGATTCATGAAAATGATGCAACAAAGCTCAAACTTCGTTTAGATACACGCGTAACCAGCAGTAAAACGATCAATTTCAGAAATGAGAGAGCGCGGATACGTCAACGGAGATCGACCGGACAGCTTCAACATGAATTTAACGAAAAATCAGAAAGATCAATATGGCCTACAGTTCGATGGCGAGAAAACACAAACTCAAGCACCAGGAATTGTTGGTAAGCTAAAAGTGGCATTCACCAAGACAATTTTTTTTCAATCGACGCTAACTTCAATAATGCATTTATTTGTTTGGTATAGTGGACGAAGCCCCGGACGAGCGAAACAGCAGTGACGTAAGTCCAATTGTTTTCTTAGCTTTTTTCCTTTCTACAATAGAAATAGAACAGTGTTGTAACTTGCTCAAAGTCTTTTCGAATTCTTTAATCGTTTGATAAAAAAAAAGAATTTTTTTTCTCAATCAGACATTTATAACGATGAGGTGAATGTAGGTATTCTTTATTTTGGTCAGTATAATTTTTTATCAAAAGAGGATTTAAAAAATCTTTTTACTTTACTTGTTTTTACGTTAAACAAGGAAATGATAATACGAAGCAATAAATCTTTTACTTATTTTTATTACTTCTCAGGAAGAAGAAACGTAGGTATGTACGAAAAATGCGTAATTTTTGCATGAACGCAGTTTACAGAGAAAAACATACGACATTATTAATATAAGTAATTTCGACGCAACCATATTTAAAATCGTTTGAACATGTAAATTTTTTAGCATCACCTCCATCATTTTTGAGAAGCATAATACATTTTTTTTTTCAAATTTATAGATACATTATACCTAAACTTAAATTATTGTTTTTTTTTTCGTTAAGTAGGTATTGAAATTATTATTTTTTAAAGCTTATACCGTTGTTTAATATGCATGGGTTGTTTGTTTTATAGATGTTTTTTCAAAAGCGTCAATTTGCATCAATTGACAATTTGTAACTTTGAAAAGATATCTTGTAGACCAAAATCAAGAATATTTTCATTCGACCTACTCGTAGAAATTTATATTTCCCCGTATAAGATAAATTTTGAAAAACCACATGGTTTAATATTCAAATTGTACATTCTATCCGAACCTCTACTCAAGTTGAAGTTAAAAATATTAAAGTGGAGTTCTACTTAAATGTTCCTCTGAGGATCGTGTTGCTTCTTATAAACTGTACAATAAAAGTTATACGTCGCCGTCGACCTTATTCCAGTATCACCTGATTGATCTTCGAATCACGCCATCAAATTGAAAAATCGCAAATTTCATCGTATACAAACGAAATAAAAGAACTTGAACAATACCATAAACATACAGCGGCCAAATTTTCTTTTGCAATATGAAAAAATCTGCTTCTAACACATGCAATCACGAATGCAAATGTGCCAGTAGAACTCCACTGTCGAATGCGTAACAATTAACGACTCAAGCGAAACGTTGACTCGCAGGAGGAACCGGAGCTCGCGGCAGTGAAGGCAGCTTGTGACGCGAAGAAGAAATCATCGGCGGCTGGCGAAGACGATGATCCAGGCCTCGGCGTAGCCCAAATAGTGATTACCGCCGCGACCCCCCTGGAAGAAATAGATCGACCATTTCCTGGCATCGAAGAAAAGGAGGCGGACGACGAGGACACGAAGCAGAGAGACGACCAACAGACGGCAGAGGCCGCCGAAGAGACTGAGCTGAAACTAACGGAGGAAGAGGCAAAGGAAGAACCGCCGCCGCCGTCGACCACTAAGCTGAAGCAGTCTTCAAGCGACGAGAAATCCACCGAGGCATCTTCGGGCAGCGAAGCCGACACGGAAGTCGAGAACTCGCAGTGCCTGCCTTCGGCGCGCAGCGGTAGCGACGGCGGTGGTGCGTCCGTCGACGAGAACGTGCGCAAACAGGACGCCGATGAGGACGAGGAGCCGGCCGTGCCGCCGAGCAGCAAAATGCTGGTCGGCGGACGAGCGAGCATACCGGACGAGCTGCAGCCGGACCAGCTGCAGAAGCTGCAGAACCTCAAGGAATCCAATGCCTAGGATTGACGCGCATCGGTCGAGAGACGACGAGGCAGCTTCCGCCAGTTGCTCGACTTCTGGCGCTCGATCGCCACCAGGACGAACAGGGTGGCCGACTTGCGCTGAAGCCGAGGCCCGAAAGACACTCGAGCTCCAGTCGCGTCTGCGCGTGTTGTATAAAAGCGTGGAGCTAAATATGTACAGCGAGAGAAAGCAGCAATTAGAACTCTGATCCTACCACACCTCTCCCTCACCCGAAAATCCCCTCCCGAACCCCTTGCGTAAGAACGTCCGAGAGAGCTAGTCGTCTCGTGTAAATTATATATAGAAAACAAGCGATTACCATGGTGTTTATGCGTGTACAAAATATATCTGTATCTATTCATTCGGTCGACGCACTGGGCGCACACGACAATATTATCATTCATAAATATGCTTAACCTCCCATCACCCCTCCCATCATTAGAGGACAAATTACGTAGCAATGATGACGAGCGTGTATTAAAAAAAAATCGTTCGGATGTAATAAAAACCAATTGGTTTCATAGAGCCTTTCTCCTCTTACAGATGACTTTCCCATACATACGTTTACCTGTCGCGTCATTATCGTCCATCCTCCTATCTCTTCAACTATTACTATTCTATCATTCTGGTTCTCATCCCGTCATTGTAAAGACCATGTATGAAATCCCTAAACAATTAATAGAAAATCATTGAAGAGTTTTAGAGAGTAATTAAGAAAACGATGTTTGTGAAAATCTAATGGTCAGTTGGCTATAATGAAGCTTTCATCCGCGCTGACGTTAGGTTTTTTTACTATCAACCTAATCATGTGAAGATAGCTTGAATGTAGAGCTGTTGTTACTATTAAAAACAATGCTTTGAACATTCTTGGCTGTTCATTTTATTTATTTTTTATAGTGTTGATTTATTTACATGTACTTTCCAGTTCAGTTTTGAAACGTACATCCGATACTCTTTCTACTGTTTTTTTTTTTAACTTTTTTCATTTCTAACAAAAGATATTAGTATATATTATTCTTCATTTTTATAATACATCTGATATTAAAATAGGAGACGTGCCGTGAGTAATTTATTGACTTCATAGCTTAAAATCTATAAAGCTTTATTAATATTATAGTACTTCACAGGCTTACTTTCTTGAATATCTGACACTGATCAAATATTGATTTGAAAGATTACAATTTATTTTAATGGATATATCGAAAAAATTATTACCGTTTATTATATTTATTATTTCCAACAATAATAAAAAAATCACACAGAAGATAAATTTTTGTCATCATAAGAAAATTCATCATTTGCGATTAATCGATACACTTATAATAATTCCAATTCCGTCCGCCAGTCGTATATTTCGCGCTATCGCGAGCAAGCAAGTACAATCCGCCATTTATACTACCATCTATAACATAGTCCATGACCATGCCTAAACAATTGAACGAACATGGTGGACGCGTTGCCAAGGGCTGAACGGGAGAGCAGATGCGGCTGAATCAGTGATCACCGAATTCGCCAAGAGATCAGTCGTGAATATTCAAGGTAGTCACATCGTCGCAAAAAGGTTTATAGAAGAATCACTCGTAATTTTATCAGTTGAACCTTTGTATGACAGCTTCCAACGCCATAAACCAATTCACAACGTTTCAATGTAGACTACTCAACTTCAAATAAAGAACAAAGCTTCTCAGAATTCGACCTTTCTACATGGACGCTTGTGAGAGGTTAGCTTATGACATGCCTTTCATAAATGTTTTATAAACTCAAAACACTTGATTTTTATGAAAACGAGATTTTAGCATATTTATTTTGAAATATGTATTGCTCCGATTATGTTGTTATTAGTAATGTTTATTTTATCGTGCAGTAAAATATGTATCGTTATATATTTTCTCGTATAGTCGAATATATTACGATAATAATAGATATAATTTATATTGCCCTGTTCATCGTACATCATCGACAAATTTTTATTGCACACTAAAATTAATTTAGTTACTCAAGGTATTTAAGAGGTATATTATTAATCACTCAAAATGCTTGAAATCAAGATCCGTTGATGAAAAATAAGGACTCATTTTTGTAAATAATATCTGAACATTGCAATTATTGCATAAAGATGTAATATCATAAGTAGATCAATACTGTAGTAGTGGTGACAAAATTACAGGGCTGGTCAGTGTAGATGTGTTATTATACAAAGCTCCTTAATTGATACGAAATGTACGTATTAACGTATTCAATATAACCTGTGTAAGATTATGTTGCCATTTAGTAATTTAGTATTTCAATTCGTTACTCTGAAAATTTTATATAATGTCATTGACTTTGTTCTCTCTCCTCTCCCTCTTTCCCCCTCCGTCCCTCCCTCTCTCTCTGTCTTTCTGTGAATGCTTGGAACTAGGTTATGTTCTGTTTAACACAATTTCTACAATTATCATTATTGATTGTACTATTTTTACAGTACTATCTTTCTAGTCGCGACTGTCCCATCATAATGAACACAATTAGTTGAAAGTACAACTGAGAAAATTAATTGTTCTTTCAGTTGATGATAACGAATTTTAATCAATGGAATGCGCAATAATTTTTGGCAGAATTTCAACATCCCTACCGTAGATTTATTGTGAAAGTGAATCGATTAAAAAATGTTTCTTTGCCCTATGTTTCCTAAAATAATTTAGTGACGTATAGCCGAAAATGAGAAGTAATATACCCGCATAAAAAAATTACGCGGCACATAAAATTTCTGACATGGCGCAATTTTTTTATCATAATTTCTAAATCAAATTGACAGTTACCTGTTATATCTATAAAATATTGATTAAAATAGTCTCTCGATCGGGCGACTTGATTACTCTCAGTTGGATTTCCCTTATTTTCGTCTAATCGTGTAATAATCGCATTTTTAAAAGAACAGTATTTAGAATAAATAAAATACGTACAAATAGAATAAACAGCTAAGTTTGAAAATAAAATATCGACTCGCTGACCTAACGAAAAATTTGAGTGAAAGGTCGTGTCACAAAATATAATGACAGAAGTATACTTATGGACAGTCATTAGTGACCGAATTGGATTTCGGAAATGATTCGTTACGGTTCCTCTGAGTAAATGTCCATTTGGAGTCTATGTTTTCGGTAGTGACGCTAGATTTTCATAAGATTACATACTTCATTAGCAAATTTAATTGACTCTTACACAGAAATGTATAACGTGCTATTCAGTTAAACGAATTAAGTAGATTGCATATGCGAGCTTTCGTATTTTAATTAAGAAAAAATTAGAACGCTTTAATTAAACTTCTAGTGTGAGAAAGAATTCACAAATTTTTAAGCTGCATTATATTACCGCTACACAATAGCAAAAAAACTGCCTTGCTTTGACAAAAAAATATTATGTTTTGAACACGTCAACTTTAATACGAAAGACAATACTTATATCGGTGGAATTCGCTCTTCAATTTCAATCGATTGCATGCTTATTCCATTTTAGTTTTTAATTCTAGTGGGTATATTGAATTAGAAAAATCGATTCTTAATGATCACTTTTTTGTTGAAGCCTCTACCTTATAGATAATTTGTTGACTTCTTTTACGTACCATTTAAAATAATTAAACTTTATCAATACCTTACGTAAGTCAAATGAAGTAATTTCCGAAGTGGATATACGTAGGTAACTTTTTATCAGGATTACTTCAAGGAAAATTGGTTGAAAAAATGATTTCATGCGAAAATGGCGATTTTGCACGTGAACATTCATCGGAAAACGAATGTGTAATCTAGAGCATTGTCGATATAGAAAAAGAAGAAGAGTTTAGTTAAGAGTACGAAGGAGAAGGCAGTTTTACGACCTTTTCATACCAACTCCACTTGATTGCTCGCGCGATCCTTCTCGCAAGAACGTCGAATCGATAGATAACTTTTCAAATATTTACTAATACATTTTGTTATTTACAGCTCATCGATGCGGAGGTGAAAAGTATCTGTGATCGGCCAACTCTCAAGATTCTATATGAAACAACGAGACAATGATGAGACTACAGCCATGCTTCAAAGTCGAGAGCTACACAACATGATCGATCACTCTGGAGCAGCGTTGAATCATTATGCAGCTGGCCATTACAGCTCAAACATGACGCAATTCTCAATCAAATCTGAGATGAAAGAAGAGGCACAAGAGGCGGTAGTTGCGGGACAAAGTCCGCCAGAGGAAGACGGTAACAACGTCGACGAGAGGCCTGAATTCGATATAATCATCAGCAACGTAGTTTGTAGCTTTAGCGTAAGATGCCACCTGGATTTACGAAAAATCGCGTGGAACAGCTGCAACGTCGAATATAGAAGAGAGAATGGACTGTTGCGCATGAGACTGAGGAAGCCCTACACATTAGCGTCGATCTCGTCGTCTGGAAAAATCACTTGCACCGGAGCCACTAGCGAGGAGGAAGCTAAGAAAGCCGCCAGAAGATGTGCGAGATCTCTTCAGAAACTCGGCTATAATATTCGCTTTCAAAACTACAGAATAGTTAATGTCCTTGGGACTTGCACTATGCCATGGGCTGTCAAAATCATCCCTTTCTCCGAGCATTACAAAGGAAGAGTGCAATACGAGCCAGAAATTCAGCCTGGCGTTATATACAAATTGCAAGACTTACGCGCTACTTTAAGGATATTTTCGACGGGCAACATTACAGTTACGGCTCCTAGTATAAGCGCCGTACAAGCAGCTGTAGAACACATTTATCCGCTTATATACGAGTTCAAGAAGGAGAGAACGATAGAAGAGCAATATGCTATACAGAATCGGAGGCGTCGTTTTGTACTGCCTGACCAGGATAATGGTGTCGAGCAAAGGGATGAAAGTGATAGTTTTGTTTCCAATGATGAGGACATGAGTGATGGCAGTGACGCGAGTTAGTCGTAGTAAAATTTTGCTTTCCTTTTCTAATTCTCATTTTGACTTGCAACAATTTTAGTGCTTATCTATTTGCATTATGACACACTTTTGTGATAAAGTAGAAATAATTTCGTTCATTGATTTCATAATTTATCAAACATTATTCATAACTTCTTTCTTTTTCTCTATTGAAAAATTATTACTTATCGTTCAGTCCAGGACTAAGTTTCTTTTGTCATTGCATTCAACTTGGACTGTATGGATAATTCATAGCAACATTGCGTAATTTTTTTTGTACTGTTAAAGGCAACTGATTATCATTATAATAAAATTTGGGAAAACACACTAAGACTATTCGAACTTTTACTTAAAAGTCAATGCAAACGTTTTATGCGTCACCTGATCAACAAAAGTTCACTATCAATGATTTTTTTGAAAACGTATTTCATTCTTTTTTTAAGAAAAAATTTAACTGTTACTACGTTTATGTAATTAAAATCTAATGCTAGTTAACAACAACAAATTAGCAAAATGAAATCGTTTTACTTTTTATTGTTCGCTTGATGCTATATATTTTTGAATTAATAAATAAATAGCGAACCTTTTTATATAGTATCTTATACAGATGAGAGATCTTGAAAAACATTGATCGGCGTAAAATGAAGGAAAAACTATACTGATTACGTATAATTATTATACAAAAAGATAGCAATAGCTTTGTGTGGCTGCTTGACGGTATTTAAGTAATAAGGGAATACTTTTATATGCCGTTAACTTCTCGTAAATTAAAAACGTGGCACATTATTATTATACCTTGCAAACAAATGATAACTCAAAGCGTCGCCAAGGAGTTGAAAAGACGAGATTATTGATATGTTGAATCTCGCAAGCTAAGTTCAATATTGTAATGAAGTTTTTAAAAAATGCTCACAGCGCAAAAAAAAATGTTAGGATTTTATAATATCTCTCGGATAGTGATGCTCCAGAAATAAAATCAAAGCACCACTAGCGATGTTACTTTCAATTATTGTAAACCAAAGAAATGTTTCACGCAAAAAAAGTAAATCGAACGTATGAAAAATTCTCTCGCAATACGATGCGGATTGAAGGTACGAGACTAAAATTTTTGATGGACATGAAATTATCAAGTCTACGTTCACATTTCTAATAATGTAGCCTTGGTCAGCCAATGAAAGAATTAGTGAAATAATATTACAATTAACGAAACAGTAGGCGAATTATAGTTTTGAAATAAATGAAAGACCAACTTATTTCGTTAAGTGTATAATATTGTACGATGTATGTTAATTTAAAATGAACACAAAAAAAAATTTAATAATTAAGAGCTTTTCGCCCAGTCCAGATTTTATTTCTTTGATTAGAGCGCGCACATTGTGTGTTACATTGATCGGATTCACTTTTATTGTGCATATTAAATTGTATAGCAAAACTTTGTAAAAGCTCGTCAATGAGATTATCATGAAGATCAGAACACCATTTAACGTGCTCTTACATACATGTAAAATCGTTGGACTGAATAGCGAATTGTTTCTTACTAGGAAAAAAGAAAATGCTTGATTATTTCTCTAATTATTAAAAAATATAAGTGTTTTAGCTTGTGTTTAAAAGTAGCATGATTAGGCATATAACAAATAGTTGTATATGTCGTTGTAATACAGCACTAACAGTAAAAAAAACAACAGTAATACCTTGTTTAAAGTTGTTTTCAAGTATAATTGATGCGAAAAGTAATCTATTTATTACGAAAACATTATCAAATATTGACAGAAAACTATCTTAAATGTATACAGGCTACAATTTTTGTAATAAAATTTGCAAAAAAAATATACATTTTTTGTATTGTAAACGGGAGTGCCAGAACATAGTTACGAACTCATTAAGCTTCAAGATAATCTACTTCATACAAATAAATTGTATTTAAAAGCATAATTCAATTTCGTTTAATTTTTTGTTATTACATTACTATTGTTATTGCAATTTCTAACTAAAATCGGTTTTCATTATTTTTATTTCAGTGTTTCATTCCAATTGCAAACTACAAAGTAATATTTGAAAAATTCTTAATTTTTTGTAAATGAACAAGTTTATGCAAACCGAATAAAAGTTCTAATTAATTGAAGTGACACCACACATTATGAAGAGTGGCGGCAGCTACCTTCGGCATAAATGTATTTATTTTTAAATTCAAATAATTGCTTTTACCTTTTTTGTACTTTTGAAGTTTCTCATGTTCAATACTCAATATTGATGCGAGAGAAAAATACAAAATATTAAGTGTTAAATTAAATTATACTCAAAACTGCAGATATTAGTCACAATATAAAAATATTTATATCAGTTTATTACATTATACCAAATAGTACATTACGATACAAGTCCCGAACATGTGCTGTGCCGTATTTTTTTATATAATGACGTGTGGAAAGTGCGATTTTCAACGCACGTTTTCTGCCGAGTGTGCGGGAAAGATGCACTTTGCGCACGGAGTATCGAAAAGAAATTTACCAAAATGGAAGATAACCACTATGAAAATTAACAAAGCATCATCAGCATATATTCAAACAGTATAAAAATAAAACATCCTTTGTAATAACATGTAGCAATTTAAGGTTGCATTCGAATAGCACCATCAAGACGAATAGTTTCGCCGTTAAGCATAGTATTCTCAACTATGTGTTGCACGAGAGCAGCATATTCATCGGGTTCACCAAAACGCGGTGGGAAGGGCACGCTCTTACCCAGAGAAATGCGAGCTTTTTCAGGAAGTTGCGCTACCATGGGAGTATTGAAGATTCCGGGAGCGATCGTAACCACCCGGATACCTAACAAAAAGTTGACGGTTTCAGTAACAATGTAACTTGAAAAGTACGAATTGCCATTAAAGATATTTACCATCTCTGCACAAATCACGAGCGATGGGAAGTGTCATTCCTACAACGGCGCCTTTACTTGCAGAGTAAGCAGCTTGTCCGATTTGACCGTCGAAAGCTGCAATACTAGCAGTATTAATGATGACACCACGTTGTCCATCCTTGTTTGGTTGATTTTCACACATTAGAGCGGCTGACAATCTGATTGCGTTGAAAGTGCCGATGGTGTTTATTTTGAGGGTCCTCTCAAAATCCTCCAGCGGAAAAACAATTTTTTTCAACGAGTTGTAACTTCTGCCGATCGCTGCCACGCCTGCAGCGTTAACAAGGACGTCCAGGCGACCAAATTGCTGTTTGGTAAGTTTAAGAGCTTCTTGTATATCTTTTTCCGAGGTGACCTATATGAAGAAACGTATTTTTAATGATTATTTTGGTAATTGACAATTACGCAGTTCGCTTATGTGAATAAAAAATTAATGTTTTTATTTTGTAAGTGTTCAGTATATACAAAATTTTTGTGCACGAAAATAATCATCTAAGTAAAAAAATTACATAATTATCAAGAACGTCACGTACGTATCATATCTCGAGTGATGAGACAGCATTTAATCAAGAGAAATATACTTATCCTTCTGTCTGTCTGAACCGTACAAATAAAACTTACGTCTGAGGGTGCAAAAACAACATTATCACCAAGCTCTTTGGCAACATCTGCTCCTTTAGATGTCGGAAGGTCTGCAATAATGACCTTTGCACCATGTTTGACGAATCGCAAAACGGCTCCTTTGCCAAGCCCAGACGCTCCTCCAGTTACCAACGCTACAGCATTCTAATTAATAATACGAAGATAATTAATATTTTCAATATTATATTGTGAAATCTGAAACGAAAGTTTCGTTAATCACAAAAGGTGATTTTAAATCATTTGATTGGTTATACAAAACTTGCCACTGTGCACCGAAAACTCGCATGATTTTACAAATAATCTTTCAACTATTAAATTGTAAAGGAAATGATGATATTGCAAGTTTACTAAAAAATTTAAAATAATCGAATTATGAGCATTGTTTTAAACACTAAAAAAAACTTCCATATCGAAAACGAATCTTTCGAAGTTGAATAAATAAGAACGAGGTTAAGAAAATTCAGAATTGAGAATGCAAAATAAAAAATTCAATTAATTTACTTATTAACTATAAATTAGTCAAATTATTTTAGAACTAATGTAAATATCATAAAAAAACTATAAATCATCTATAATTTGTTGCATAAGGTATAGTTACCTTGACCATATTTAGTAGTACAATAGCAACAAGTGATCAAATGAATGTTCGGACAGATCGAGATTAAGCAGAAACCAGAGGCTGACTAAAGACTATATGCAACCAGCTTGCCGGCACAGTCAGTGCCAGCGTTGCAAATCAAATATCTACCATCTTATCACTTATTGGTTCAGTTGCTATATACATCTGATCAAAAATACTTTATGTGTGACCATTAAATATGCTATGTGAAGTAATTTTTTTCCATGGAATTGAGAACTTATAATTTAGTAATAGTCAACTCGATGGTATTATTTAATTTACTATAAGAAAGTTTTACACAACAACAAAAATACGAACAACGTTCAAAGAGTTTAAACTTGAATGGGTTTTTCAGATAATGAAATAAAAAATTCTTTTTCTTCTTAGAGAACTCTTATAAGTCAAGATTTATTTGAAACGTTGGTTAACGTTTCGGTCATCTCATTAGTCTATTGACATATTCGATTAACATTATTTGATACATTTGTTGATTTCTGTTAAAAATGACGTTAATAACAGTTATAAATGTATTTGACCAGTTGACTATAAATATAAAATTGTTTTTAGCAAATATTTTATCAATTTGAATTATTATTACGCTTTCGTAAAGATTTTGTTCTATCGTATGTTATAGTTCCCGCTTATCAAAATAACTTATTACATTTCTTGACAAGAATGTAATATTCGATTGACTTTTATAGTAATAGATAAGTTTGAATTTGTAATTATTAAATCAATGTATAAGTTCGTTTTGTCTCCTCAGCCTTGAGAAGAATGATACAAAATATAACCGAAACGTTGGCCAACTTTTTAAATAAATTGGTTTGTAAAGATTTCAAGAGGAACAAATTTTTTATTTGATTACCTGAAAAATCTATACAAGTTGAAAGAAGATTATAAGCCACTTGGAAGACGGCATCACCAAACAAATGTTCAAAAATATTTTAAAAAATTGCTAAACAAATAATAATAAAAAGTTTTACGTGTAAAAAAATATTTATTTATTCAATCAACATTGCACTAGGTACATTATCATATCTTAAAAAGGTCTACCATATCAAAAGAGGAGGCAAAATCTTAAGAAAAACAATCTTAAATGTTATATACAAACAATTACATAAACAATGGTATAAATGTAGATTACAACAGTAAAAAATTCCATAGTCGTGCTAGTACAAATCTCAGAGAAAATTTTTAATTCAAGGCTGCATGCGAAGGGCACCGTCAATACGAATAGTCTCACCGTTGATCATAGGATTTTCAACGATATGTTGTGCGAGAGCAGCATATTCGTCGGGTTCACCCAGACGTTGTGGGAATGGGATACTCTTTGCCAGAAAAATACGGACTTTTTCGGGTAGACCTGCCAGGAGAGGAGTGTTAAAAAGACCTGGGGCGATTGTTACTACTCGAATACCTAAAATGAAAGGGCAAGAACATTAGTTCGATAATGAATTTACAAAGAAATATCTTTAGATGAAGATCTTTAGATTTAAACAAATTTACCATCACGAGATAAATCACGAGCAATGGGAAGGGTCATTCCCACGATGGCACCTTTGCTAGCAGAGTAAGCAGCTTGTCCAATCTGACCATCGTAAGCTGCAACACTAGCAGTGTTGATGATGACACCACGTTGTCCATCCTTGTTTGGTTGATTGTCACACATCATGGCGACTGACAATCTGATTGCATTGAAAGTACCAATTGTGTTTACTTTAATCACTTTTTCAAAGTCTTCAAGAGTGTGACAAGTTTTTTTTAATGAATTATAAGTCTTGTAGGCCACAGCTATGCCAGCAGCATTTACGAGGACATCCAGACGTCCAAACTTGTCCTTAGCAAGCTTGAGAGCTTCTTGGATGTCCTCATCTGAAGTAACCTAGAGAAATAATAATCTTGAAAATTTACATTATTCTTTCAAATGTAATGTTCAATCACTCGTAGTTTGAAATAAGAATTCAGTTTTTCCAAACTTGTATATTATGTGACTGATAAGTTCATATTATTTTATCTCAACTTCTGTGATTTCAAGATAAAACAATTTTCAAATGCTTATTTATTGCTATTTCTACTTTATTTTATATTGAAATGTTATTTACGTTCATGGGTGCAAATATTGCATTATCTCCAAGCTCATTGGCAACATCTGCTCCTTTTGATGTCGGAAGATCTCCAATAATGACTTTTGCGCCATGTTTGACAAATCTCTCAACAGTTCCTCTACCAAGTCCAGAGGCTCCTCCAGTTACTAAAGCTACAGTATTCTAAATAATATTTATTATTGAAATACTTCCTGATAAATTGTTCCAAATCAACAATTGATGAAATCTTTTTTATATTATGAAAGAGAAATGTATTCAATACTTGCTTCAAAACTAATATCTGTTGAGAGCTTTTATTGATAGTACGAATTTCAAAATTTACTTACATAATTAATAATATAATCTATAGAAAATCTACTGGAAACTATCTAATCTACTAATCTACTGAAACATAACTTTAAAAGCTCAATTCAATTAAAATTAAAAGCTAATATAGTTTGAGGTTATCGACTTGTACATGCGAGGATAAACTTTTAATTCATTAGTTAAAAAAAACACCGTTGAATGTTATTCATTTTATTCCTATACAGTGCAAAGCGTGGTCTTGTAAAAATAAGTAAGAGCAAATGAACGTCAATTGTGAAATGAAACAGTAATGTAATTTATTTATGAACGTACATTTGTTTTTCAATTTCACTCGAAACAAATGACTATCAGTGGTAAAATGGTCTATCATTATTCTTTATTTAGAGGAAATACATATGTATACCTTGATCATGCTGCAAAATTGGTTGGTTTGTAAAATAAGCAGGAGTTTAAGAAGTCTACAATGAATTGATCACCGGTACTTATCTTAGTGAGACAGAAAATACGAGTATATATCGCAATGCAATGACTGGTTATAATTTCTGACCCTTTCGTCATGCGGAAATTGAACTCTCTTATGAAAAATCCCTAGAAATTTCACACTAGAGTTTTTCCATCGATGGCCGATTTCAAGGTTAAAGAAAGATCTACGAGACGCGCACGCATCTCACAATGACAACAACGACGAACGATGATAGGTAAATGTGAACATAACCTCGATAATCTAGCAGACAGCGGCTGCGCGATTCATTCGTAATATGGCTTCGGCGGATGCGGACTGTTTTTAACAGACTTATTGTAATTTAAAGAGTATTTTTTATTAACTTTGAAGATTATGTCGATAAGTAGAATCTCAAAATTAGCTATAGAAGTAGCCAGGTGAGTTTCATTAATTTAAGTACGATAATTAGAAATTGTTATGTTATTGGGAAAGTTTATTGATTATCGTGTAGGTATAAAAAGAATTAACTTTTCATAAAATATGAAAAAAGTCGAAGTAGCGATAATATAAAATACCGTTTTCACTGTTTGAGCATTCTTTTAATGACCTGTTTACTGGAGTTTGATGACTCATCAAGGTTGAAGAGATTTTTATTTTTATTTGTTTACACTATGTCCCACTGAAAAAAGAAAGTATATCACCTTTTGCAGTAATTGCTTGTGATTCATAAAATAGATAATGCTGTGATATCTGTCATATACAACTCCAGTAAATGACTCCTGGTAGGTTATTGACATCCTCATGTTACCAGAATGTTCTTTAGAAATTCTTCTTTTTCTAGCTATGAGGCTCGTATTACATACAAATGTTCCTACGCTGTCATTCGTTCAGCAAAGAAAATTGTCACATCAATATCTGGACAAGGGGTAAAAAGTCAGTTAACCTCTGGAAATCCAAATCCAATTGAAGGAAGAGAAAGTTCATGGAGGTCTTATGTGCGCAGATGGCAATGGAAGATACCTCTTGGACTTGGATTCTCTTTCTTAGCTGTATTACAATGGAGATATTTTAGAAAAAGACACGAAATAAACAAAGGTCCAATAGAAGGATTAATGGTAATTTAATTTCTGTATTAACAATAATATGTTTCTGGTATGTGTTTACTTTACATTACTATCACATCAGTATTAAAACAGATAAGAGAGCCTGCTGCTTGTAAACCTTGAGTGACTAATTTTTATATCTTTCCCACTTTATAGGTAGAATGTTATTGTTGCTTACCTTTAAGAATAACTAGCCGAGTTTGGGGAGGCTTTGCTAATTTACAATTGCCAGTCTCTCTGCGTGCTACAATCTATAGTTTTTATGCTAAAATCTTTAAAGCAAATTTAGATGAAATAGATGCTGCCTTGACTGAGTTTCCAAGTCTTTCAGATTTTTTTGTCAGACCATTAAAGCCTGATGCTAGAACCATTGCCGAAAATACAAATATGGTAACTGCAGTTTTTCTTGTTTTACTGTCATTTTTTTCAATATTCATAAATTATTGTGGACATATGTGTTTCAGGTATCTCCATCTGATGGAAAAGTGTTACACTTTGGTCCTGTGACATCTTGCAAAGTAGAGCAAGTCAAAGGCATGACCTATAATCTGCAACATTTCTTAGGTGAACCAAATTGGCCAAAAATCGACAAAAATAGTACTAGTACTATACAGAAAGGCGTGTGCGACGATTATGTTTCCAGTTTGCTGAAGAATCCTGAAAATGTATTGTACCAATTGACAATTTATTTAGCACCAGGCGATTATCACAGATTCCATAGTCCTGCTGATTGGTCAATAAAGTTACGTAGACATTTTCAAGGTGCGTTATTTTCAACATTAAAATTTCTAGCTACTAAGCGATTTTCATCACTTAGTTTGAAAAAATATTTGTAGGTAAACTGCTTAGCGTTAATCCTAGAATTGCTAGTTGGATTCCTGATTTGTTCTCGCTTAACGAACGTGTAGTTTATATCGGCGAGTGGACTGGTGGTTTCATGGCATACGCAGCCGTAGGCGCAACGAACGTCGGTTCAATTCGCGTGTACAAAGATCAAAATCTCGTCACAAATACGAAAAAATGGCCAAGAGGCAAAAATTCAGAGGATACAGTATTTAATGATTTAAAAGTAGAGAAAGGCGAATTGTTTGGTGAATTCAGAATGGGTTCGACGATCGTTATGCTTTTTGAAGCTCCAAAAGACTTCCAATTCTGCACCGAGGTAGGGCAGAAAATTAAGGTTGGTCAAGGTTTAACGGAATTCAAGGTAAAAGAAAGAAGATTTTGGCAATGAAATTGTTTCCTCTTTTATACAAAAGTAATTTTTAAAACTGAAATTGATGTTTTTGAGGCAGGTATTGCGATTTCGTATTACTATGTGAACTGATGGTATATTTTTTTCATATATATGTCGATATAATTGTAAATGTATATTTTGATCTTATCTGATAAAAAACCTATATACGTATACGCGGAGAATCTAATCTATAAGCACATAGTTTTTGTAAGCTGTCGCCATGTTATGCAAAATTTATATTTCGCTAATGCGTTTTCATTTTTTGTAAAATAAATATTCTATTACTAAAAACACTACTGCGAAAGCGTATACATCACATTATCACTCATTCTTTATCACTATTAAATTCTATTATCGCTAAAATATGGCGTTCCCCGTCAGAACAATTTCGAACGACGAATTTTCGATAAATATAATTTCTCACTTCGCCGATACACAACACTTATTTGCGCACAACGAGAAAAAACGAAAACGTCATAGTAATTCTTATCGGACCCGCCCACTACTTTTTACGTCGAAAAGTCGTACAAACAAAACCATTAAACTATCCATATTCCGCACCAAAACTGTTAAATCGATCAAGCCGCAAGACACTCGGAAAAAAAAGAATATAAAGCAATTATTCTTTGCGGGACCGTCGGCCTAATTAAAGCGTCATTGTCGGAAATCACGAAAGCTTAGTGCGTGTACGATGTTTCCTCTTAACTGCTATGTTTTGAATTGACATAACATGGTGTGATGTTCATTATAGAAATATCAAGGTTTTTTGCTATGCCTTATCGCGAATCAGAGTAATTTTAAGTATAAAAGTAGTAAATTGCATGTAAATTAAAGGATAAGCGTATAATACGAGTGCGATAAGCTTAAAACGGCGTTCAAAAAATTATTGTTTTAGGTACACAATTGTTATGGTTTACACAAACACAGAGAAAGAGAGAAACGGTTATTGATTACTAACTCGATAATTGTAAGTCCCGTTACTCGTCATAAGACGTTTTATTTTCTGCATGTGTAAAAGTTTGTGAAATTATACGTTGAAGTCCACGGAAAAATTATTTTATAATGAGAGGGAGATGGATTAGTCGAAAGCGCAAGTCTCAGTTATTTATAAGTCTTATTTGAAAAATGTAAATTTGAAAAATAAATATACAATAAATGAATCTGCATAAATATAAAAAAATGAAGACGGTTATGAAAGGTTATTTGAATATATATTTATTAATATTAATTGTTAAATTAAGTGTAAGGAATACAGTAATTCAAAAAGTAAAGCAACTTCTAGAAAGTGATAAATTTTCATAGAAAGTAATAAGCAAGTAAAGGTGGTGAAAACACAATATTATTCCCTGGCTGAACAAATAAAGACCTAACTAAAGCTTTACAAAACAGTTTCAAACAATTATCTCAACCTTGACCACAAAAATGAGACAAATTTCTTTTCGATACTCCGTGCGCAAAGTGCGTCTTTTCTGCACACTCGGTAGAAAACGTGCGTTGAAAATCACACTTTCCACACGTCGTATAAAAAAATACGGTACGATACATGTTCAGGAAAGAGTTTCTCGTCTCGTGTACCTTTTCACCCTCGCCTCGCTCGGGTGTAAACGCCACACGAGACAAGAATCTACTTTCCCGCACTTGTATCGTAATGTACTATTCCGCACTTGTCATCCTCCCTTCCCCACATACAAAAATACACACACACACACATACACAAATAAATCAAATCCACCGATGTCATCGCTTTTCCGCGCTGAGATATATCAAAGCTCCCACAGAGCTGTGCTCGTAAGCGTATTTCATTCAGCACTTATACACATGTGACACGCGACGCCAATCCAAGGTCTGTAGCTTATTAGATACCTCGGGATTTATCGGCTGTTTGTATGTGCCGTGATCACTTATTCTGAATATTTTAGAACGTTAGCGGGACTGATAAAGATGATAAGAGTTATATTTGTGTAATGCTTGTTCTACGCGATTTAGCTTCCATTGATGTATCTTCGTTTATTCCGAAAAATATAAAAAATTGAGCGAGACAACAAGCATCAAGTACTTTCATTGAGATATTTCTTGTGTTTCTTGTGAAAAAGAATTATGTCTTTCAACTAATCTTAATGTAGTCAAAGACAATCCGAAAATGGAAGCACCGACATTTAATTAAAAATCTGCGAGTGTGAAATTCATACAACTCATGGCAGGGCAGCGCCGAGCGATTCCAAGATAATACATTCTCGTCGGCTCTAGGTTTGACAATCAGCAAATCGTACGAAGCGTACGGCGAACAAACGACCGCACAGCACTCCAAAGGATTCGAACACCGCGGTTACTCCATAATAATGCACCACGCGCGCATTTACACCGAATATAAAAGCATCGCTAAAGATGCATTGTCGAGCAGAATTGTCGATAATTTCTATAGACTGCTCACGATTTGTCATACATAACAAGAAATTATGTGTAGTGAGCCTCGCGCGGACGAATCCCCTGGTGCGAAATTTCTCTTTCGAATAGCTTCATGAAGGATTATCCTTTAACAAAATTCCGTTTGCGTAATTATGACAAGCTTTTCTTAAAAGCTGCGCTGCGTATTTCTTGCACGATACATTCTTTGAATTTCAGAAGAGATTAAATTCTTCGTTGGAAATTACGATAAAAAAGTTTATTGATGTAAATCAAGTTTGAGTTTGATAGAATTGTTGCATCCTTTGAAGCGGCTTCAATAAATAAGCGATATTGCGAATCGTTCAAGTAAAGCTTTAATTATTTTTCAACCGAAGCGCAATAATCGATGTGAATGTAAATTAATAAGAGATTTCTGACGAGTAATTTACTGATATTTTGTTTCAATAGAAGCTTTTGTTGAAGATAAAACTCATTTTATCGACACGATCAACCTACTCATTACATTCCAACTACGAAGCAATATTACGAAGAGATTAATTTTTTTTTTAATTTTTCCTATTTACAGTCGAACTATCCACTTTTTTCTCCCGAATAGCGATGTGAAAACAAACATGCTTTTATTATCTTCAACGAGAAAAAGAAGCTGTTCTCTTTAGCATTCATTGGCTTTTGTGTAAAAAGAAATCCTACCCTTTCTTCATTCCTTCATTTTTCAACGAGACAATGCCAGTTTTCAAACTAAAAGTATAAAAAGGCGCTTAAATTTTGAATCTGAAACGAATTTACAATAAATAAAAGTAAATGGAAGATTACCAAGGATCATTACAGTTTATCATATGTGTTAAGTTTGAATTTGAATGATAAAGTTTACGTTACACAAAACCTTCAGTAATAAAGTTTTACATTTATCACTTGTTTCTAGAAGCTCGTACGAAAATATATCAACAGTTTATGGTACGACCGACAAATCGTGGAATAATAAGTTTCATGATGCATTTGCTTACGACTATAAACAGTGACGGAATCGGCACAAAATTATTAGGCAAATTATACGATGGATTTTGATTGGTATCTTTCCATGGATTGATTACCGTGTCGTGTACATTTTTCAGAATTTGCAGAACAAATGAACAACAAGAGAGCAAGAGACTTTAAAAGGCAATTGTAACGTATCACAAGGGTGTATATGTTCGCACAAAACAACTTAAATGGTTAATTACATATTACTTATAATATATTGTGACATTACGTTTATAAATGATAAAATAAGTTCAACGAAAGATTTCATTTCACATAACTAGAATTACCATATAGTTTTGGCTTGATAAAGCCAATAATTAAAATTAATTTATTGTAATGACTATGAAAGACTTATCGGTTAATATATAACTTTCTGTACGAAAAGCTATACAAATAATTATCAGGAATATTAAGGTTTCGCGGCATCGCTTTTATACAGGATCATATCCTTTATTTAGATATTATAAGACAACGCACTTGTCAAATAATTACAATTGGCGGGCATGTAAAGCGAAACTTGTATAATTCACAAACAGATGAATATTTTTTTCCGCAACTTAGATTCATACAAGAATTGCGATTACACAAAGAAGCGACTCACGTGTACACACATCCTAATTGGCTCAGAGACCGATAAAGATGCGCGCTCAAGCTCCTTTGCGAGAGCGAACCGGATTATACATCTGAGTTGCTCTTCTTTTAAGTCGGATTTTCGTAATGTGGTGAAATGACTGTTTGTTTATTACGAAATTATGCCGGTAAAACGATAGAAATTATAATCCATCTCGAGTGTTGGGAATCATTTACCATCGTCGCGTACATGGGCGTACGTATGATTACGAAACTGTTTAAAAATCTCGTACTAGCCCTCACTGTCAGGCATAAAGCTCCCAGTGCCCTCACTCTGCGCGTCCATCATAAGAGTAGATCAAGATGCTAATGTACGCAATGAATTCGCGTTTATACGAAATTAAGCTATTTCCATCGTGCACTCGGTGATTCTTATCGAAGACCGGGAAAAAAATGAATTTAAATCCTCTAAGTAATCTCCCTATGCTATTCTACTTTCCTCTATGAGTGGTTATTTTATTCCTGGCAACAATGGATAGCATTTGTCAAAATAAACTGCCGCGTAAGCTTGACGTGGCTGAAATAAAAACAAAAAAAACAATTCGCCTGTTTATAAAAATAAGATAGATTTAGAATAGGAAAGTGATCGCGAGCAAGCTCGCGTTATAAATGTACGTCGCGCCATTGCGCCCTTAAAATACACTTGCTTACAATCAGCTCGCACGCACCTCGAGCGCGAACGTCATTCTTACGTGCGGAAGAAATTATCCCGTAAGGTTGATCGAGTAAAACGCGCTATAAGCAAAATTTTCGGCTACGATAACTCCAGGTGTTTTCTTACGTGCGCGACCATTGCGTGCACAGCAATTACATACTACGTAGGAACCAAACGCTCTTGGAATCTTGGATTTCTAGAATATCAATTACTAGTGAAAATCAAAAATGCTTGCTCGCTCAACCGAAGCGAGAATGGAAATTGTAACCCTCGCAGAAAACAGAAAGCAAAGAAGGCATAAGTCCATCGCCCAATTGGGAAAAGCTCTCGAGTTGGAACGAGAACAAAGGGGGTGTATCCGATGAACGAGTGTAACTCGTGATTCCCCAACGGCAATAAGCTTCCCCGTGGCGAATTTCTCTCTTCGGTCCGTAATTTAAAAAATACTCAAGCTGCGCGCCCGCGCGGCCTCACCCTCGAGAGCTAACGTGAGAGACGCCACGAGAGCTACGTTTCCCAATCCCGACGATAACTCAGTTTGGTAATAGCCTGGTGGCGCAAGCCGCACAACTGCACAAACCGACGATTCGCTACAGCCGGATCCTACTTACACACACGCGAGCCGCGAGCAATCGATAAAACATTCGTCGCATTGGTGTCAAGGCTCCGTACACACTTTTCCAGCTGACGCTTAGGCGCGAGGAAGTGACGCTAGCTCTTCGACGTTCATTGTCGTTTGCATACTGTCGCCGTGTGAAGATGGAGTTTGCAGGACGTAAAGTAAAATTAAGGAATGAATGGCAGTTTATTCAGAGTAACCGCTCACGTAGCCAAACTAATCGGTTGTAAAAAAATTTGAACGGATTCAAGCAAATATCATGATTATCTTCGTTTGGCAATTTTCTGTAGTCGAAAAACCTCACGAGTAGCTGTTTGAATTATGCATAGAGTAAGGACCTACTTTACCGTGGGAAAATCTTATTTGTCGATGCTGAATAGAATGGATCAGGACTTGTTAATTACATTGCCTGAATGCTATCAACGGAGGTCAAGATATCAGATGGTTTTTTCAAATCTTCAAATTCATATCAAATCTTGTTCTTTTTTAAACTCAGCAAAAATGAAATTTTTTTGATATTTGCAATCGATTTAATTTTTACTCGGTATTACCAGTGGACTATTAGTCGAAAGCAATAAAAATCTTTGTTTTTCAAATATCACATATTTTTCAAAGACAAGTAGGTATCATTATATCAGAGGGATGTTGTTTCAGAATCTGCTAAGTTTCGATTTAGCGTATTTTATTTTTTACAATCTTCCTCTCGCAGTATAAATGATTTGATTAGAATGACGAGCATAAGATACAAATATACTATGTAAATATTATAATAGATTTGATCTGATTTATTATACATAAAATTAAATAGATGACAAAGTACGAAATTAATAGAAGTTATTTGTTTATAAAATTCGCTGCTTTAGATAAGATGAGAAAATAATAGGTGTTTTTTTATTCCTGATACTGAAAATAAAAGTGATATTATCGAAGTATAGTTCACCACCCATGCTTCACAAGCAAATATATTTTATAGATACGTTTCAATTGCGAACCATCGAAATTGACACGTAAAACTGATAACACAATCGCCCTGACGACAACCACGACGGAAGTTCCGAGTTTGTCGTGAACCTGGAAATCTTCTTGCATGTGAATACGACTAACAATTACGCAAAGCGTTCGCGTGAACTTCTCGGCAGGGTTTAGCGAGGGTGGGCTTGTTCCCTTGGTAACCGCAAGGCGCGCGCACGCAAGGTAATGCGACAAACCGCTGACGTGCAGATGCGGAATTGCGACAGAAGTAGCTGGACAGCACAGGTCAAATCGTGCCATCGTGATATCCGCGGCAGATAAAAGACAGCATTTCGTACGGCATGCACATTCTGGAATAATTTGCTTGAAATTCTGGCTATTGAGCCAGAGTAGGTATGATTTTTTTGCTACTGTGATATAGGACGACTTTTTCGCTAATATATTTCACAAATGATTTTTGACGCAGTGTACGAGTTAATTTCGGAAATACCACACAAAAAAATACTTTGCTATAATTTAAATGAATTGGCTGAAGAAAAATGTACATCTTGTTTAATTTGGCATCGCGTGGCGAAAGAGAAATGATTTCGCCGAATAAAAAGATTTTATTTTACAATAGCCATCAAAATATCCAAATAGAAATCCTTTCAACTATTATTATAACTTTCTAAGCTCAGTGATTGTAGATAAAACGAAAAAAAATAAGAATTCATCTGTCCCAGTCGCTTTTGTAATCAAGCGCTGTATTGAAAAGCGCCTCGCGTAAATCACCGTCAAGCTCGCTCATTTTCACTTTCTCGCAGGCCTAAGGCGAGGCACGGAAAAAAGAAGAGCTGCGCCCTCTCCCTCTCCCTTTTCCTTTACATAAACGTGAAACAAAAAGTGGCATCGATTATCGAACTGGCTTTTTTAATCATCTGACGTTACTCGTGCCAAAGACTGACGAACAAGCTCGAAAGCTTATTCGCTACGGTAATATTCTTAAATTTCGTGGTCAATACCCGGATTGATCTGAATTGCAGATTTTTATCACTGTGAAATTTCTTACAAGGTTACCGTGAGGAATTTATGAGGGCCGAGTATATTTGATATCATTTACGGGTAATGAGTTTCAGTAGTCTAAGTCAAGTTCGAGCAGACGTGTAGTGTTGAATTATATAGACTACTTGACTCGTGAATAATATGTGACGGTGAATGTTTTACTGAATCCAGAGCAGTAAACAATTAAATTAAATTGCTACAATTAAATTTCAAGGAAATTATCCACCACTTGAGATATCCATTCTTTTATCAATTATAATAAGTAATTCTCATCTTGACATTTCTTATATAATACGATGAAAGTTGTCGAAAACGGAGTTATCGTTGATATTACGATATAGTTTCCAACACAACTATCTTCGTTTATTATATTTTATACAACCAATTGGTCATTAATTTACTAGTTTATATTTACGAAAATGTAATTGCAAGTCTTAATAGAATAATAATAATAATAATTAATCGACAGATTAGAATTAAAAAAAACGAATTATCAAATGTAACCGGAAAATTAACGCTATAATACAAATAAAGTGACTTTATTTGTTAACTCAAGGTTACCTCCAGTGGTAACAACTTTTATAAACACGTTTTCCTGAACAGTTTTGCAAACGTCACTCATTATTCTACTTCCGCAATTATGACAATCAGACAGCAATAGTTGCAATCGATTTCAGTTAGCCAGAGCACCCACGTGCTCCGTTGACTTTACGCAAAACTCGTCAGCGTTGCGATCGCAAAATTCGTTGACATTACAAAACGAACCATTCGCTCGATTCTTTTTTCCAATAGACCAGAAAAGCCTCTTAGCCCGCGGGACCCTCGTGACTTGAAAGCCAAAGTATTTTTGTGCTTTCAGCGTTGGCCTTTTTTATCGGGGCCACGTTTTTTTTATTGTTAGGCTTCGAATAAAATATCAGGAAATATTCGCATTCAACATACAAACCGTTGAATTGATGAAATTTTTATGGAGACTCTTGCTCTTTTTTTTAACACGGTTATAAGTTATTTTAAATTACAAATATTGATCAAACTTCTTGAGCTTGAATTATTCATTACTGTCTAGGCAGAGCAATTGAATAACAAAAATTTATTTTCATTATTTTTAAACGTCGGTAACGTAAGCGACCATAATATTGTTTTTTTTTTTGTTTTAAGATAAGAATATAGGCCGACGTTTTTTTTTCTCAAATGCCGCAGTGATTCACCTGGCATGTGCAATCTAAGAAAAAAATTTACGCTTGAAGCGAAATAAATGTCGTATCCGCGCGAACAACGTTAAAAACTTGTGCGAGTGTTTCATGAACGCCCAGTGCAAAATAAAACAAAGTTTCTTGACGAAGCTTTCTTGGCCCGTAACGCCTAGCGCGCGCTCCGAAGTCAAATTGCGCAGTGCAGTTACCCTCATGCTCTCTTTGTCCTCCTCTACGCTGCAAAGGAAGAAGCGTCCGACCTTGCTAAATAAAACCACGCGCGGTCCATAAAACGGCTTTCGGGGCATCCACGACGCCGCCGGCAAAATTTAAGTCTGCGCCGCGAGTTCGCGAACGGCAAGAGCAAGCCGCCGAGAAGATCGACAGGCACATCAAACTAGTAATTGCTCGCGAAGAACAAACCTTATCGTCTTTTTGTTTATTACCTCAATTTTCTCATATCTTGGCGATAATGAGGCTTGCGACCTCGTTACTTTCGGCAAGCTTTTGGATCGTTGCGCCGTAGGCTGTTATTCCTGAGTTTAACTGGTATAATCAACGCTCGAGGTCAGCAGTGTTATGCTTCGCGTCATGGGATTCGAGATATTATTGTAGCGCAGGCTTTGGTTATTTTGTTACGACGACCGTGGCTTTGGAAAATCATTCTTTTGATTTCATGTTTTTTCTTTTTTTCCAAACGAACATTTTTCGTAGGCCAAATAAAATCGATGGTCTCTTTTGCCATTAAGGATGAACGCCTTTCCAATCTGTATCTTCCTGAACGTCACTTGCAGCCAACTGGCGCGATTATTTCATGAATCACGTCTGAAAAAAAGCTCCAGCTCTTGAATTGAAATTCTAGCGCACGCGCGATTCATCTGCTGAATAATGAATCAGGCTCAACGACACAATGTTGCCTACACACGCGCGCGCGTGTGCGCGCGCAGAAACAACAGCAGCAACCTACCACCCTCCCTTCTGCGGTGGCGGGAAAGGAAAAAAAAAAGCGGAGCGCGACTGAAGTCTCTCGCGCAGTGTTGGTCACGACGGCGTGCGATACGGACGAGCAGGTGCGCCGCTGGCTTAAGATATGGAGCCTGATGGGGGGCAATGGCCATTTCCGGGTGACGCTGTCCCTCAGACGAGAGCCCAATGCGGGACCCGTGTTCTGCAAACAGGAGAGCGAGAAGCGCTTCCGACAGTGCAAAACCGTCAAGTTGTCTGCTCAGGCCACTTACAGGCTCGACATCAGCTTCAAGCCGCCTCAAGTGTTACAGTGCGTAATTCTCTCACTCTCACTACTTACTTTGAAGCGCGAGCTTCAGTGTTTTTTTTAACGGGGCTGCGGATTCTTTTCTGTCGTGAGACGAATCGTCGCGCGAAAAATATATTTGTATTTTGTTTTGTTCTTTCAAAGCTTTTAAACAAGAAATTCAATTTCGTTTTGCATCGATCTAAAGAAATAATGGTATGGATCCTTCCACTTGTTTTTTAAGCAAAGATGTTGGATTTTGTGGTCTAGCTTTTCTCGTTATTGACGAACTGTCGCGTCGGCGTTAAAGCATGTGCATTTTCCCCGCGATATGCATTCACTAAGCCGCGTGCGCGCGGAGCGGCAATATCGACAGGGTTCCTTCAAGAAAATCCAAGCGTCTCCCTTCAAGGAGCGACGTTGGCTGACATTAGCAGAAGGTTATCGTTGATTTTATTCTGCGATGAATAAGAATATCGCCGATTCCGCGAGCCCGACAAATATCACATACATTTCCAAGTATCTCGAGTCCATTCTCGACTAAACTAAGCGATTGGTGCTCCGCTCAATAACTAGCCAATACATTGACAATAAGAGTTGGATTATCAATGTGTACATGAGAACCGACACGCTGATAACTCGGCACATTGGTGGGCACATTGGCGCGTGTCGAGGTGATTACTACCGATTGAATTAACGTCTACGTGCGTCTGTTTATCTCTTTGATCTTCGATTCGGAAGCTAACTGACAAATTCAAAGGCAGATCTTGACGTGCGTGTTTTATTCAAGCAGAATAGATTTTTCAACTGTTGTCGATAATTTCTCATCTGAGAATTTCGATGGCAAACTGTTACGCCTCGTTTCTTTTAGTTATGGATAATCATGCTGTACATGCATGCACATGTTCGTCAAAGGAATGCCGATTTGGAATTGGGACTCCCATCGTCGAATCCTTATCTATCGCAAATGGCGAACACACGTATAAATGTAATAAAATATTCAAGTTGATTGAAGAATTTGTTTATTTGTTTTTTGAAGACTATTTTCATAAGTACCATCATGAAAAATTCAATTGTCCTATAAATACAATCGATGCATTGTTGTTTCATAAAAAAATAAGTATGAAAAAATACATAAGATTTCTACAATCGATACTTAATAATTTTCTTTTTTTTCAAAACGTAAAATCGATCTAATTAAGATGAGGGATATGAAATGTTTTCGTAATGAGAAAAATAAAAGCACTTTCTTGTAATTTCAACCGAATTTCTCGGTCTTAAATACGATAAATCAAGAATGGTAATCCACACGTTTGCCAGTGAGAATTGTCAATAGAATTTTAATGGGAAGACTTGGCGGTTGATCAGCAAAACGCATAAAATTCTTGTCTTTAGAGAAATGTGATATCACGTTCGAAAAAGAAAAGGAAAAGTAAAGTATATAATGACATTATCTTTCCACGGCCTTACATAACGAAATAAGTATCTTTCCGTGCCACAGTTCCTAATTAAATTACTTATTAATTGTCATACTCGCGGAAACGAAAAAGCTTACGTCAGAGGGAACCTTTATTCTTTTCAAATGAAACACAATCATCGACCAGCGAACTTAGGATTCTTTCACGTTACGCGGGCAAAGAAAAAAGGGGGTTACGACAATTATCACGACATCGATATTGCCGCCGCTTCTTAAAGCTTTTCTAGGACTTCTTTGTCCACGGAACTATAGAGTTAACCGCGGAAATGTCTTTTTTCGGGCTTGAAGGGAACAACGTGAGCTTCCCTTTGCGCATCGTAGCCAAATTATATTTAGGTATTCCTCGCATATATCCGTTACGTGAAAGGACGAGCTAAAGGTGTGCGCGATATTAAACGCATGAAAACCTTGCGTTACGAATTTGTTTCGGCTACGCGTGAAAAAAGAATTTTTGATAAAATGAAATAACGTAGTCGCACTGTTTTCTAATTAAATGTGAATGACGATTAAATGCAATCGTATATACGTTTATCTTATTGCAAATTATTCATGAAAATATGTCAGCGCAATAATTCATTTGATTCGAAAGCAATACGCAAAGTTATTAAAACGACTACGAATATTCGTTAAAAAAAGGATAAAGAAATCTTGTTCCCGTTTATTTCTTTCAATAGCAAAAAGAAATACAGCATCTTGGATGCTATTCCGCTTCACGTTATTTTACTTCGGAAAAAAATTCCGTTCATGTCACGAAAACAAACAAATTATTTTGTTCAACTTCAATTTCATTCTAAATGATATATTAACAGTGAAATAAAAAGTTTCGATGCACATGCACGTTGAGCAAAAAAGAAAGACTTGAATATTTGATAATATCCTTCGTGTTGAATTTCATGACTACACAGTTCATGAATAATAAACGTCGTGCAAGTAGTTTTGGGAGCGACACGAACGCTGCGGTAGTTTTGTTTTATCATCGCCAGGAAATCAATTATATTAGCACTTAATGGCCGAGAGAGACGCGTATTATATACCACGTATCGCGTCCAATCGTTTCCTAATCTACGTTTGATATTTGTCGACTACTGCGTATTTATCTCATTTTATAAACTCGATAGACTTGACATTGACATCGACTTTGAAAATGTTGATTATTCGCATGCAACAATTCACACGTTGGTATTTGCTATTTTATCAGATTTAACATTAGATAAACCAAAATATAATCAAATAAATCTCACCATTTGTTTCATATGAAACATTATATACTGTATTATAGCACAAGAACAAAATATTTAAATAAGATAAGAAATGTTCAATGAACTGCGGTACAGTATAAGCTATTACTAAATTTGACAATGCTAAAAATTAAAATAAGAAATGTATTTTCTTATGACGAAAGAATAAGAAAAAATATACATTATTTTGAATTAATTTTAATCATTTGTAAAAATGAACTATATTCTCAATCATATTTAAATATATATTTCTACATAATTTTAAAATTAATTAAATTTGAATAAAAAGTTTTCTTAAAGCAACTGATTTCTAGTGGTTACTTTTCTAATTCAGAATATTGACGAAGTGATTCGAAGAATATTCAGCATAAAGTAAGGCAATGTTTTTGGTGTAACTGTAATAAATAGCATTCTTTCAAATTTTTAATTTAAGTTATTAATTCTTACCATCTACGAAAGTAAAGGCATTGGACGTGGTGAAATAATGAAAGATTCAAAGATTTAAATGTTATCCAAAAACATATATAGACAATTATGCGGTCGCTGTACATGCAATACAGAATGAAGTAGGAATTTAAAGTAGAGTCATGTCTGATCTAGTGCGGATATTATTTACTGCAACAGACGCCGCAACAGCAGCTTCTGTGTATTTTTCTTTTCTTGTCCCCTTTTATCGCTTCACGTAGCATGTTAGTCTCCATGTTACACTCCGACGCTCTGTGAGAACTGATCAACAGCGCAAGTAGTATATTTTTTACGTTAGACGTGAAATGCAGCTTATTACCTGTTTCAAGAAGAGAACAATCGTAATGAATTTCTAAGTTAGTAATAGTACTGGACTAAAAATGGAAAGTAAATTGAATTTATCCATTGGAATTCAATCGATTTCTGCATGTGTGTGCGTGCACACGCGACAAAATTGAATTTCACATTGCTGGTTTTTCAAGCACACATTCGATTCAATCAAAGAATTTTTCCAATCATTGACGGAAAAAAGTTCTGATAAATTATTTTGATTGAATAACTTAACATATAGTTTATGCTAAAATTCGATTACTGTGGGGAAAAAAATTCCTGGTCCGAAAAACAATGCTTATTTTTATGTCCGCGACACACGTTCAACAATAATAGTACTAGAAAAAAATTAAAAACGAAATCTTATTCTTGAATTTTTTTAGAGGTCTAGCGATAGGCGGCAAAGAGGTGGACGCAATCGAAAAAGCCCGGGACGGCACAGCTTGTGCTTACAGTGCCTATCATAGTACCAAGGGAGTGGAAGTGAGCGCCCGCGGTCAGCGTGAAGATTTGCAGATAGCCATGAACGTCCTTGGCTCGGGAAAGCTCACCACATGCCTACAAATTAAATATTATAAGTCGGGCGACCAGAGTCACTGTGAGTTCGGCTCAAGATTGCACTGTATCGAGTTGGACTGCTCGAGTGTCGAGGGCAGACTTGTGATGGTCGACAAGGAGACTTACACAAAGACAGGAATGGCGTCCTGACATGCAGAGCTTGAACACAGACGCTTGTCCTCGGTGTTCGGTGTGGATTAGGTGATTGTAGATTGATGGATTGGCAATCGATTGTGCATTGTGCCGTACAGGATCTTCTACGATTTACACGCTTTCATAATACAATTTTCACTTTAATCGAAATCTAATTGAGTTACCAAATATCTTAACTTTCATTGAGCTAACAAAATAGAATTCTTTTCTATCTTTTCCAAGTCGATTCTCAAATTTTCAGTCAGACGCTGAGCTTTCTCATTAGTGCAATATTGAAAAGAAGAGAAAAAAAAAGCAATCGCTACTCAGCGCTTTAAAAACTTGCAATTTAAAATTACTATTATACGGAAAATATAAAGTAGTATACAGAACAATTAAACACCGCCACCGAACGTTTACGCGTTTACGCGAATTTTTGGACGAATGCTTGCACTTATACGAATTTACAAAAAAACTTTATAGGACCAAAAACAAAACACATCATAGAAAAATCGCACCTTCGTACCAATTAAAAAAAATAGTTTTTTATCGATCGCTAATAGCTATACATAAAAATAGATGGAGCTATTTGATGGTTCGAAAATTGGGCATCATGCTCGATTGCATATTTTCATCAAGTACATTTTACAAACTTGTGATCTAATTAATTATAAAGATTGCCTTTTCTCTCTTTCTATATCTCGTAGCTTTATTAGAAATTTATCATAAGGACTTTTGGTGCTACGTAACACCTATAATGAGCGCATCCGTGAGTGCATGTTACAATGTTATTTTTGAAAAGAATCAATTTTTCGTCACAACTATTCCAATTATCTCCATTCAATCTTATTATAATTGCTTTGTTCTACACGAATATGATTATATCTCTCTGACTAATCTGTAATAATGTTAATTATATATTATAATTTACTTTCCTGTCACGTTTCTTTTTATAACTTTTATACAATTTACGCATTTATTATCTTACTACTACTGCGCACTTTTACACTTTAACGATAAAAAATGAACTTGTTGAGATAGTAATAAATGCAAAATGTACATTCGGTTGAGTGTATGTAAATATTAAGAAAAATTGTTCGTTTTACTATTTAAATACCATTCATATTATTAAGTTGTAAAAAAAAGTCTATTTTATATAAAATTCAAATGTTTTAATAAATTAGTTATAAAAATTGTCGAATATGTTACTGTACTTTTATACGTACGTCGTATAATCGAAACGAGGTAAGGTAAACAGGTTATGGTTACTTGATAATAATGTAAATATTCGATACTAGTATTGTACGAAATATTAACCTTTCGAATAAAATATTAAAATATGAAAATATTGTACAGACGGGTAAACGAGTAAAGAAAGTTAAATTTTTAAAATTAACGTTGCCAAAAAATGCACGGAATGAAGGCTAAAAGTAAGGAAATGGTGCTTTGACTGATTGCAGTTGATTTCTTAGAAAAACTAATTATATCTTAATTTATTATAGAAAAGATTCTCGCTATAAGTAAAACAAACTAGTATATTATTTTTGACGTCACATCTGTCAAAGATATTGCATCAAACACACACTTAACCTATGTTCCTCTTTAAAAAAAATACGAACCTATTCAAGTTTCACATTTGGTTCGTAATTCAATAACTTTTCCGCGATTATCCTCGTACTTTCTTGTCTCATTAACTTTTCAATACTAGATCTCATCGACATCGCTAATTTCTCATTATTTTTCAAAAATATAGCTGAATGATGCAATGCAATCCCATACATCACCGGTGATTGAAATTCCTTTACAGTATTCCTTACCAACGCCGTAATATATGATTCAATTAACGAAGCGTCTTGCTCCAAAGGATACAAATATTCTCGGTAAGGCAGTAAAAGTTTCTCGGGTAAAAGGCGCAAGTATGGCAAAACGCCAGCGTGCTCCGACCAGAGAAGTTTGCGGTAGTGAATTTCGTAACGTTGGGCCCCGAACACCAAGAGAGCTTGTGCGAAACAATCCGTTCCGTACGAGTTTGCTAAGAAATTTTCACATAAGGCTGTGAAGAGGTCAGTGAAAGACGTAAGTCCTGGTACTTCGGTTGTTAAGTCTAACTGTTTGTAGTTCGATTGGACTGAAAATTACAAAATTGATTGATTTAAGTTTTTTGTCTAATTAATTTAAAAAGCTTGTCGTTTAACTCAGATTTAAAAGAGAAACCTTTAACTGTTTAACTACTTTTTAGTGATGCTGTTTTTTAAATGACAAAAATAAAAGCTTACGTAATTTTTGAAAGTTTAATGCCACTGAACGAGTACGTATTTTTATTTTTAATTGTTGTGTAGAGGTTAATTTCATGGAAAAACAATATTAAACAATTTTTGTTCCAGCAGTAAATTTTCAAAATGACTAGATAGCTAAAAAGTATGAGTGGTTAAAATCTTGGTTTACCACGGGAGTAAAAATCTCGATCTTAAATAAGTGGACTTTGAAAAATTGCTAGATCGAGAAGTATTCTAAAAGAGTAGGCTAAGCTCATCATTGTTTTTATGAATTTTCTATAGTTTGTCATAAAGCAATGACTTGCTGTGCATCGTAGGTAAACCCCGACTTTACTCTATAATACAAAATTTAATGTTACATAATAGACTATAGTTTTACCTAGTTGAGTAATAATCCTTTGCGGAAGATCGCATTCCGGTGAATGCAGGAACTTTGTATCACAAAGATAAATCAGCAGCATCCTGCTAAACCGAACACTTGGCGATAAATTCTGTGTGAGTTCAGGAATAATCAGTTCCAGCTTCAGCATATATAAAATACTAATAGTATCCGACTCTTGCCAGGCCTTCTCATACTTTATCCTCGAATAAGCATCGATCAATGGCAAATATAACCAATCCTTCGGCAGTGCTGCTTCAGACCAACAACCATTTCGACTGACAAATTTATCAAAATATTTTACAGCAATGTCCACATCTTCGACATCATTGTACTTCTTATTCAAATCAAGACTTGCTATACCACTCTCGAGGAAGCGTATATTCACACGCTCGGGTGCTAAACTCAATACAAAAATATCTCTCACTTTAGTAGGACAGTCAGCAGGAAGTGCAGAAATCAATTTGATAGCAATTTTCCAGATTGTATCACAGAGCTTTTCTTTTAGATAAGTTTTCAACTTATTTTCTGCTTTGATGATTATTATAAGGAATGAATATTCAATTCGTGAGAACCAGGATCTTTCCAGTGACCACTCGGAGATACTCAGTCGCCGTAGATAATTCTGAACATTAGCGTTCTCGAAGAATTCTTCTACAGCGTTAACACGCGAGTGTTCTAAAAATTGCTCGAGAGCTGTTTTTAAAAATATTATATGCGAGTTTTGACTCATAATTGGCTGTAGCTTTCCTTCGTATGTCATAACTCCAAGACTTGGAAGTGATTCTGGTTCGCGGTCGACTGCTGGTTCAACATCGCTTAACAAATTCGATGATGAACTGAAATTTCAAAAAATTATTATTTAGAATGATTTTCTAAATTTTAATCTTTCAATTTACGACTTTAATTCATGGTAATAACACCTACCTCAACTGTGTAAATATATTTGAATTCTTCAACCAATCCGTCTGGAACGAATTGACATTATGTAACGTTCTCAAAACTTCAGTAATCAAAACTGTGTGATTCCACTGCAACGTAACATCACTAATTTAACACTCCACAGTTTGTAAAGTGTAATGGTAGAGAAATCAACAAACAAGGGCTTACGGTAGGTGTTGAAATTCTTGACAATTGCGTACTCCATTTTGCTAGCAATACAGCCACGTGTACTTTTAAAGGCTCGTCGTACTTGGCAATAGCGATGAGTGCCGTTGCGTAATCGCATTTCAAGGGAGATGCCATATCTAAATCCAATGCGCTCTCGAGTAACCTTAGTTGGGATATTAATGTATGTCTCGTACCGGATATACTATTGGTTTCAATGCCGAAATGCAGGAAGAGCCGCCAAAGTCGGAGACTTTCGATTTGAAGGCGTATTTCCTGTCGGCTAAAAAATGAGAAGAATTTTAATTATTTTACATAAATGTAAAATCAATTTAAAATAATTTTTAATACCTTGCATCGCTGCTTATATATGTTAGTAGCGAATGAATGATCTCAAAATGCTTCAATCTTTCGACAATTGGTCTACCTGCGTATATTATCAAGATTCTACACAAACGAACCGCAGCTACTAAAGGACAACCGTATATTTTACTGGAATCGTAATTTTGAACTATAAAACATTACTTTTGTTCAACAAAATATTTAGAAAAAACATGACATTCGGTCTGAAAAATAACAATACCTGGTCGATTCATAGACAGGGGTATACATTTTTTAACAACAATATCCAATAAATTCGGTAAACAAGCGATATTTAAAGCCGTTTCACGAGAATGTCTTGCAAGTCTAGTTAATATCTCTAAAGCTGCTGTCATTGCTGCAGCCTGTAGATTCATCTCGCTCAGTATGAATCTAAAAATAAAAGGCATTTACTAAAATTAAAAAAAAAACATTTAAATCTTACCGTATCCTTAGAAGTATATCTGAACGCAAAGCAGCAGCAACAGTATCCATTTGAGCCAATTCGTTATCTTTCAAACTTTCGGTATTCTTAACATCTTTCATAGATGGTTTGAGAATAGGTTCTACAAAGTCCTCAATACCGAATATCTTATCAAGACAAATTTCATCAGTTTCGCTGAAGAGAAGTGCTCGAAGTGCTTGCAATGCAGATGTGACGACAGGCAAGGCTGTGTCGTCTAGCGAGAATCTCAATAATAAAAGTATGTTGCTCTGAAAAATGAATTTTCTTCCGTTAAATTTTGAGGGTAATTTTTATGATATACAAAAAACAATAGTATTATACCTCATTCAACGTATTCATTAGGGACGGTTGCAAAGCTCGATCGTACGAACCTAAGTGAGTCTTCTCTATGATATTCGCCAAAATCGTAAGAGCAGTACAACGTTGCGATTGAGTTGCCGACCTAGTCAACTGTAATAACTCCTGAAGAGCATAACCAGGTCGTTCAGGTTCTTCGCCATGGTGATGAAGACCTTTGTCGACTGTAAGATTCTCATCGTTGAATGGAAGAAGAGTTCCTAATAAAACAATGGGAAACACGTTAAAAAACAAAATTGTGAAGGCAAATTTGGAGTATCCTTCTAACATACCATCAAAATCAAAGCGGGCATTATAAGGCTCTTCAGGTGGCTGTTGATTACCTTTCTCAATTGGAAGATTTTCCATCCACTTAACTTTTTCTGGTTCTAAATCATCCATATGAACCCAACCTTTCTCTTCTGCTTTCTTCACAATCTCGACTACTGGTTCTGGCAAGTCCTCATCAACATCGCCAGCATTTGTTTCCATTTTAACTTCATCGTTCTTTGACTCAGTAGATAAAGATATTTTATCTACATCCATTTGGCTGTTTCCTAATGTTGTACTTTTATTCATCTCCATACTATTACATTTATTGAGTATCTGTTTCTTAGATTTATTTTTTAATTTCTTCATAGATTTTAAAAAAGCTATTGTCTTTGAATCACATGTAGATTTAATTTCTTTTATGGCTGCAAGTTTCTCTTCTTCTGTCATCTGATTCAATCTTTGAACATTTTCTTCGTGTAGCTCTTGAGTAGAAGGAATTGAACCAAAAGATATTTTACCATTACTTACTAATTCTGAATTTTTATCAAATTCCATTTTACAAATCTCTTTAGTAGAGGTTGATGACAGTTCCACTATTTTTGCATTTGCTGATGATTTGACAATGCTTGATTTTTCTTTAGAGATGACACACATAAAAAGACTTTCCTTTGAATCTCCATCTTGAAACTTTAAAATAACATCTAAAATTAATTACTTACAAATAACAATAGAGTAGTATATTACATTTATAATTTAAAAAATACCAGATGTGGACATTTAAATACATTAGGAAACCCAGTCTCTGAATTAACTTGAATTTTAGGCTTAAATTCATGTTTAGTTGGTTTTCTTTCAAAAATCTCTCCCAATAAAACTTCAGGTGGCAGTTTACTACAATTGTATATGGGATCAGTTTTTTTGTTTGGTTTCTCTAGTTCTTCAATTTTATCTACAAAACAATGAACCAAACGCTGAAATTCATTTTCTCAAATTAAAAAAATCACTACAATTCATCATACCTTCATTTGTCACACTTCCACATCTTTGACTGGTAAATATCCTATTCTCAGCAACCTCAGCACGTCTTTGGGCAAAGATTGACTGCTTTTTAGTCGATAGTTCCTCATCCCTTTTCTTTTTTGCACGCAAATTTACAACTTTAGTGCACGGAGACAATTTGTTCTCCAAAAATTCCTCCTGCATACGTAAAATTTCTTCCTCGCCATCACTGGGCTTTGGTCGTTTCATCGGTATGAAATTGTCACCCATTTTTCAAATAAACTTTTACTATGAATCCGTGATTAAAAATAACCTGTGTCAAATGTTCATTCTAATGAAAATTACCTGCTCAGCAGTTACACTCGTTCACTTCAAACACAAACACTTCAATGTACATTATGACCAGGCCTGATTATGACATAGCTACAAAAAGAACTTCAAACAAAAGAAAACCAAAATCACGGTAAATTGTAGTGGCGAAAGTAGCTTCGTTTTTACTGTTTATTATAGGAATCACTTGTTCCCTAACCTAATACTATACACATCATGCGCCGTCCATGAGAGCAAATCACGCATCGTGCGCATTACGAAACAACAAAGTAAATATGTTAATATATATAGATCTTTTTCGTTGTTGTCTCCCACCAGTCCCATCACGCACGTGAGCCAACAGTGTAGTCACGGTGGTCGCATACACGTACACGACACGAAGTACAACCGTAGTTGACAGTCATCGATGAACCGCCGTTTGCTTTTCATCGCTCTAAGAAAGACTTTACTGAACAATCGTCATACCTTCTGGACAGCCAAGATGAGTGATAACATAAAGAAACCAATTGATAAGAAAGAATTAAAAACGAAATTGACTCCGCTCCAGTGGCATGTGACGCAAGAGAAGGGTACGGAGAGGCCATTCACGGGCTGTTATAATAAGCATTACGAGGGTGGCATTTACACATGTATTGTCTGCGAGCAAGAGTTATTCTCATCCGAGAATAAATACGACAGTGGCTGCGGTTGGCCAGCCTTCAACGAAGTGCTGGATCAGGGCAAAGTGAAACTTACCAAGGACACTAGTCTCGACATGGTGAGAACTGAGGTCACTTGCTCCAATTGCGGAGCACATCTGGGACATGTGTTTAACGACGGACCAAAACCAAAAAGAAAGAGATTCTGCATTAACTCGGCTTCGCTCAATTTCCATCCGGCCAATGAGAAGAAGGAATAAATTGATATATATGCGCATAGACTGAAAGTGTGTGGTTTCTTCTTTTTTATCGCTAACGTGTGCAAGGTATATTATACGCTTATCGCTCTGGAGAGATTTGTTATGAAACAATTAACGCATGTACATAAATACGAAATGAATGACAAACTATATACGATTATTTTATTTTTATTAAGAATATCGAGATTCTTTTGTTTGTTTTATTTGAAAACTTTTTTTTTTAAGTAGCATAGTTTTTTTTTGTAAACGCATTGAACATTCAAGTAAAATCACAGACATTGTAAATTTAAAGCATCACAAAAAGATGTGATGCGATGTTGACAGTTTCTTTGAGGAACAATTATAAAATGGTATAGTCAAAAGAACCTGAGTGAAAGGTTCCTAGTTAACAAACGATATAGATTTAATATAAATGATCAACATTGAGATTCTTGAAACTCTTAGTCAATATATAAATCTTTGTAAATCGATAAAACTCAAACTATTAAAAAAAGCATATAGAGACAAATGTACATCTCAATATTAAATATCATTATTTCGATATTCTAAAGTTCTACAGGTTCCGTTTTCGGTTGATTAGCTGCCGGTGACATTGGACTGCCGTGAACTTCTAAATCGAAGTCAAAAGTCGTCAGAGAATTTCTTAGCACGCGATTCCAACGATCTGCACTTTCATGATCAGATAAGTGAGTTTGTGTCACAGGTTCCTCGACTTGTGGATAACATGTACGCATTGCCTCGTGCTGAATTATAATCTCATTCGTTATATAAGTCTCGCGACGAATTTGGTCTTTTAATTTCGAACTCATGTCCGGAATGCACCATCGCATAATAATTATTACCACAGCAACGATATTCTAGAACGAAAAATTTATTATGTGAGATTATGAAATTTCATATCATTCATGTATATAGATATAATACGCACCTCAAAAACGACGACGAAAGCTAAACGAGCTGCAAGAATATGCCAAAATAAGCGATTGTATTGATATTTGTCTGATGAATCCGGTGGTTCTCTGTAATCTGGATAGTGGCAAATAATAGTTTCATTATAATGTTCAGGGTCATCGCTAGTATTGAATTTAGAAAGAGAATTTTCTACGAAGCCGTTCAATGTATGATCTTCTGATACGGCAATGCGATAGACGAGGCGAGGAATGAAATTAGACGTAAAAGCTATTATAAAAGCCTGTAAAAAATCATTGATTAGTATAATGGAAAAATTTCATAAATTAATGTATGTTTGATAAAACTCACGTTAGTAATTACAGAGAATTTTGAAACTGAATCTAAAATTTTATACCAGACACCGATATCTCGAACTCTCTGACTTACGGGTCGACGATACATGATAAGTAATTTTTTGGCATCTAATCGCATTTCTAAGACGTTATTTAAGAGAGCGAAAAATGGAGCAAGAGGAAAAGCAGCAACAAAAATAGTTACAAATCCATACTGCAAAACTAAAATAAGAAAAGTATGTATCAACAATGGAAATTTTTGCCTATATTATTAGCATATTACGATTATTTACCCATTTCTAAGTATTCAGGAAATAAACTTCGAGGACCCCACTGAACGAGTTTATAATCTGCAACCCACTGAAGGTGCATTCTCGCTAAGTTTTTCTCCGATGGGCTTGATTTTTGTAATCCTACTTGAACCCTTAAAGTATTCATCCACTTTTGAAATAAAGGAAACAACATTTCTAAGATTGAATTCACAGCCTGTTTTCCAATCATGATTATGCCAAGTTGAATACACAGCTCCAAAAAACACCCGCCTGGCCCACATTCTTCTTGGCGACTATTAAGAAAACGATTGTACTTTCCAGGATAACCGACTAACTTCCCTTTAAAAAACGCAATGTAAAATATTGAGGCATAGTAGTTAATAAATTCTAGTAAGTAGATTTTCAATGTCAGACTATCATCAAATTCAGTCTGTGTACGAGGAAGTTCTATCTGAAAGTGTAAAAGAAAGTCAATTTAAAATTCAATAAAAAGTGTATTTTTATAAAACAAAATAATTCTTGTGTATATTTACCTCTGTCAAATATTCTGCAATCCAAACGTACAGCCAGTTGAAAACAACGATGCAACAAAGATTGATTCCCGCTGCTGTGGCTGTAGTCAAAATGATAGCATAACTAGTTACCATTTTATTGTGTTTCTTATCTGAGATACTGTAAAATGCTGTCAAAACGGACATTCTGTATAAAACTACTCCTAACACAGCTGCCATCGCCACTGTAATCTGCAATTTAAATTAAATCAATAACTATTGTAGACCTTGATACAATAAAAATAAAAATAATATTACAATAGATGAATTATGAATCGCGATGCTGTCACTTGATCCATATTTCATAACTAAAACGTATCAAAAGGTATTTACAATTAAAAACTCACCAACAGAAGCACGACTGAGCAGCTGAAAATAGTAGCAGGTAGTCTAACTTTCCAGAACGGCACTCGAGGTTCCGCGGCATTGGTCACAAAATTAACGGATTTCTTTTTGACGTGAGCTAGTCGAGCTAAGTACTTTGGCCTAGGATGCTCCTCGTGAATATCTAGACTAGTCAGATCCCATCGATGAGTTATTTCTGCCGAGTAATTTTTCCATAACTCCAAAAACAAAGTAGCTGAAAAATATCAACGTTGAAACGATTATAATTATAAATGGAGTTATTAATAATATAATCCTTAGTAGCAGTATAACATTCAATGTCATACTTAATTAACACGCTATGATAAGGTATTTTCGACACTTCGTGCGGAAAGTGCGTTTTTCCCGCACGCTCGGCAAAAAACGTGCGTTGAAAATCGCACTTTCCACACGTCGTATAAAGAAATACGGTACGGCACATGTTCGGGAAAGAGTTTCTCGTCTCGTGTACCTTTCCACCCTCGCTTCGCTCGAGTGTAAACACCACACGAGACAAGAATCTACTTTCCCGCACTTGTATCTAATGTACTAATTCTCGACAATATTAATTTATATGTCTCATATATATACGTTATATATACACATGTATATATAACATATATATAAGACAATTATAATTATAGCATGTTTAGAATTATAGAAAGGGACGCTACAAATAAGAGGAGAGGGGAAAAAGGGATGCACTACGCAAGACGTCAGCTACTTTGAGACAGACACTCTCCGCTGCGTCCCTAGCCGGCGTCTTACGTAGTGCATCCCTCTTTCCCCTCTCCTCTTATTTGTAGCGTCCCTTTCTATTATTCTAAACATGCTATAATTATAATTTTCTCGACAATATTAATTTATATGTCGTATATATATGGCACATTCCAGACTACGCCGGTCAGCTTTTCAGGGGTAGGTTGCGGATTTTCTTGAAACTTGGTATACATATTGCTTATATGGTACCATATTCAAGTATGGATTATTAGATCATTATAATAATTATATCAAAAGTTATAAACAATTGAAAATTTTTGACAAGAAATTTTCAAAAATTTATATCTCCGCAACCATTCAAGTTATCGAAGCGAATTTTTTTTTAATTACGCATAAAAGAGTATACTTTGAAAGTATTAAGTGAACAATACTTTAATATCAATTTTTCCAAAAGTTATTAACATTTTTTTAAACAATTGCCCATATCTCAAAAAGTGTTATTTTTATTTTAAAAATTCTTTTTTTATTGCATTCCTTGACATTTTATCTTTAAGAATCCGTTTTAAAATTCATCGAGCGATCATTAGAAGCGACACAGTAACCGATAATAGTGGACTCTCACAGGCCCTACGACGCCGATAAGTTGGTAAATTTGATAGCAGCGCCAACGCGCGGTCGAGCGATATATATATACATATATACATATATACAGATATATATAAAATATATATACACATGTATATATAACATATATATATACGACATATAAATTAATATTGTCGAGAAAATTATAATTATAGCATGTTTAGAATAATAGAAAGGGACGCTATAAATAAGAGGAGAGGGGGAAGAGGGATGAACCATGCAAGACGCTGGCTAGGGACGCAGCGGAGAGCGTCTGTCCGTCTTTCTCTTTTTGTCCGCTCGAAAAGGCTGTCCGCTGTCGCTCTGTCCGCTTTCCGCTCCCATGTAAGAGCACCCTTAAAGCGTTCGGCAAACCCAAGTCACAGTCCCAAAGTAATTAGCCGATTTTAGCGCTGCGTACGGTAGTTAGTGAACTACTAGAAGACTTACAATATGAGCGCAGCTTATCGACCATGGTACTGTAAGTGACGAAGATAACCCGCATGCGAATATCTTTTTTTATAAAAAGGCATAAATTAATTTTATAGAAAATGAATACTGTTTTACAATAAAAAAGTCTTGCAATTTTGTTCGTAAATCTACATTTTCAAAGTAGAGTGAAGAACGTTGAATTTCCTATCTTGAAAAAAAAAAAAAAAAAAAAAATATATATATATATATATATATATATATATATATATATATATATATAACTAAATTTTTCGAGAAAGTTTAAGAAGTTTGTTTAAGTGAGATTGTCATACACACACACACACACACACACACACACACACACACACACACACACACACACACACACACACACACACACACACACGCGCGCGCGCGCGCGCACGCACACACACACACACGCACGCACACACGCATGATGGGATAAAAATATCGACTACAGAAAAAATATTTGACTATTGGTAACGTGTAAACATTAGACAGTTTGAAATATATCTAATTTTTATCTTTTGGAGGGTGCCTTCATAACATTTAGTCTAGGCAATAGTCCAAATGTCGCGTCTCCCAATCTAAAGAAGATAATTGATTCATTTTTTTTATCATTCAAAATCAAAGTAATTGCCAACATTTAGTTTTTACTAAATTCGAAACAGGTGACTATTACTAACAAATTTTAAAAAAATTATAGTTATTGTAAATTTTTATGTTAAAAATCTATGATTTTTATACAATTGAATGATGGCTTTCGTAACAATATTTTTCTATTAAAAAGATAATTTTTTACACGGTAAAAATTTCGTGGATAGTTGACAATGACCACATTAATCATCGTAACTATCATTAAAGTTAAGTATATCGAATGTTATTTATTATCAGACATTATATTGTTTAATAAGAAAATATAAAAACAGAAAAAACTATAGAATTATTAAAATCGAGTGATCGAAAAGCGTATTCTATCATTTCAAAAAAATAACAAAAACGATATATTGCAAGACTTTTTCATCGTAAAATAGTATTAATTTTCTATAAAATTAATGGATTCCTTTTTGCAAAAAAAGATATGCATGGGCGGGTTATCTTCGTACAGTATTATGGTTGATAACATATAATAAGACTCGATAAGCTGTGCTCATATTGTAAGTCTTCTAGTGGTTCACTAACTACCGCGCGCAGCGCTAAAATCGACTAATTACCTCCGAGAAAAAGAGAAAGTTGCCTATAGAGAAAACGTCGCTGCCTCGGTTCCTATATGGCGTTGGGTCTCCTTCTCTCTTGCTCTCTGATCATAACCTTACTCATCAACTGATTTTGTTGAGAAAGATAAAGTTGAGACAGAGTCGGGAGGGAATGTGTTCACATAAACGCAAATCAAGTTTAGCGTACATTATTTTTGTTTTATCTATTTATTTCTATATTTTTAACTCTTTAATTTTGTCGAAATGGAAAAAGATTCCAAAGGAGTAGAATTAAATTGGCGGCCCGACGAGCTGATGAAATTTAAAAAGTGGAAACTAAGGAAAGTTCATTTGCAGGCAAGATTCAACGGATCGCACTTTGAAACAAAAGATATCAACACAAATTTTTCAAGTGCTGCCTCACCACTCGACACACAAGCTAATTTAAGTTATTCAGTTTCGAAAAAACGCAAGAATCCTTTCACGAAAAATGAGCAAAATAAAAAATCTAAAGATCAATATCTTTCCTTGGATACTGATAGTCCAGACAGCACGTTTGAATTGTTGAATCGATCAAGTAGTTATAAAAAAGATAAATCAAAATTAAATGATATAATTGAAAGTGCAATTAGTGGAAAAAAACCTGTTGCAGTGCAACTTATTGAAGAGCCTAAAGGAAAGAAATTTATGCCGATTGACTGGACTCTAAAAACCAAGATGCGTGTTATGTCTCCCAAACCTTTCTCTTGGAAAGGAAAACTAAAAGCAAGTGAGGAAGCCTCAGGAACAACAGGGTACGTTAGATGTTTAGATATTGGAGAGCAGGAAACAACTTTGGATACCAGTCCTAATGCCAGATTTCATCAATGTTGTTTAGTCTGGCAGCATCCTTCTATTCCTTGGATGGATCTTTTCCCAAGATCTCAGGCTAAATTAAATGTGTCTAGCAATTATTTTGTTGCCATGAATCAAAACATGAAAGAAGCGCTTTACAAAGACTGGTGCAGCAGCTTTCGTTCTTTATTTCACTTGTTACGTGTGAGACAGTGTCCATATTTTTATGTCTGTGGAAACAATTTTACAGTGTTGTTTCGTGCTGCTGGTATATGTGGAATTTCAGAAGTTCAAGCTCTCCTAACACCCACAACAAGAGGTTTACGAGAAGCATTAAATAATGAAGAAATTCAATTCACAATGCCATTAAAGCCTAAAGTTAAAGCCAATGCAGAAGAAAATCATATTAGTGCAGAAGAAGAACATAACAGTCAGTGGATGAAAGAAGTAGGCATAGATGAATCAGAAATTCGTAGAATTAGTAATTCTCAAATGAAAGTTCAAACAAATCGTGAGTGTGATGGAGATAATTCATTTGAATCTTTAGTATTTGTCACTGGAGTGGAGGCACAGGCCCTGTTTAATTTTCTAATAAATTGTAAGACAATAATAACAACCTGTGGATCATATTCTGGAGTTCCTCCTACACTTTTAGCACCTGTTGCTTTCCATAGTGCTACATTAAAACCTTTAAAAGTTAGAGAAAGTGTTGTGTGTAATGGAACAGAAAAGTTTCATTCTCTGGAAATTACAGGACCAATTCTACCAGACATTTTACCATCATTATGTGCTCTAATGACAGGTGACCATTTAGAAAAGTTTTCAGTAACTTGTGCTCAATTAACAAATACAAAAGCATTCACAATCGCTAAACATGGAACAGAAATTAAAATTGACAGTAATGATAACAAAAAAGAAAAAATACCACAAAATGTATTTGGACTTGAAAACTTGACAGATTGTGGATTCAACAAAAGAGTACTTGAGCATTTCTGCAGTCCTGATCCAGAAAGGATACAAAACTTTGAAAGCTTAACATACGATAACAAGTTATATACTTGGAGCTGATAGTATTAGTTTTTAATATTTAGCATTATTTATATTAGACAATTGACAATGAATTCAATTTGACTGTGAAAAAGTTGTTAAATACTAATTTGTTACTAAGTTTGTAAAACTGTAATGTTTTGTAAATATCCAATGTCCATTGCAATCACAGGTAAATCAACTCATGTACTCTAATTTAAAAACCAAATTTATAAAAACGACTATGTTATAAATACGACCATAATATTGGATGATGTAGTTAATGAATAATAACAAAACTCACCCCACAGAGACATGAACACGGCGAAAAAAACCGTTGACGGGTTGTCAAACAAGTAAGTGATCTTCGAGTGAAAGCATGTGTCCTTCAAACTCCAAGTGCTACAAAAGTTATCGCACAGCGAGCACATCGTATGATTTGATCCGCAAATTTCGCGACTCAACTCGTTTGAGTCGAGGGTCATTAAGCTGTAACCAAAGCAAATGAGGCCGACGATACTTGCTGGAAGTAACATGTGAGTGTAGAAACCTAGCCAAGCAAAATACAAGCCGATTTTCACGCCGAAGTATTCCTTGATGTAGTCCAATGGCTGGTAGTGAAGCATTTTTTGCAAGCTCGCCCATTCCGTATACAAGAGATAACGCATCGAATCCGGTGACTTTAAGTTCCCCTAGAAAAGACATAATACTTATGGGGATGTAGTTTATGGATATTATTTTCAACTATTTATGTATGAATAAATTTTTACTTAAAATACATAATTATGTGATTTCTTCTTCACAAATTTCCTGTCCACATTGCTCATACTTAATCGATTATTATTTATTTTTTAATTGAAAAGCAAATATTTTCGTCACAAGTGCTGGTCTTTAACCATAAACAATCTTCGATAACAAGACAATTCAGACATAGGTTATAGGTATAAGATACCTTGAGAATACAAAAAATTAAACTCAACAGGAAAGGGAAAAATTTATAATTTATAGCTAAGTCGTGATTTTGTAAAAAAGAAATTTAAAGTCTCATTTCTCTTGAACGCATCAGCTTTTCAGGCACAAGAAAATCAACGCTACTTATATTTATGGTCGCTGAGCCGGTAAAACAGGTAGGAGATAGACCCCCATACAAATTTGGAAAGCCAGAAAAATATTTTGCGACGGTTACTAATTTTCCGACTAACCGTTGAATAAAATAATAAATCTATTGTCGGAAATTATATTTGAATTCAGATTATAATGCACTCTTATCCCGGAATCATTTTAATACAATGGTGAAATCGAGCCATTGAGGTAATGTGCATCTTTTGCTCGAAATATTTGCACGCCTTAGTCGAGACAGTAAGATTTTAACCTGAATTTGTTCGTGCTTTAAACCTACGTTCGAACAAAAATTACAATGCTTGATAAGTTTCTCTTTACTTTCGTAGACCTTTCGAATTCCAAAGATTTAACGCAGCGTTCACCAACTTGAGAGATTTAAAATTCCGCATTTTTTAAAATTTAGATTACATTTTTTTCGCTTTAAAATACTTACATCGTGTAATGGATAAGCTGCAGAATAGGCCTTTTCGGTAATTAATCGGTCTATGCCGAATGCGAAATCATCCTCTTTATCTAATGTAAATCTCGTCCTATCTAAAATGAATTGTACGATCCTCGAGCGAATGGCTTGAGTAAAAAAATCTGGCGAGTTGATATCAAAAAGGTACTCTTTGTCACGACTGTAAACTGCGGTAAATTTATGCTTCATTGGTGGAAAAATTGTCGGATCGACGTAGTATTTATCCATTAGTCGACGAAAAAACGAATTCACCTCCTGCAAAATTGTCATTTGGCGAGTGGGAACTAGCTGTAAGCCTGGCACTTCTTGCATTGGCATTCGTAGTTTTAAAATTTCTGAATAACGGCGTAGAACTTCCTTGGTGGTTGTAATTTTTATAAAGCACAATCCGTTTGGCTCGTCGCATTCATATTCTAATTGTAGGCCTTCTCTTTCTAAATGTATCTCGAAAGTCTACACAATATAATTTTTTGAAGGCTTTAATAAATTTAGGAATCATTATAAAAGTATTGAATGAATTCGAATTTATTGTATGCTTGAGTGTACAAAAATGATATTGACAATACCTTTCTCATTTCAGCACAGCGATAAGTAGATGCTTCTTGATTTAATTCATCCCAAACAAGCACAAAATCTATTGATTTAATCCCATCACGGAAGTATAAACTAGATGCAGCATCATAATAGGAATCCTGTAAAACAGAATGTATATATTCATTTTGCAGAAAATCATTAAGCATTGAAATTATGTAATTTAAATTCAACTTACTAATCTACCCCTATGGATTGCCTTGTCTAGGTCAGTGCAAGATCCATCAGGCATAGTTTCCTCTGTTTTATTTCTTTCCATAATTTTCTTTTCATTAGTTACTAATTGATTAAGTGATATACTATCATCATATTCGTTGTAAGCTTCCGTTGTAAAATTTTCATGACCCAAACTGGTCCTAGTTGAGTAATAAGCACTGGGTATATGACTAGAACTGTTGCTTTCTGACCCTAAGGTACCAGAGTCTCTTGATATGTCTAATTCATACATTTTATACATTGTAAATAATCATTGATTGTTGTCGATATTCCTGCAAAATGACATAACAACTTGAATCAATCATTTGAGAAATTGTATATAAAAGGAATTCCATTAATAAAAAATCATTAGCAAATTTTTAATTTTAAATTATATTTAGAACAAAAAAAGTTTTTATACTAGTGGTTTTCTCTGTTAAAAACGCAACAGACAGTAAACTTGCATTTTATTTACTGGATATAAGCACAGTAAATGGAGTGTATCATAAGAAGACAGTCGTTTGATTAGCATATATTATCACCCTTCATAGATAAAAAATCGTTTACAACGCATGATAAATTCTTTATTTCGACAAATAAGCACATTGCAGAACAGACTCGCAGTTATTGATGCTCGGAAATAATAAATATTTAATTCTCACCCTTTGTCGGTAGAAGCAAGGAGATGCTGTTCGTCTGCTGCCACGTTATTCAAAAATAGCATTGCGAAACTGGTAATATCCAAAAATAAAAAAATAACTACGTATGGTTCATTTCCATTCCCACGGTTCATGATGCCTTTTCCATTTTGTTTTTTCACACACCGGCTTCGTCATTTTACAACTATGTTTACACTAACAATAAGTAGAATCAGCACGTGTTCTGCTTTCCTCGTGTAAAAAATCCATTTTTGGTGCAGACTTGCGAAATTAGTAATCTAAATTTATATGGATAGGTTCAACTAATGTTTTATAAAAAAATGTATGTGCAAGCTGTAGGTATACATGTTGTGATATTGTTAACTGTGTGAAAGAAAAAAGTGAATGTACTTTAAGGTTATATTAGCATGGGCAGACGATAGGATTTCTTTTGAGAGCTGAAGAGGGTGCGGTCTCCAAATCGTCTAGAATTTGATTGGAATCCGAAGAAATTTAATTTTGTAAACGATTATTATGTGATTTTAACAAATTGTTGTTTTTTTGTTTATTTTTTTCTCAAAAACAGTTTCATTTTATTTGATGGTTAGTTAAGTATAAATAGAGGTGTAAAAAATAAATAGTTTTTTGTAAATAAATAATTTTAAACAAAATAAATTAATCTCTTGAAAAAGTTCACTGAAAGTATGGAGAATCAAGTTTACTATGCTTAAAAGTAATTTGAATATTATTATATAAATTTTATAAATTTTAAAAAACTGTCTTATGTAAGTAATTCATTACCTTTAGCAATTAATTATGAATAGCTATTTACATTATGTATATAATTTTATCTTTTATCAATGGAGAATGTGTTTGATTAAAAATCTTTTAAATATCAACTACCATTTGAATATATATAATATATAAACAATTTTGCTATTATGAAAATTATTGAGATTAGATTATAATTTATTATAATTTTATAACATCCTGAGTTCTTGATGCAGTGCAGAACTTGCTATCTTTTGTTAATTAGAAATTTTTGTTCAATACTCAATAAATTTCTAATAAACTAATAAACAATATCATCTGATAAAAAACCTCCCAATTTCACCTTTGTACAAAAAATCATTTTGACAACAAATTGGTCAGTAAATCATTTCTCAAAGCTTATACCGGTTGGAAGAAGCACAGAGTCCATTTGCTATATTTCATGCATAACTAAATTTAATTCATCTTCTCCTGGGTATAGCACTGAGTCAATGTTATAGAATGATGCATGTAATGCAATTAGAAAACAGGAAACTCCTAAAATAAAGTGTAATAAAATCAGCATAGATTAACATTATTAAGATTTAATTAAAAATGATAGGTCTATATATTTATTTTATTAAAAGCTTTGCATACCAAGAACCCAGAAAAGCGCAGCACCAGCTCCCACTAAATAAAATAATGGGAGAGAACAAATACCAATAACAGCATAAACTTGAGCCAGTGTTAATTTATGATTGAAGACCATCAATTCTTGTCTTGAATGTACTTGAGACACTTTGTAGCAAGCTCCTAATGCTATTCCTACTGTGAATAATAGAAGTGGAGAAGTTATTCTGAAAAATAAGCGTTTCTTTAAAATAACATGGACATCAAAATATAATGTTTATAGAAAAGAACACTCACAAACAATATATGACCAATATTACAAAAACAAAGAAGTAGTTACTCTGGAAGTACTCAATATTTTTCATAATTCTTTTACTCAGTCTTGTAATACTTGGTGGAGGCCTAACATTGTTTGTATTTAAAAATAAAGACCATGGTCTCAATGTAGCCCGTCTGGTTTGAATCCACTCTTGTGCTTGTGGATAGCCAAGCTGACTTAACGGAATTGGAGGGATTTTAGGAAGCTCAAACCTAGAAAAATGTAATAAAGAAGGTGCATATAAAAATAAAATATCAAGTTTCAACATTCTTGGTAATACAAGTATTATTATGATGCACTTTCAATAAAATAAAAAAGACAAGACATTCAAAAATCCAAATGTATTGAACACTTTATCCTATTTTAGTTCATTATTTAAAATATAAAAAAATCAATATTTAATAGCTTCTAGAAAACTAAGTTGACGTATGCTAATAATATAAATAAAAATGTAAACATTTTCTGAAAAATACTTACCCACTAATATTCTGATCTTTTTTATAAGGATCCTCCATTTCACCCATCACATTAATTTCCACATCCGTCATTTTGAAAGCTTGTTTTTTTAATTTTTTTTTTACGTTTGTATTTTACTGAAAATCACGTCGATTCACCACAATATTAAAAATAATTTATACAAAACAGAGAGTTGTGGAAAACGACGATGACCTAACCTGCGTGTACACGAATGCAGAAACGCGACTCGAATCTCGAATCAGATTGGAATCTATCGTTGAAGCAGCTGTTACACACATACACACACTAGCGTAGATCAGCTGCAAGAAATTTATGTTGCGCGAATGCGGAGCAATATGATATACTGAATTACTTTTAATTTATTTTTCCGTAAATTTTCTGTAAATTTATTTTCTTCGTTGTGATTCGTGCCACGACTTCGTTTGTAATTGGCACACCAACTGTTTTCACATAAATTACTATTACTCGATTATTAAGTCTTATATAATGTGTAAATAAGTTTGACTTCGCGTTTATATTCAATAAACAAAGCTAAATTTATACAATTACACTCGCCTGAATATATGTAAATAGATGTAATTTACAATGATTTATTGTTTAAATCGCTATATGCTTTGATTTTTGTTAAAATTGTTAAGTCATTTTGAGTTATACGCAAAAGCAAATCAGTCGAATTGAATACTAATAGTGTCAAGTATTATAATAGTACAAACGTAGCAAAATTTATGCTCTGTATTTTTTAATTGAGGATGTAATTGTAAAACATTGCTTTTGTAGAAAGAAGTGATGATAATCGTCTACGAATTATTAATACGTATTTGCAGCAAAATTCATAAAGAAACAAAATATACACACGAATGTAAATGAACTGAATCTTTTTGAGAGCAGATTTCGTCATCTTTATCGCGCAGAGCTGACGAAACTATTCAACATGTTCATAAATTGCCGCATATAGAGAGACGAATGCATAATTTAAAAAAATTACGTTCATACTGAAAACAAGGATGGAATAACTCTTGCAACGATTTGCCAATGAACGCTATTAACATCGGCGGTCGTAATCGCAACATCCGCTTTCTCAGCCAAACGGCAACAGCTGCGGGCGTGTACGAAAAAAAAGCAACGATCAATCTTTTAGGAAGGAAAGCCACACGGTGCTCATGCAAAAGACGATGCAGGCGGCAGTTGCGCCACGTGCCACGTCGTTATACCTGCCGAAGAAGAGTAGGATGAAAGGCTAGCAAGGCGTTTCGCGAAGGATAAATCGCAGGCGGCGATTCCAGCGTTTGCGGTCTCGGCTCTGCAGCCGGCGGCCACTCCGAAATACATACATTACGGCGAGGGGGAAGAGGGGAAGAGCAACAGGCGCCGCAGGTTGCAGCTGCTACTGTCCTGGATAAAGAAAATTCCTTTATACAATTGCCCCCTCCCTCTTCTGCCGATAGGCAGACAGGGGTGTAGGAGTTGCGGTTCGCGCGACGACTTGCTCTTGTTTTTACGGAGCCGACTGAATTCCAATTCGAGCTCGCATCCTCGCCATTGTTCTTGGGCCGCCACGTGTCATTTCAAATTTGTTTAAAGCGCTCGCCTTATACTATTGTCGTTGCTCTTGCGACGAGGATTCGTAACCGACGATTTTTTTTTCCTTTACTACCCCAGCCCATCCCCTCCACCCCGCCCCGCCCCCTCCCCACCTGTTGCGCACACGTAAAACTGGTAGTCTGGTCGCGTAGGAGCGTGAAGGATCTCCGAGGACATGAAAAGAGGATTCAATACTGTCAGACGAGAGAAAGCTATAACAAAAAAAAAACAATGCGCCTCGAGAACCTCCTCTCGTGTCTTTCAAAAAGAACCTGTTCCTTTGCACAAATTTAAAGGATCGAATTACGGCCGTGTCGAGCATTTAAACTTTTTTCCTTTTTCTAGATTCCGACTGACCACCGGTTTTAGAGAAAGTTTGTTTCAGCCAGTCACGATATTTTTGCCGTTAATAGACCTACACGAATAATCGAATGTTGACAAGCGTATTTTGAAGGACAAACCAATGGATCGTTTCCGAAAAATTTTTCCCCTGCTTATATCTATTAACAAAAAAATGGATATTGAAAAGACAATCAAATCATTATTGACAATTCGAAATGAACAATACTCAAGAATCAGAATAATTGAAACATTCAGAGATTTTTTTGAAGAAGTTTTTGAAAAATGAAGACATGAAAAAGTTGGCAACAAAAGCAAAATGCATCGAGAGGGTGTAACAGCAAACGAAAATAATTTCCCAAACTACGTCGGCGAAAAACCTTATCATCGACCGTCATCAAAATCTAATAAATCTCCGCCAAACCGACAAACTAAATCAGTTACTCATCACCTGAAAACAAGTTTTGGCGACGATTACTCATCGATAAAAACACGCCAGCCTCTCTCCGGGCATTCGCAAGCAATGCATCATCCGTACCGTAGCGACAAAAAGAAAAGAGCGCTTTCAAATAGGGGAGAGACTATAACTGCACTCTCTTTGGCAAGGTGCGGATGACGGGCGCGCAGAACAAGGGAGCGAGACAGAAGCTGCAGCGTTACAGCGCTCTGTGGCCGTTTGAGTTTTCTTTCTCGCGGGCCGCACGAAAAATTGCAGGTCGGTACAGGATTTTTCATGGCTCGCGCGGCCTGGGTTTCTTTTATCTATTTAACGGGCCGCGAGGTTTCCGATGGGTTTTTAAAATGAGGACTGAACAGGAGGGAAATCATTCCTTCGTTTTTTCCTTCGCAGACAAGGGAGAGAGCTTTTAAATGCTTATCTCGAGAATGTAATAACGAGTACATCGCCTTTGTTCGTACTGACTGAGATTATTAACATTGTTTTGTTTAGAGCGTTCTTGATCTATTTTGCTTCAGAACGTGAGCGTGTTGTAAATAAACTGTACGTCAATGACAAAAAATGCGGCAACGAAAATTAATTGTAACAATCTATTTGTGTTACTTTTCTAACAATTCGCCCAAAGAAAAGATTAAGAACAGTCAAGATGATTTTCTTACGAAAGAAATCTGGAATTGAAGTAATGGGGTATGAAAACGAGAAGCTGTTTTTAAAAAGCATATCACCAGAATTTCTATCTTAGAAAAAACCTGATCGTCACCCCGTTATTTCTAAAATCGCAGTTCTCCAAAAGTACCCTTTCCTCACACGTATGTCTAGCTCTATATATACGTCCTAAAAATAAACTCGGCTGCTCGAAAAAACAATGCGTAAAAACGTGGCAGCGGCAGTATATATACGAGGTCCTCACTCGCTCACTCTCTCTCTCAGTCTCTTTCTCTCTCTCTCTCTCTCTCTCTCTCGTTCTCTCTTTCTTTTTCTCACAACCCCAAGCGCACACAGACAAAGGCGTCGTATTGTCGCTGTTCAGCGACCAATCAGAATTCGCCGCTCATAACCTCATCCGACTGGTAAAATTTGAAAGCGCGGCGTCGATTGGTCGTCTCTCTGCTTTTGAATCTATCGGCCATACGGCGACGACTTAGGCAGCCATAACGAACACTCAGCGTAGTAGTACGTTTAGTGTTCTGTTTGAAGGAGCGTCAATCCGACGTATATTTCTCTGCAACGACAGAAATATACAAGTTAACGTTAGAAAAAGGGCGCCCGTGGCCCTTTTCGTCGCGAAAGTGAGTGAATACAGAACTTCAGTTTAAGATCGATCAATAATAAAAATAGTACAAGTGTGACTGCATGTGTGAGACAGTGGTGACGACGGGCCACGAGCTCATCGTGGCCACAGACGAGGACGATTTGGATTCGCCGGGCTCGTCGAATGTCGATATGCTCAACGTAACCAACAGCTCGGGCTGCGAGCTTGACGCCGATTGCGATAGCGACGACGGCGGTAGTTACATGGTACAGCCGAGAAAGCTGGATTTCGAAAATTCAATGGATCTCAGCGATGACGGTGAGCCGACGACGATTGCTACTAATGGTGGACAGGATCGTACGCCATCGGCGACGCTGTCAGGTTAACATATTTTATTTGTATACGCTCGCTCGCACTCGCTCTGCTATCTTTTGTGTTGTGCGTATGTGTGCGCGAGCAGTATGGTAGGAAGTAACCTTTTTTTAATGACACGCATAATGTACGTGTATGCGAACGCGAGGATTCGATTGAAGCAAAAGAAAAAAGTAATTTCAATTGATACTGCAGCATATATTCGGTAATTATAAAAATAAAAAGTTCTGTATTTTTGAAGTGTAACTATTGCTGGCCAAAAGTACAAGAATAGATAACATCACCCGCTTTCTCGTAATAATTTGCATATTTATAAATCGGATTGCTATGCCAAGCCAATCGCGTGCTTGCGCCAGGTGATTTTTCAAATTTTGTAATTCATGCGGTGACCTTTAAAAAATCAACTTTCACATCGTGTCTATAAAAAGACCTAATAATTAAAATATACTGTTACAGTGGCGGAACTTGATACAATGTATTAACGTCGCCTTTGATCAAACAACATATGATGTGAATGAATCATACAAAACAAAAATATTATTGTTACGAAAATAAATTTATATGTTAGAATTACAATAATAAAAAAAGCCCGTTTGTAAACATCTTAAAAAAGCCTCTAATCCGATCAATCCGAGTTCGGGTAACAAAAATGATAGTTGTAAATTGTGTTTATTAATTACTTACGTCCACTTGAAACATACGATCGGTAGAGATTTTAATTAGCCCGATCTATTTTCAAAAATGATTAAACAGCACAGTTAGTATTGCAGTAGTCACGTTCCTTAGTTACGTACTTTACTTTAATTTGAAGTCGAATAAATGAAATGTAAAGTACGTTCATACATCATGTGTGGTAAAATTGATGAAGATATTATTACTGTGCCAATTCCGAATACTACACATTTATTTAACCAGTTGAAAAAGAAATTCTAACGAATTTACTCGCTAAAAAGCTTTATTTAAGTACGGAAGGAATTCTAATTTTTATCAGACGAGATTGGTAATAAACAATCATGAAATGATTACAAGCCTATAAATATTTTAAAAATATTCATTCTATGGTGTCGCCATGTAAATTAAAATTTAATAATGGTGGAATGAAATATTGTATTACAAACTATCCACGCAGATGCATAATACAAGCAATCATATAGTTGCAATAATGGGCATAAAATCTAATATCTTTCAAAAACATGCAGGACCTATGGGCCGTTATCACAAGAATAGCGTAGCATGTAGTCCACCGTACAAGCGAGTCCGTGCCCTGCGACTATTCGACTCGCCGGCGACGCCTAAGACACTAATCGAGAAAAGTGCTATGCACACGCCAATACCCAATAAAGGAACCCGACTCTTTCATCCGGATAAGCCAAAAGCCGTGCCAACCGCTTATCACCATCAGCATCACCTTCTTCACCACCTCAAAAATGGTGATACCAAGCCACAAGCGAATATCAATCCTTTCACGCCGAACGGGATGTTGCTTACAGCGAGGAAAAGGACAAGATCTAAACGAAGTCTTATTGGGTGAGTTTGTGTATTTCACATTTCAGAGAGCATTATGTTTTGAGTTATTTAGAAGATGCTAGTCTTATTACTGAGTAGAATGATTATTGTTTGGTTCTTTTTTAAGAATGTTTTAATATTTAAAACATTACTGAAAAATACTAAAATATCAATTTCTTTAAAACCAGTTTCTTTAAAAATTGAACATTCACAATTTTTACAAAGTAAATTGTTAATCAATTAATTTAATGGTTACCGTATTAATGTATATCTTTCAACAATTCATGACATAGTACATTGTTATTAAAAAAAAAGTTTAATTATATTTTTATATTTTTTCTAGAAATTAATTACAAATTTCAACTTTGATCATTCCACTGTAAATACTTGTTATTCGAAGTTCAATACTTTATTGGCAAGCTGGGATATTATGTTGCAATAAAATTATGTAATTTTTTTCATGATTCATGTCAACTGTTAAGAATTTTTGCAAGTTAATATTTTTTTAAATTTTACCTCACAATAGTAATTATGCGGTTCACGAAATAGATAAATTTTCATATAGATTTTTTAAATATTGTTTGAAAGCAAATCCTCTATAAAAATCAACTAACAAAAATACAATTTTCAAATTTAATAGATCACCAGAGCTGCGAATACCAAAGTTCGACCTAGTGGATACAGACGAGTCAGACAACGATGTGGAGCAACCAACAAAGCGCGTAGCTCTTCACGACTCCAACATCTCACGCTACTACCAAGAATTCCTGGAACTAGAGCAATTAGGTGCAGGAGAATTTGGTTCGGTATACAAATGCACGCACAGGTTGGACGGTTGTAACTATGCAGTAAAAAAGAGCATCAAGCCAGTTGCTGGAAGCGTCAACGAGAAGAATGCCTTGAATGAAGTCTACGCTCACGCAGTACTTGGCAAACATCAGCATGTCGTTAGATATTATTCGGCTTGGGCTGAGGATGATCACATGATCATTCAGAATGAATATTGTAATGGTGGGAGTTTAGCTGATGCTATTGCTAAGAACAGCAAAGAGGGCAGGCACTTCTCTGAAGCTGAGCTCAGGCAACTACTTTTACATATCGCAGAGGGCCTCAGATATATTCACAGCATGCAGCTCGGTAAATATCCTATTACTGTTTCTTTAGTAACAGTTAATTTAAATGACCACTTGAGAGCCTTAGCTAAATGATTTATTTATATAAACAGTACACATGGACATAAAGCCGGGTAATATATTCATCTCGCGCGAAAAGAGTCAACTGCGAGTGAATTATGACTCGGCTGACGATGGCTTTGACGAAGAAGAGACCGAGGAGGAGATCACCTATAAGATCGGCGATCTAGGCCATGTCACTTCGATAAATAACCCGCAAGTCGAGGAGGGTGACTGCAGGTATCTACCGACTGAAATCCTTCAAGAGGACTTCACACATCTGACCAAAGCGGATATATTCGCCCTGGGTTTGACCATGTACGAGGCCGCAGGTGGTGGTCCTTTGCCGAAAAATGGTGAAGAGTGGCACGAGATCAGACGCGGAAATCTCGAGGATCTGCCTCAGTATAGCAGAGAATTCAATGATTTGCTTAAGGTACATTTTTTTCTTTATCGTTATATTTAAATATCGAGATACAAGTGACGATCGGTTGAGCTTGTAGCGGTGTTAATTTATTTTCAGTAGAACATCGACTTCCACAAAATTACTGAATCTCCTTGGAAAGTGCATCAACGAAATATTCCTTATGTTATAGAAATTCTTTTAGTGTTGAGATCTGATAAAAATTTCCGGTTTTTTATTTTAACGGAAATTCCAATAAAATTAACTGCTTTAGCAGACTCATTTACAGTATTCAATCGTTACAGCAAATGATTCATCCGAACCCGGAAATGCGTCCATCAGCAGTAACCCTAATCCAACATCGAGTTCTCAGTCCCAACGGCAACAAGACGAAAGCACAGTTAAGGCGAGAATTAAACGCCGAACGGTTGAAAAATGAGATTCTCTCGAAGCAACTACAAGAAGCAGCAAAATGTCTACAAACCATTGCACCAAACGTAGTGGCATTGAACGGCCCAACGACGGCATCGACAACGGCAGTACCTATAGCAACAAGCGGATACAAATTGAGACCGACGCCAACGAGAACGTCGTCGAGGGTAATCGGCAGGAAAACCAATCGCAGCATCAGCGCTACCAACTTTTGATTTAGCTTTTGCTGCAATCGCTTTTTGTATTCGCTGATATTGTGATATCCGGTCTTAGGCTGTAAGTTTACGGGCTCTTATTTGGGAAAAATTTAATGGATATGTGCGTCCGTTGAATATGTTTTCTTTCTCGGTTGCGTTGCATAAAGAACTGGTCGTTCTATGCAGAGTGAAATTGCTCGTTCTCGTGTAAATATTGATCAGCGCGGTGGTTTTTTTTCTTCTGTTCTTTTTTAGACAATCAACGAAATTACATTTGCTTTGCATGCGTTAGATGTACCATCAGATGTATATGTATCTTTCGCTGAATTCTATGAATAACTAGAGATACTATATATTTGACAAATCGGTTAAACTTTTTATACTGAAATACAAAAGATCTTTTTTCCGAACGTATATCATTCTTCTACTGAACAATTCAAACAGTTTAGATTTATAAAATAATCTTTTTCTATTATATATTCTACAAAACACAGTGCACATCTTATTTTATATTTTATGGAAGAAACAATAATATACTCTAAGAATTTCTACAGAAATCGAGAATCATCATATGTTTACTAGATTTGCTATTCAATAATTATATTTCGTTCTTTTATCTCAATCATGAAATTATAAGTTAGCTGAGACACGGACTATGCATTATTAATAAACATAAACCATTATTTTACAAAGCTGACAAGGTATTTTTTTAATTTTAATCGAAACTGTAACTTCGCGATCCAAGCCAATCTCTGCAATTTAACTCTGTATAAGATGTCGCGAGTCACAGCATTTTAAGTCGATGTATATTATACTTCAGAGTTGATTAAACAGCATTGCTCTCATTGTTGAAAAAAAAAATGAAAAAATTTAACATTTTTGTAAAACGGTTTGGAATTTCATCGGTCGTAAACTTAACGTATTCCTCTTTATCGCTCACGCTATATTACGTTGTATAGTATAAAAAAGTATTTTTATGACTATGAATGATAATCTTAAGGAACGAGAGGGCGTATTTTTTTTCAGTAATTTAAACAGCGTGTGTGGTGAATTAATTTGCATGGAAAGCAGTTACGCTGCTTTCTGACAATTATTGTTGCGGTGCACCTAAGTATGAGTTAATCATAAAATAAATTTCTTTATTGTAGGAGTGTGTTGAATTGTTTAAATTCAAAATTAAAAAAATTAGGAGATTCTTACAAATCGAGACAGTTTTTTCGTTTTAATTTAACCAAATTACTTTATCGTTTCAATATCATTTTAATATAACCAAATTACTTTTAGTTACCTATAACTCTTCAAAGTGTACGTATAGTTCTAGTTTGTAGTTAATGTAACGGGTAATAATTGAGTCGTTTATGCTATAGTGAAGCATGATAACCACCTGTTGCTTCGCTCTCTACCTCAAAACGAAAGTATATTGTCACGTTTGTATGGATCGCCAGTATAGAGAAAAAAAATTTTTGTCAATCGCTTCATATAACTTCAATCGCGCTCATTTACAAGTGCGTCAAAGTGTAAGCAGAACGAAGGAAAAAATTATTTTTTAATATAGAAGGAAAAATCTTGTACGCTTTAGTATAAAGACAATGAACTGCGATATGTGTATATTTTTCAAATAGAGAGGATCCAGTTCATGAACTTATCTTTCAAATCCTAAAATCTGTAATATAGTATCTTTTTAGTCCACGTTACGTTTACCAATTAACTTTTTAATTCCCATTGTTCAGATGTCACATCGATATGAAGTGCCACTCGTTGTTAAGCCTACCCTTATCGGGCGATAATCGATAGTGGTAGTAAATGTCACTAATTTTTTTCTCGTAAAGAATCAACGAAAAAATTTGAAGTCGAAGCAAACTCGTAAGTTTGAATTAGAGAAAATGAATTAATCCTTTTCGTATTGCAAACGTCTCAAATGAAAATAAAAAAAAAGAATTGTACACAAAGTATACGAATTAGTGTATGTGTCACAGATAATGCGAGGTCATTGTTTGTAAAGCAGTGTAGATATACATGGTAAGACCCGTCAACGATTACGAGAAAGGGATATGAAATTGAAAAAATTGTTGAAACGAATTTAATGAAAAAATAAAAAAATGAATATGTGATCGTAGTTGAATATGAGTGTTTCTTCCAACTCGTTTGCGTTATCAAAACGTGGGTGGATCCCCGATCCGTGAACGAGGTGTAGATGGCGTTGTTTTTTTTTATCTTACATAATTATTATATACGAGTAATATTTTTTGTAATAAATTGATAATAAATGAAACTGAAAAAAATAAAAAACAAATTTAATGTGACCCGTTCATTGAGACGCGAATTTGTTCCTCGCAAAATTTTTTTGATTAATTTTTTTTAAATGTAAATCGTCAATTATAAATCGTCGCTGTACATTTTTTTATTTATTTATTTGTAAATTTTTTATTAATAAATCGACTTTAACCAAATTGGCTTTTTAATCTTTTTTCTAAAGTACGTCTTCTCAAATTTCATTCAATCAATATTTCGATATAAATATCACTGTTTATTTGTGAAAAATAATGGTCAGTTATCAATTACAATTTTTTATGTCAAATACGTGACGATAATGCGATCATAATATGCAGTCTTACCAAACTTAATTCAACCAACGAAGTATTTATCAATCGTAAATAACACCTGTAGTTTACAAATCATTCTCGACTTTCCGCATTAACCGAATAAGGAAGTAAAGATGTGCTGTTATCTTCTTCACTTAAAAAACAAAAATTATTTCCATTCGTTTAAGCACGCAACTGAATACAGTCTGCAACGAGTTTCCCGAAAGTTTTCTACGAAGAATATCCTAAATATCTTAATATCATAAGCACACCCACCATAGCGCAATGTTCCCGATGCAACCGGAGAATCCATAAGTCTCGCAATGAACTTACCGAGCGCTAAAGGTCAGTTTCGGAGCTGTAATGCCAGCCGACATCTGCAGTGAAAATTCAAACGATGTCGCCTAGGGTTCCCATACGTTTTTCCATATACCTGCCATTTGGGTCGCTCGTGCATAAACACAGTTAGAAAGAGAGAAAAAGAGAGAAAAAGAGAGAGAAAGAGGGGGGGGGGGGGGGGTAGCGTCCCTTCTCGTTTGGATTTTGGGAAATACAAGCCATACGGTTGGAAAAGCTAGTAACTAATCAGTCGTTGCTCCAGCTAGACACTGCCGAGTAAACATGTGATCACCTCAACTATTCTTATTTCGTATGTTTGTGTGTTGTGTGTGTTTATGTATGATACTGTATAAAGTTGAGCTTTCTCTGTGATATTTGTGAAACGCGTGAATCGGTAATTTTATGTTTTGCACGTCGTACAAAGTGCAGGCACTCCAAAGCGAAGAGTGCATGTGTAAGAGCTAAAATGGCCTGCGTGAATTCGCTGTGTAGGCGATTTAAAGCGATTTTTTTATCATCGTCGCACAACAACGCAGAGGAAATTGAAGATCACGAGGAGACCGTGCAGTTGATTTTTACTGTGAATCCTTTTGCGCCGATCGCCGAGGACGACTACAAAATTGAGAATGAAACAACTATTTCCAGACAATCGACGCAGAAGGTGATTTATACTGTTATTATCCGTCGTGATTTTCGGGCAAACCTAATTGATATTGTTTAGGAAAGGCCATTGTTTGATTATTGTTGTTTTATTTCACGAATCAATAAAAAAAATTAGTTTCACTATAGCAAAAGTAAATTATCTATTGATATCGGCGTGGACGCGCCATCTAAGTATTTTTATTGAAAAATTTGAAGTACAAATTTTTATGTAAGAGATAACACTTTTGCAATCAAAAACCTTTATTTGTTTTTATTTATCGATTGGATTAGCGAATTAATTAGCGACGTAAAAAATATCAAGGTTTAAAATTTCAGATTGGATCTAATTAAACGAAGCTCAATCGAATTAATAAATAACGATTTTTTTAAACGTAGATATTTACCGGAAACTTGCATTCTTTTCGTTTCAGACTGGGAATGCAAAGAATCCCCTACTCAACCTCAAGTGGAGTCAGTCAAGGAATCTCCAAGCACGTTGCCACCCACATCGCTATCGACAACGCTGGAACTACTCTCGACTTGCACAACTCGCGACAAGCATGAATTCCACGAGCTGAACCTGATCGGCAGCGGCGAGTTCGGTTCCGTCTATCGTTGCATCAATCGTCTCGACGGTCGCGTCTACGCAATCAAACGCAGCCGACGTTTGACTGGAAAGCAACCACGCTCAGAGACGAGCGAAGAACGAGGTTCACACCAATGCCGTGCTCAACAATCGTCTGAATGACGTGAGGTATTATTCCGCCTGGGTCGAGGACAACAGAATGAACATTCAGCAGGAGTACTGCAACGGCGGTAATCTGGCAGCTTCGAGCAAAACTAGGAGCGACAACGACAAATGGTTCATGGAGGAAGAGGTTTGCCGGATTTTGCTGGATATTGCCAAAGGCTTGTGGTAAGTTGATGTGACATTTATTGACAACTTGTTGCATATTTTTGCGAAAAATCAAATTTAATGTACGGTCTGACTTCCAGGTACATCCGCGGTAGTAAACTAGCCCACATGGACATCAAACCCAAGAACATCTTACTTTTGAGAGAACGAGTCTGAACGCCGAGACAACTAACCTACGAGCGGAGTGGCGAGCTCATCAGGGACGCCATTTCAAGGAACGAGTCGTCTATAAAATCGGCGATTTCGACCACGTTGCCTCGATTATCGACACTACGGAAATTGTTAACAAAGGTGACTGCAGGTGTGTAGTTGTACCGCGGCAGTTATATGAAAACTCCAGTTATTCGATAGATTTCGTAACGGTTGCTTTATATCGTTTCAGATACTTAAGCGGAGAAATAGCGTGCGAGGATTACACTGATTTGGCGAAGGCAAACATGTTCGCTCTTGGACTAACCATTTACGAAGTTGCCGGCGGTGGCCCATTCCCGAAGAAAGGATCCAAATGGCGAGCGATACGCGACGGCGCTCTTAACAAATTGTCGCGTTACAACACAACAAACTCAACAAGTTGATGAGAGCCATGGTGAGCGTCGATCCATCCCAAAGGCCGTCTACTACTGATATCGCGAACGAGTTTGTGTACGGATCGATGAAGTCGAGGAATGGTGAAAAAAAATTGATGCGAATAAAGAAATGTAAAGCCTAGAATTTTCGGCTAATGACCTGTGAATTTGGATGTGTTTTATTTTGCTTGGATTGCGTTCATCTGCGATCGACGCCTTTTTTTTATTTACATTCATAGCAAGTTAGCCACACAGTCTAATGTATTTTTTTCATTGTATATAATTTGACTTGAATAAAAATTGCAATTTTTGTATTTGATATGATTACTTTTGTAGATTACCTCAATTATCATTATACTTAACAATGTTTTCTTTCTTTGAATAGTATTCGTTTTGGCTTTGGACTATTTGCGTTGATTGTATACATCGTTTCGAATGAGAGGAAGTTTACCGTGGATCGATTAGTCGACGGCTGATCGCGACGGCGTTAAAGTAGCGGCGAGATCGCACGTTTTTTCACCATCTCGGGTCGTACAGCAAAAATCGTCACCAAGATGCCGCATTGGCGTGAAGCCTGCGTTCGACGGATATCAGTTGTCGAGTACGGTTGTTTTTAGACGATTGTTCCGTGTTACTTGCGACGACATCAGTCATCCAAGGCATTCCTCACGAATTTTCTGTTTAAATTATGTAGCTTTGTTTGTTATAAGCACCATAATGTATTCAGATAACCGAAGGGTCCACTTGGACTACGCCCGCCTTGTCCTTGCAATTATGACATATTCGTTTCTGAAAAAAGACCAGAAAGAAGGGTGAATTTCTGTAGCCTCCGTACAGGAAAAGTGATGAAACACAAAGAGCCCCACATTCGGGAATTCGACGTGTTAGCTTGATCTCTCGTTCAGCGACGCTCTCGGAAATCATTCACTTGAGCAAGTAATTTTTCTGCTCAAACTGCCCACATTCTTGTATCTCAAGTAGTCTTGTACTTGTGAGATATTTGTGTGACTAGCGACACTTTTAGAGTCTAAGGAGCGGGTTACCCGTTGCCTTAGCAGAGGACACGATCGTTCTTTATATTATTTTTTATATTATTCTTCCATATTTAAAAGGCTGTTTTTTTTCACCATCTAAGACTGTTTTTTTATGTAGGATAAATATCTTTCCTTTCAAATTTCATCACATTTAGTTCATTTACAGTTCTGCCCTATCGTTCATAATTTACACACCTCTGCATGTACCTTTTCAATTATGGCATTAAAAATTTCAAAGTGAGATTTATTTGTTTGCGCCGCCTTTCATTTTACATCTCATTCTTTATCTATTACTATTTTAAATTAAACAAAAATATATTCTATACTCTTCACCCAGTATTGAGTAGGCCATATTGGTTTATTTATTACTCTTATTTATTTTCCATAATGAACTACCCTAGTATATCATATATTAGAAAAAATATCTAAGTCTTATTTGTTTACCTTTGACTTTGATCGTCAACACATGTGTTAGACTTGGTTTTTTTTCGCGATTGTCCTTTACAATTCTGTAATCCTTCTCGGCCTCTCAGTCGGTCGCACGTATTTCGCTATCACTCAATTTGACACACTTCAATAATTTAAGGAACTACTTTGATTGCGTGTACTAAATCAATGAAAAATGTAGAATCTACAAATGAATTATCTAAACTACAACATACATTCTGTAAACAGCACACTGATGGTTGAAATTCAGGCCTTAGAAAGAGAAAGAGAGTCATAAAGTCTACATGTACAGAAGCGTAGTATTTTTCGTAATAAATGTTACTTGTCAATTTTAATATTAATTATGGCGAGCAACGAGATTCTCCATACGTTGATGAATATGATCATATTTTCATTATTTTCAAATGTCTATGATTTCGTAAAATCGCTTTATTATTCAAATGCAAACTGAGAAAAAAAAAGATCTCGTACACGAATAATGATCGCTTACACCAACAAACACGCACAGAAAAAGTTCCCGGCAATGAGGAAAGGTTGAGCGTAAAGGCCAATTGCACAAATAATAAGGAAAGAGAGTCAGTCCACATAAGGGAGCAGCGAAACATGGAAAGAACGTAGAGCCTCGAAGTCTTAAGCTAGCCAAAAAATAAAGTTTGCGTTCGCTCTGGTGCTCGTATTTACGATGGCAGACAGCGCCAACAGGCTTCCAGTTTGCGCGACAGTCGAGTGCGCGGAAGCGTGCTGCAGCACCACGTGCAACGCCACCAGACCCTGCCCCGGGCGCCAGGCTTGCATCGATGGATTGTACGTTCGACTCTAAGACACGATTTATCAAAACGGACTTTGCAGGCCAATCTCCGTTCCCCTACAAGTGTATGACTGTCAAGTGCAGCGCGGGTCATGTTTGCCGCGATGACCGCTGCGTGCCGCTCATCGCCGATGCTTTTCAAGTGACATTTGGATTTTAATGTTACTGGTAGATTGTAATGCTTGTACTGTGAAAAAAAATGAATTCATTCAAAATATATCCCAATTATGCGTACCGTTAATTTACTCAACTATTCGAAGCACTTGCAAGAACTTTCACTCTGTTTTGCTTGCAGTTGCATGCTAATACTGCTTAAATGAGATCTTGAAATCCCGGCCTGTACGGGTATATTTAGGTCATAAAAATATATATACAGTAAATGGAGAAATTTGTACCCGTGATTTAAACCAAAGGAAAGATAATTATCAGAAAAAAAGTAATATAGTTTGATAGATTTACTGCGTAGAATTGGATTAAATCAATTTCGAATGCAAATCACTTTTCCAAATACAATTCGTACAAAATTGGCTCTTTCGAAACATTGAGCCGACTGTTCGAGGCGAAGCCTGATTTGGCTGGCGAGGGCCCATGTGCGAGATAGCCTTTGTTTCCGAAGCCGCCGCAATTTGGGGTTTCCTCAAAAATTTCCAATTTGGATGTGTCGTTTTTCCCCAATTATGTGGTAATAAAAACGTTGCTGCTCTTAATGCCTTAAATGTAATCGAACTAGCGAAATAAGGTTGTAAAATAGATTTAGGCGACGATGAAAAAGGCGGCGAAATCTCGTTTCATTGGGAAAGGATCGGTCTATTCCCCGGCATCTCTTTTTCTCTCCTCTGCTCAAAGCTCAAAATAACGAGCGTGGGCGCAAAGAAGTCGTCACGGCCTTAAAGCCGCGAGCTCCGAGACTTTGACTCTTGGAGGCTGTAAGACCTCGCGAGAAGCTTCGCTTCTGGGTATCGAAGATCACTTGATACAGCGGAGGCAGCTGATAAACTGTCTTTAAGCCGGTAGGCTGCAGAGAGAGAAAACGGGGCGCGTGAGGGAGTAGGAAGGGCGAACTCTTGGTTACTCGGATAGTGCCGATACGCGCGCGCCGAGGTCAGAGAAAGTGGGGGAGCGCCTTTGAAAGGAGAAGGTGAGTCGGGCTCTCTCGAGCGAACACGACCGTCACAGCGTCGTAAAAACCCTTGTACAAAATAGTACATTACGATACAAGTGCGGGAAAATAGATTCTGGTCTCGTGTGGCGTTTACGCCCGAGCGAAGCGTGCGTGGAAAGGTACACGAGACGAGAAACTCTCTATTCGTCTATGCAGCGTGCGTTATTTTTTAGTCCCTAATACGGACATTTTATTTAACTATTTAATCAATGCTTAGGAATTTTTTATTATTGTTGTTATATCTTGGTATTCATGTAATTTATAATTGTAATTTGCTTATAATTGTATGCAAATGTGAATATACATGTTTCTATTTTTTTTCATGATGAATCATAAAATGTAACAAGTGACGCAGTGTGCAAAACAAGAGGACATATCGAATAATCGACTTCGTGCCAGTCGTCGCGGGAAAAATTTCGGTGATGCATATGTTTTTCAAAATAACAAAAGGCACAAGTTTTCCATGCAGCTGAATATATTTTTTCTTCGAGTATCCTGGCAATTGTAAATAAGCAAATATAACATTCATTCTATGTTATTGTGTCACATGTTAGCTTCAACAGTATGACACTCGCGTCAGTTTTTGAATTCTATCTGAAAAGTCGTCTATCAATCAGACAAAATGAAATAGTTATTCTATACATTTTTCATTTCAACCATTGATACGCAGTGTTTATACAATTGTTTTCGAAGTAAGTAGTTGAAAGAATGACAGCTCGTTTTTTTCAAAAATGAGCCATTTATCATTAATTCTTTTTACAAAAATAGTTTGATGGAGACATTCGAAATTGATTAAGTCCAATGATAGTTTGGAAAAAAGTATATCGCAGAGACGCAATATCTAAGTGACCAATTCTGGTCGAACCGCGAAGAAAAGGCAAAAGAAAAAAATAAAAGGTTGACGATGCGCAAAAGAAAAATAACTAAACTTGCAACTGTCTCGTTGCTATGATATGATAAAAAGTATCGCATCTGCAATGATTGATTGCACAATAAACCGAAAATCAGTTCCAATAATCTGATTATTGCACTGTTTCGACTACCAGCTATTTTCTCGCTCTATGTTAGGTAACAAAATGTCGAAACCTTTGTTTGCATAATAACGCAGTAGTAATGTGATCTTAAATTATTCGAGTGGCAAACTTTGAGACGGTAATAGCGCGTACGAGGCTGAGAAGAGGGCAAAGGTGATTCCCACGACGAGCGAAGCTCGACGATGCAGCAAAAAGGAAAAATTTCCCGCGCGGAGGAAAGCAAAACAGCGCAAGTGGTATAAAAACCGACGAAGCGCCGGGGAGCTCAAGCAGTCTCTACGCCATATGCCGGAGATGAAGCTCCTGTTCACCGTTCTGCTGGTAATCTGCTGTGGCACGCTGGCACTGGCTGCCGAAAACCCGATCGTGTGCGGTCCCCGCGGCCTGTGTCCTGGAAACATGGCCTGCATCTACGGACACTGCCGCTGCCCCCAAGGTCTGCGGCTCGTGGGCGGACGCTGCAAGCCGATTGTGCCTGTCGGCAACTGAGCCGAGGCGGCGGACATCGTCGCCGTGCCCATTGCAATTGTTACTTGTCGTGATTTAATACAGTTAATACAAGTGATCACCTTGAGAAACCACAATAAACGAATAAATAACCATCAAATCTTTCCAATGAAACATGGATTATTGTCTTCACAACTTTCGAACGATTTGTCGAAACGCCCTTGAAGAAAATCGTTTTCTACTGCAAGCAAGTTCCGCTTTGTAATGAAACGTCCTTGGTTACTATTTTTATCTGCCCACGTGTAAAAATAAAAATAGGCTTATTGTAATATTTTTTTTCAGATCATCTCGACTATTGGATCGAGACAGACTATTTCGAGATGATTTCGTGATAAAGCATTTTTGTCTATTGCGAAACGTCAAATTTCACAGAGTAAAATAGCAAAAAAAAACGGATCCAATCTTTTATCCGGTTAATTCAAAACCTGTGAAAAATGATTTAAATAACTATTTGTGAACAGCAACAACAAGTGAAAGCTCTTAGCAAACAATTTAAAACATCGCAATGGCAATCTATCAAGAAGTTTTCCATAAAGCTTGAGTCACAACAATTTTATTTACAAAATTTTCCATCGGGCGAAAATAAACAAGTTGTATAGCAGAAAAAGTGCGCGATTAGGGTAACAGATTATATATCTCCGGAAATATTTTTCATTTGAAATATTAATGGCACATTTGAACTTATCTAATGATGCCTTTTATTCTACATCCATCATCTACTTCTATTTTTTAATATTAAAATCTCAACTCTCTATAGTCTCTCGGAAAAGTGATCGTTCATTTTCTTGTTAAAAAATTTTAGTCTGTTATTATTTACAGTTTGTCGTTGCCACATCATTGTAAATACATAAGTAATGGACGGTTGATCGTCACAGATACATAGAAAAATGAAATAGGAATAACTATTTGTTGCTTAATCTGTTAGGGAAGTAACAAATAGTCTTCTGTATGAACGATAAACGTGTAAAGTGTACAAAGATTCTGCAAATATTATTTCGAAAGTATGGATGACTGTTTTGTCAACAGATTGTACACCGAGCAACGATACGAAATTCTTATCTTCGAATAAAGAAGCGAGAAAAAAACCAAAAGTACCAAAAGAGAAAGTGAACTGCAACCGCATCGTTTATCCGGGTTTGGTAATACACTCGCGGGACTTGCCATTTTCCGTCAACCATATAGAAATCTGACATACCGTGCTAAGTTTGTTGAGGCACGTGTAAGCATTTTATTCGTCGACCAGCAGCATACAAGAGACATTTCGGCGTCAATTCATGAGCGATAGAATCTTGTTCAGTGTCAAGCGATTATCACGAATGAGCAAATCATTTGATGCAGCGCAAGTAATAACGCGATAGGCGTAAAAATTAAAGTGGCATGTGCACTTTGCGGAATATAGAGACAGGCGTGTCTTTCATTTCCGCATATCAGAGCACTGTAGACAATGAAGCGAAATATATCGTTGATAAGATAGGTAATGAGAATGAATCAAGTTGTTCGCTCAGTGTCATTCTCAACAGTGCTGTATTTGTCTTGTTCGGTGCATTGTTCAAGCAACTTATGTAATGCCTTCCGACTTGAACTATTTTTACGAAAAGGACTTAGACAAAACTAACATACGAGACTTCTACAATTTATTGCCGTTTCATCTAAAAATTCACTTTCAGAAATGCATCCGCACCACAATCGATTGGGGAAACGTGTTGCAAGGTTACAGAGGCCCACTTCATATGTGTAATAATGGTAGTGGCGATAGCGATCGTTACCTGCATCTCACGGAATACAAGAAGTCAAGTTTTGGTGGGGAGCGAGAAAAGACATTAAGACCCCGGTCCCATAGCTACGTATGAATGCGGACGGATACGGACGCGAATCGCAACTTTAGTAACATCACTAAAAATATCTAGTTCGATTATTTAGTACCAACACTACCGGTAGAGAGCAAAAGTAACTGTTGTTTAAAACTGTAGCGCCGAACGTACCACATTTAATGTTCAAATGTCAGGTCTACAATTTACTTTTCAAATTCTCATGAATATTGCTTATTGATGAGTATGCTAATGTAAAAAAAGCTTTCGGGATGATTAATACATATCATTTATGTATTTTTTCTTCTTCTTCTCATATATTCAAGTACTTCCATAAAATTAAGGCCTAATTCCACTAATTGCAGTTGAAAGTCTATCAATTCTCTATCATTTGCCATCTTATAGACTGCAATAATGTAAAGGTTAGACAAGCGTTCATTAAATGTGGTACACCCAACGTGGATTGAATCGCGACCCCCCCCAGTTAGGTTGGTATGAGAATTCCGTCGTTGCATCGGAACGAAGAAACCGCGGGAAAATTCTATTGTAGATAGTAAATAAATAAATAAATAATAACTTATCTAAATGCCAGCATAACGATAAATCCTTGCTGAAGCAAAAGCAGGTAAAAGCATAAGAAACTCGGAAGAAACATTTAAAATAGACATATACACGTGTAAACAGGCTTTTTCAGGTCTGCTATTCGAGCTTTGATTTTGACTGCTACTTTCAATCCGTAACGGTGGTTTTCAGATCGGTCATAGTATAACGCTCGTTCTTAAATTATATAATTAAAACCTAAAATCAAATAATCATGCATCTAAATTCATTGTTCGGCAAACAATTAATTTTAAACCTAAAAACAAATTAGTAACGTTTTAGCTTTTTATCGAGTCTTAAAACGAATTTTCATTTTTTTAATTTTCCCGCGGTTTTTTCGTTCCGATGCAACGACGGAATTCTCATACCAACCTAACTGGGGGGGGGTCGCGATTCAATCCACGTTGGGTGTACCACATTTAATGAACGCTTGTCTAACCTTTACATTATTGCAGTCTATAAGATGGCAAATGATAGAGAATTGATAGACTTTCAACTGCAATTAGTGGAATTAGGCCTTAATTTTATGGAAGTACTTGAATATATGAGAAGAAGAAGAAAAAATACATAAATGATATGTATTAATCATCCCGAAAGCTTTTTTTACATTAGCATACTCATCAATAAGCAATATTCATGAGAATTTGAAAAGTAAATTGTAGACCTGACATTTGAACATTAAATGTGGTACGTTCGGCGCTACAGTTTTAAACAACAGTTACTTTTGCTCACTACCGGTAGTGTTGGTACTAAATAATCGAACTAGATATTTTTAGTGATGTTACTAGAGTTGCGATTCGCGTCCGTATCCGTCCGCATTCATATATACGTAGCACAATTTTTTGAGGCTGCGTACAACAGAAATGAGGTCTTTTCAATTCATTTTGAATTTCGAAGTTGGCAGCATTCAGAATTTCTTGTAAGTTTTACACTTGCTGCGTGCGATTTACGTCTGTATTGGAGAGACACCCTACCATTGCAGTAATATATATAGTTAGCGTTAAATATACGAAGCCGATTCTACCAAAACTCAAGCTGAAATGGATGCAGTCGGATTTTGCTACCAGGCGGATAGTTTGTTCGAGCAGGAAATGAAATACAATAAAGATAAATACAAGGAATTTTTCAATCAATATCAAGTGGCTAAACAGAAAATTATAGAACAACAAATAATTTAAAAAATTCAATTTTTGTTAAACAATCAAATTGTGATAACATCTTGATAACTATGTAATATGTAAATAACACAATATTGACGTGAAAAACTTTTATAATAAAAAATACTACAGCTGTAGCATATGGTCATAATTATTATTGTGACAAAATGTAATAATTTTTGTATTTCGATTTATCACTCAATAAAATATAAAATAAAATATTTGACTTATTTTTTAAATATATAATTTAAAAATCAATTGAGCCAGATTAAAATTACAATGATTGAAGCAAATAATAATCTTTATAAGCGTTTCTGTATTATACGTATTAAAATTTTTTTTACATTCGTCATAGCAAAAGCAAACGTAAAAGACTTTTCGTGGTAAAAAAGAAAAAAAAGGCACTCGCATGAATGTAAAAATATTTTTCAAATAATGATTTTAGCCAAAATGAAAAGACCTAAACTATAAACAGTTTAAATAAAATTTTATGTAGTAATACATATCACTTTATCTATATAGCGCATAAACATAAAAACTATAATCACGATGGTGGAAATCTGTAAGTGATCAAAATAATTCGTTATTAACAAATTAAATTTTTAAATCACCATAACTTTGTTGCTAATCAAGTTATCGAGCTGGAAAACGGGTCAAATGATTGCTTATTCATTATAAGGAACGTACTGGTTTTTTCAGATTACAAAAATAATGATTAGAACTGGAAATATTGCAAATTAACCAACAAAAAACGTCAACGACTACATATTTTATTGTTGAAAAGGCCGTGACTTTTGATCTACTTTCGGAAACCGCAAATACACCAAATTTTTTATTACACAACAAATACACTGATTTTTGTAAATTATTAAAATATTAATTAGAACAGAAGATCATCACGTTAATAAAAAAAAGTTGTTCTTTTTTACGAAATATTATTGTTTAAAAGCCTGTAACTTTTTTCCGCGTATAATTACCATATACCAAACGATGTATGTGTGTGTGTATACATATATAGGTCTACTTTTTTCAACTAAGGTTAGAGGTTATAGTCGCGCGCCACCGCGATAAATCTCGCGCCTTTTTTCTTGCACAGTTTCAATGTAACTTTTTTTACGTTGCTTACAAATTTTCTTTGAAGATGTGATCATGCATTTATGAACAGTTTACTCTAGCAAAACAAAATAAGGCTTAGTTCGTTAATATTTTCGTTATTGAACTTTTGTTAAAAAACTCAATCCTTCAGAGATGTGCTTTTTAACATGATAACATTTTCAAAAATTCGAGTGATGAACCAGACGAAGTGTAGCTGCAATTTTATGAAAGTGAAATTTAGGATTCTTCTTGACACGTGGAGTACGAGCGTTCTATCCCTATTCCAGTTTGAAAATGTCCAAAAGGTTTTCAAGAGGCAAAAATGATTCACCTGCTAAAAAAATCAAGCTTGATATAACCAGAGAGCAAAGTAATTTACAAAAGGATCAAAAGCTACAGCAAAATGTTACATCAAACAACACACCAAATGATTTGGAGGATCTGTGGGGTGATGACTTTGGTGAACACGAGATTGAGGAGATGGACATCATTGCATCGCAAGCAACACAGGAGGTATTTTTATATTTCTATATTAGTTTTAGTTGAATGGTTTGAATAACAATTTGTTACTCGTGAATAGGAAAAAGTTTTTGTTCAACCTCAACCAATTGTCAACCCTAAGAAATCTCCCAAGTATAGTACACCTTTAGAATCTTTTCCATCTACAAGCTCTGGTTTCAGAGGTTGTGCTCGTTATTGTCCAATAGTAGCCTCTCAAGTAATCTCATCAAACCATTGTTCAGACATAGATAAAGAAATTATTGAAAGTACTCAGGCTATAATATTTGATGATTTTCAAACTAATATTAAAGTCAATATGAATTCTACTTTAATTAATGGGCAAGCAGCATCTCAAAATAACATTGTTATGGTCTCAGGTAGTAAACCATATTTTTTATATAATGAAGGAAATATCAGTAGTATTATAATTTGTAATAAAATTTTACTACAACTCCAGATGATGATCAAGTTGCAAAGTGGAAAGAAGAAAAGAAAAAGTTATTGGAAGATTTCATGACTAAAGAAGGAGAAACTGAATTCCTTCGTCAACAACTAAATCAAATTCAAGCTCGAGCAGAAAATGTCAAGAAGGAGCAAGCTTGTTTATTGGAAGAAAAAGAGCGACAGATGACTGCAGAAAAAAATGCATTACTCAAAGAAAAAGCTACATTAGAATCAAGTATTCAGTTATTGGTATTTATAAATCAATATATTTTTAGTAATCTTTAAATATTAAAACTTTACTAGATCATTGTATTATTCCAGAATTTGCAAGTAAGTTCTATGACTGAAAAATGTAAATTGCTAGAGTCAGGAGCTATTAAATTTACACAACCTCAAGCAAATTATTGTAAAATTAACAGGGACAGAGGCAATGCTTCATTAAATATGTAAGTTCAAATAGTATCCTTAAAAGACCATTTTATTATAACATCATTTATTATAAATATTATCGGAAAATTTATTTTTAGGTCCACAGTAAAGAAAGCAAAAACAAAAGAAACTGGTATACAGGTTGAAGAAGTTTCTTCTAATGAGCATTTAAAATCGACAATTATTCGTGAGTTTCATATGTGTATTTAAAATATTTCAATTTTTGTTAATAATTAGATAATATACATTTGATATTCTATTTTAGTGTATCCTTTGAAATGTTTGCCACAATTTGCATTTGAGCCATCACAACCTGAAAAGTCAGTAGTAGATGTGAAAGTTGAAGAAAAAATCGGCAAAAGAAATTTAGCTATTATTCAGGATGAGGAGACATTTCGTATTTCCGGTAGAGCGAAGAACTCACTAAAAGAAGTTTGTTGTTTCATTAATTGATTGTAAATTAAATTTTTTAGAAAACCCAGAGTTGTCAAAGCCAAAAGTAACAGTAGTCGACGACAAAAACTTGAGCACTGATTTTTATTTACCGGACTTGGCAAAGCTTGTCAATAAATCGAGCGACGAAATAAATTCTTTCGAAGCCATTCCAATCATCAATAAAGTAAATTATTACTTTTCTATTTACAACAGCAAATATTTAGAAAATTGCTTTATTACTTAATTTAAATAATATTATAGATGGTAGCAACATCTTTAGAGCTTCTTCTAAACACAACTCTAGTCCTTCAAAATATCTCGCAAGTTCTTCAGAATGACGACATTCGCGACATGAACGAATTTTATATGTCTGAGTTCTATGAAATGCCAGTATTACATACCAAATCTACCCTCGAAGCTCGTTCTTGGTATGACTTTGAACGTGGAATCGAGGCACGTCGTGCAATCGGAACTTTGGCTCATGTCGTTATGTCTTGCATATATCTGGGTAATTTTGTTGCTGGTAAAGTTAAGCTGAACATCAGCAAGGATGTTGAGTACCAAAGATATATCAAACAGATGAAAAGTTACGAAACGTGGGATAAAAAAGGTCAAGATTTCGAATTTTTGAATTTATTTTTGGATTTTGTCACCGTTGTTGGAGTTATTGTAAGCTAAGAAGTTACTCATTTTTAGTAGTAGTTGAGAACTTTCATGAAACCATGTAAATATTTTTTAATAGAGAAGAGCTCATCAATTTACCGGTCTCATTAATGCCATACTAGCTTTAATCATAAATGTTCAGTCTACAGTTGGATTTTGCAATCTAGGGTAATGTCAAAATCAGTATTTTTTTTGAATAAAACATTTCATATTAAAATACATATCTATATATTATTAATTATTTACAGATTGAAACGCATAAGCTTCACATTGAGAGAAATTATTTTTTGCAGACCATTACTTGCATGTTTCATACCTATTAGTACATCACTGAAAGAGTTTTCGCATTATGACACCTTTGTCAAAACATTTTGCAATTCTTCAGGTAAAGATTATAAGCAAACAGCTTTCTAAACCAGAGATATCAAGTAAAAAAATTTTATTTTGATTTTCAGATAAAACTGGCGTTGTTTATTGGAAAGGGTCACCGGCTTTTACTCTAGGTAATGGATTTAATTTATTCTAATGTTTGCAACAATCAAAAGTTATATTCAATTGATGTTACGATTTTATATTTTTTAAATACAGATGGTTGTGCTTTAGAAATTTTTACGGCGCAATTAGAAACATATAAATTAGATCCAGTGACAATGATACACATGACGAGAGATTTAACAGCTTTCATTCATACGGCTCTTATGACAGTTTCTATTCCGTGGTTTGACACAACAATCAACTCGTGTAACTGTTGTTTAAATATTTTGAAATTGGTCATGATATATCAGTGTGAATGTTCTAAATTCGACGTTGAAGAATTGAAAACCAAATATATTCAAAACGATATTTTATGGCGAATTTCAAGATGCAATATCAATAATAAAAAGCAAATCATATCGTGGAAGCATCAGCTACGGGAAGATTGGAGTAGTTTCGAAAACAATCGGAAAGAAAATTTTTGGTCTATTTTGAAAATATTACAGTTTTCTACTATTTCTCACGGTATCCGACTATTGAGTTTTTTAGCAAAACGAGACGTAGATTTTACGATTAGAATGACATACATTGAGGATGCGTTTCATGTATTTCTACATAATATTACTAAGAGAAATTACTTCAAATTGAAGACGTACGATGGTGAGTTAATTGTTAATGTCTTTCACTTTGTACAGTTAATGTCGCATCAATAACTTACAATAAATTTTTAGAAGCTGCATTAGATATCGTTAAAAAGACTTTTGATTTGGATAAAAACAGAGAAGACATGGAACCCAACCAACACAAACTTGATCTTATTAATCTTGAAAGCCAAAGGTGGACAGACATTTCACCTCCTACCAGTCTTGATTTATTGAAGCTGTATAACTGCTCGTAGTAATTTAGAAACTGCAAAACTAATCGCTAAGTTCCTCTTCGTCGCTAAAGTATGAGCTTTTCTTGAAACGCTTATTACTTTTTTTAATAAACAGTTGTTCTACAGAATCGTTTTGTCCTGTTGCAACTTTATGTCTGTACAACTCCAGCTCTCTACGTTTTTGCTGAAAATATTGATATTAATTGTCAGTATTGAAACAATTTGTTTTGTCCTTGTTTCGAGCGCTATTGTGAAAGAATAAATGTTAATCGAATTTTTTCTATAACTGATAAGATAGTTATACTATCATATATTATAATAGTCTAAAATTAACTGTTTCTATAGCATTATGTTGTATTTGCAAATTCTAAAGCAGGTAAAAAAATAGTTTGTTTCTCAACAACAATATCTTATGTTGCAACTGCCTTAAATTTTGTAAAAGGTGTAATTGAATTTATAAAATACAAATGTAAATATAAAATTACAGAGATTTGTAAGGATTATTTAATAGAAAGAGGGAGAAAAAACAATACGAATTTCTGAAATAGTAATTTGTACATGATATTTTTTTAGAATTTAAATGAAAAATAACTTATTACATAAAATAAACAAATTTTTAGTTAACATTATTGCATAGTTCACTAGTTACCTCTTTCTGGATAACAGAACTCAAAGTATCCTGATCTGCATCAGAAGAATCATTGTCACTAGGAATATCTGCTGACTTCTGTGGTTCTCTAACATGATCCTCACTATCACTGTCATAATAACTGGTATCAGCTTCTTCTGCTTCTCCTTTGTTTTTACTTTTTCTTTTCCTTACTTTTTTTAGTGGTGGTATTCTTTCTCCTAAGGTATTTTTTTGGCACTGATAAGATAAGTGCCCTTCTTCACCACACTCATAGCAAAATGATTTATCTGGATAATCCCTACGTCTTATAAACTCGGTTGCTCTGCCATTATCAACTGCAATGGAACTCTTGACAGTACGTCCTCCTATCTATTAACAAATATTTTGTTTAGTTTAATTTTTATTTTGTTCTTTAAATAATAATTATAGTAGTAATATATGTACTTCGGTATTATTGAGATGGCTTGCACAATTTTGAGCATCTTCTTTAGATAGAAATAGTACAAATGCAACACCTTTACTACGTCTGGTTCGTTTATCTTTCACAACTGTCACTCTGTAAAACACATGGATATTAAATAACTTATCAAAATTGAATTACTGATGATAACTTTAATTTACTCACTTAACTATTTTACCGTAATCTTCCAATAGCTTGTGCAGATCATTATTTGTTAAAGAGAATGGTAAATTAGAAATATAAACAGTTGATTTACTTGGTGCTAGTTTCTCACTCATTTTGCAACTTGATTAATTTCAAGAGTAACTTATTTCCAAATGTCTGTTTGTGTAAATAACCTTAGTTTATAATTCCAACTTTATGTACAAATTTATATAAAGTAATAATACTTTTTATAAATTTAAACATTCCAGCCTATACTGTTAGTAACAAATCAAAGATTGTAAAAACTATTAAACAGAATAAGCATCTGTTCTGAATAAAAACATTGATATTCTACGCTACAATTTAGGAACAAAATCGCAGTAAACAAACTCATTGCGCCAGCTACAGTCTCAGTAAAAAAACTAGAACAGCAGTCGACTTGCAATCGTTGTTCATTATTATCATTGGTAAGTACACTAATTTCAAAGATTTCCTATTTACTTACAACTTCCAATCTTTGTTTTCTTTCAATTTTTAATTTTAATATTATAATGATCATTACAGCCTTAAGAAAAAGAATTTAAAGGCGCGCAAAAGTTGAATATTTCGAGTTGTATCATCGCGATATTTCTCGAACAATACCACGTGCTTACATTCTGCTCTGCTTCCCAAAGCACCACGGTGAAAAAGATTTTTTAATCTATCACACTTTTTCTTCTCACTTGAATGTTATAAGATAATAAACATGAAATTAGGATCTCACACAAAAATTACAATTGGATGGTAGGTGCGTATAATTATCATTCACGTTCAGGAAGTAACTGTTAAATTTTGATTTCGGAGAAATGTCATCCTAAAGTTCTATAACCTTTTCCTAGACAGCGATTATACTATCATGAAGCATGTTATATTGTTTATTACTCGTGTAGTTGAGAGTTTTTTAAATTTATGACTATTGATTACATTTTACAAAAATAGTTTGTATCGTAAGTTTGTGTTAGTAATAAGAATCTAAGTAAAAAAGAATTTGTTATAAAACGTATTTGCGTGATATTTCTTTTTACATTTATGTAACTCCTTACAGCAGATAAAGTAACAATAAAGAATTAAGCATCTTTGTTTTGAATAATAGTACAATAGAACTTTTTAATACACAAGGAAAATCGTTAATGTAATGTGAAAAATATCATGATTATGATTCTTTTGCATTTATGTTGCACATATGTTAAATTAATGTTAAATTTGCATAATTATTATATTTTTAATGTTCCAGGATATTTGCAGTTAGTTTTGGTTTATACAGTTTTTATTTATCAAAGAAGATCATTGATTCTCATCGATATGAAGCAATGAAAGCAAGAGAACGCATAGCCTATGCTAATGTGGATACAGAAACAAATAGAAAAATTAAACAAATTTAATTACTGAATCAGTTCACTTCAAGCAGAATCATAAGATGGCTGGAGTTGGACTACCACCATTAGACGAAGAAAAGCTGAAATTAGTTCAGGAGCTTGAAATTGAAATGATGTCAGACATGTATAATCGAATGACAGCAGCATGTCATAAAAAATGTATCCCACCATCATATTCTGAACCTGAATTGGGAAAAGGTGAAGCAGTTTGTTTAGACAGGTGTGTGGCCAAATTCTTGGACATCCATGAACGAATTGGCAAAAAACTGACTCAGATCACACAGGATCCAAAACTTGTCCAAGGACAACCTTTGCCTGGTTAATTTTGTCAACTAATTCATTAAGAATATAGATAAATGTGTTTAGTAATGGAAAGTGTCTCAATTTTTGTAATTTGCACCCAAACACACACAGAGCATTTATTACTATTCTAAACTACAATGTCCAAAGAAAGAGTAGCAAACTACAAAAATTAAAATACTTTCATCATACTGGTTGAGATCAAGTGCATTTGAGTTTGATCAGTTGTGAACGTTGTAATTCTGTTTTACGAATCGTTAATTATAAACTTGGTAATTTCAACTAATATAGTTATTTTTTTTTAAAAGAAAATTATGCAACCCTACAAAATTCTAATCGATAATGTCGTCTCGTCTGATTTTATTTCGCGTATTGGGGTTTAATGTTATGTATGAACGTGCACTAAGTGTACACGGGTATTGCAACAATGAATTTTTCCGCTTTGAAGAAACGTACATGCGGATGAAAAATCAATTGCAATCGGGCGTAGTTATTATTAGACGCTACTGCTGTAATAATTGTTAACGTTCGTATTATGTTTTTTCTCTCTCTTTCTATTTTTCTCCAGTGGCACTCTGCGAGCCATAGAAATACGGGTAATTTTCTATGCTAAATTTGATGTTTAATTAATCATATTTTCGTTATTCGCAGTCGAATTGTGCGAGTTCGCATGACTTCTAAAATGATTATTACATTCAATTAGTCTTACAGTGACAATTCTTAAAGAGTATTACAGTAGTTTAAACAAAATTTGCTGTTGTGAACGATTAATTACACATGAGCATCTGGAGAATCGTTTGTGCAAATACAGCTACATTATTCTTCATTTGATAAAAAGGAAACTGCCGTGTTAATTCTAAGCAAGGTGTAATAAGTCATCTTAAAAATAATTCAGAGTATCCGTCCACTGAACTGACAAAAAAAAAGCTTTTTTTCACAATTAAAAAAAAAAGTGAAATTAACCTAAATTCATAGCTCGTAGAATCACCATACGTATAATCAATGACCTCGTCAAGCCTCAATTGTCCTCCAAACGAAAAAAGTCATATTAGAGGGTTGACCCCAAAACAAAAGGCAAATCCCTCTTATCTCTCAATTAATCTCCATGACGACGTGGTCCGTTATATCTCACACATTTGTCGTCAGCAAGTTTTGCCCTTTCTCCCCTTTTTCGTCGTTCCTCTCTCCCGGTGAAGAACGAGCGATCAATTCGCAAAGAAAAAAGGGGCAAGAGAATTCACTACCCAGTGCGACGCCGCGAGGCTATCCCCCCGTAGGTATTATAATCTCGCACACAGGCACGTGTACAACCTTCCTATTATGCTTCATTTCCACCGAATTTCTAGCGTGCCGTGACCGGTGGATTAGATTAAGATACTTGAGTATACAGTTCTTTTTTTCTTTATTTCAATTACATAGTACTAACTGGATTGTAAATTTTATCGGGCTTTCAATTCTAAAAGTTTCTTATCGGAAGCTTTGAATCATAGTTTCTACATACTTTATTACAAAACGACATTTTTTTATTTGTATCAGCAACTTAACTTTAAATTATACGTTTTGTTTTATATATAACAACAATGCATCAAACAATTGGAACTCGTCCAAGTTATCGCGTTATAGATTGAAATCTCAGGAATGTATAAAAGGTAAGTAGAAATAAAGTTAATGCGGAAACTGCACATAGAACTTTTTCAATGATGTTTCATTGGAAAAGAACAACTACCTTCCTATATTTTTATCCGAAGCGATTTTCACAACAGATTAACCACGGTTTGAAAAAGCTTTTACCTTATCAGAAAAGAGACCACGATTATGTTCAGAGATTGTAAAAACCTGTCATTCTTCAACTAAGAACATATGGCATACCCATGAATCAAAATATTCATATTTTCATGACATAAATATTCAATTCTAATGATCATATCGGTGACTGATGATCATCTACTCTTACCTCTATAATTCATAGTAATATGAATTAATTTTATTCTTTGAAAAACTGTATCATTGAAGTGTATAATATGTACTTGTTATCACATTAAGTTAAAAATATTCAATATATTTTTTGCTTACAGCAAAATAACTTTAAAAAAATCAACAAAATTGAGCTCGTTTTAAAAAAGGAAATTAATTTTTCTTGCGCTCTCAACAAATCGATATAAATTGATGTAAGTGGAAAAGCATCATAAAGACAAAAAGCACAACTACAGTCATCGTCGCCGTCGCACATCCTATACCACCCGTAGTCTGTGCTCCCCTCCTCGGACTATACGTTGCTCTCTTTGCCGAGACATTCAAAGCATGCGCCGAGAGTTCTTACGAGCGAGACAAGGACGGTAAAAGAGAGCGAGCGAGAGAGAGAGAGAAACAGAGAGAGAGAGAGAGAGAGCTACAACGACGAGACGCGCCAACAAGTCACAGTCGTTTTCAGTCGCGCCCGAGCATTCCTCCGCAGTGCCTTGTACATATAGATACGCGTGTGTAGAAAAGTGTGTCCGAAGATGCGCTACCTCCTCGCAGGTTCGTATATGGCCGCCATGTTTGGGAGACGCCGCATAACCTCTCTTCACCGAACGAAAAACCTTCAAGGCCGCCCTTAGCCATTATTCAATTTTTCGTTATTTTTCACGAGATTTACCGTCAAACAATCAACAGTGTAAAGCATTAATTTTTCGTGCTGTGCATTTGTGCTTCACGTGCGTGGATGCGTTCGGTTCTGTTAAGAGTGTTGCAGTGACGGATCCAGATACACACATCAATTGAGAGTGTGTGTATATTCTTTTTTATTTTTAATCAAGGATGATTCGTACACATGCAGACTTATTTTTCACTATTCTGCAAAATTTTTCTCTGTCATTAAGAATTATAAATGAGTCATAAAAACGTTTATTTTCACGTTATTTCATTTTAAGTTTTTCCTTTTTTTTCATGAAGCTCGTACGTGAGTGGGAAAACGCTAGATTGGATTCTCTCAAATTGAACTTAATCTATTTACGATCGGGTTTGAATATGAGTAATTAGGGATATGAACGATGCATTGTAAACAACGGAAGTTGAAAGTTTTAATTGATAACATTTAAATAACGAGGCTAGACAATAAAGCTTTAAAATTCCGCGCAACAACTTTTGTAGTTTAATTACAAAACAATCTTTTCTCATTCGTATAATCGAAGCGAGTGTAGTTTACAAAGTATCTATTCCCAAAGAAAAAAAGCTGCATAGCTCGACAAATTTTTTTTTACGTAATTTTGACCCGATAACCCAATGCCTCGCTATGTGCGCGAAACAATGTCAGCGTCATCAATTCGTCCCCAATTACTCGTCAATTTTTTTACTTTGTTTTTTCTTTGCGAGACAAAATCTACGCAGCATAAAATTGCGAATCTAACGTATGAGTATGATGGCGGACTTTGAAACCGGTTTCTTTCGTTTTTTTTCAACGTTCTTTCCGTTATTTTAACACATTTTGTCTTTTACGAAAAGGTTTTTTACGGAGAGAAGAGATAGTAAGAGAGTGCATTTGGCTAAAATCAAGCTCAAGTTACAAAGATTATTATCCAACCGTTTCGTTCGGTTTGAATTGTATTCCCAATATACGAACTCTCCTACAATTTATATGGCGAGGTTATGCTGTTCAATTTATACATGTAATGCTTAACTTGATTGATCAAACATTTATATGAAGCTTTCAACTTGTAGATTTCGGGATCCCTAGCAATTATTCACATCCTCGGTGCGTCAATATAAAAGTCGCAGTTAACTCAAAGCACGATCCCTGGCTCGCCGTTTACAGCATCGATTCTAAAAGGGATCCCTTGAGCACACTTGTTCTTTCAATTTCGTTCTCGGAACGGAAAAAAACGACGTACGCGTGCGACAGGTTTCGAAGGAGAAAATAATAAAGAAAGAATCGTTACGTCACGCGCAATTGCATCGTGAGTATGTACGCAAAGTCTTTAATGAGCGTCAGTGTGAGCCACATACGCAAGTGCTTCTTACCTGCGTGGCGGGCAGCCCACGTACGTACGTTTTATGGCGATGCAATGCCCCGAATCCATACGTTTTCACCATGCCGATGACGACGCGCGCGTGCCCTGGCATGCGATCGTACGAGCGTTTTCACTGTTTTTTTCTTTTTCGGAAAAAACTGGGTCGACAGACGGCGCGACGCTTCAGTTATGCCCATTCTTAAGCAGCTGGGCGCGCTGAAAGATACGATTTTTCCATTGTTGCTTTCGCAGCGCCTCCGACAGTTTCGCGATGTCGAGGTCTGATCGCGAATGTCCGTGAAACATTCTGATAGATCCTTCAGTGACACCGCGATACTCGCGGTAGAGTAAGGTTGACTCGGCGCCGAGTTGGCACGACGCGTAACCCGCGTGCCTTGAAATCATTTGCATGACCCAAGCTTCGGAAACAAAACAAACGAACAAAAATAACGATCCCGTGAGAAGAGTCGCGCGCTGCAGTTGACACGCATTTCGCCGAGAGAATAATTAAATGGCAACGTCAGCATCGCTGGCTAAGCAAGCTATAGGAAACTCGGACGAACAGCGCGCCCACGATTGGAACATCGCAACGCGAGCGCGTTGCTCGCCGCTCTCGTCTTCGTCGTTGATCGATTTCACACGTTTTAACGACGAAACCCGTGGTGCCGAAATGCGCGCGCGTGGCGAACGCACAGTTTCGCCGGTTGGATCGGGGCGTAGTTTTGCGGTCAGCGCGATTCGTTTCGCGGCTGACGATGCTCCCCAACGATGGCGGGGCAGCAGTTCGATTGATTCGAAAGCATCGCGATCGAAAAAGCGAGCCCAAAGGAAAAAAGGAAACAAAACAAGAAGAGAATACGGCGATCTCTTCTCTATAACGGTTCGCGCAGAGCAGACGCACGCCTCAGAATCGTCAATTAGCCGTTCAATTTGCTCCGCACTATTGTCTCTTCGCCGCGTCGCCTGAAAAGCCGCTTCCTCGTTTCCATTCCGTCGGCATCCTTGCACGTATACCGAAAGAGAAGCACGTAGAAGAAGGCCTGCGTGCACGTGATATCGCATCTAATTGGTTTGCATAATGTTCGTCATCGACCTTTCTCGCGTACCAGCGAACAAACGAACGGCAGAAAGAGAGAGAGAGAGAGAGAGAGAGAAAATCGATATTTACCATTTTCTCTTGCGATGACGAATTAGCGCTGGTTTGCGAGCTAATGGATTGGAATTTCAACTAATGGACGACGTTCGTGTAGTTCCGCGCACAATAGGAGCATAAGGGGGGGGGGGGGGGTCGATGCGAGTTTTAATTGTGCGCGATTGAACATTTTCGCGAGAACATCGATCCGCACGCAAGGTTATGACAGCTTTGCCGTGAAAAGGGAAAATCTATTGTCCGACGCTAGTATTTTTCGTCGCGGCAGTTCTGCTACTATTGACACTGCAGTTGATTACGTGAGCGAGTGTTTTTTTCTTTTATTTTTTTTGCAATATTTCACTTTGCAATTGAGTCGAAAGAATGCTTTATTTTTAATTATGAAAAAATCTATGTTTTTCACTCCTAAAATAGAGGCTAGAAATGTGCGTATGTACTACGAGAGCGAAAGCTTTGCAATTATAGATGTCAACAAATTTTTTTTTTTTTGTACGCCTTGCCAGCGTAATAAGACGTTCCATTTGTCGATATTACAATGGAAACTTCACGCTCCCTTCGCGTTACCGAAAGTTCGCCGCATGAACCAATGAGGAAGAACGAAAGTCACCATTGCAAGAAAGTCCATCAGCAAGATCGTAACCATTCCACTCCCCCCTCCGCGTGTCTTTCCGCGAAAAAATAAAATTGAAATTTATTTTTTCTACGGCGACGAACCGGCCGCGCCTTGCACTTCCTCTACCTCTTGTACACGACCAATCCGGATTTTATTTTTCAAAACCCAATAAATTTCGCCCAAGTTCACTGAATTTTGTTTCTGACTGTTGCAGCTTCTCGATAGGAGGAATCATCAACGAGGCGTGTCTGTGTGTGTGTGTGTGTGTGTGCGCGCGTGAACGAAAAAAAAAATATATATATACATATATACATATATATCTATATATAAATATATTGGCGGTGAAACGTCGTCCATAAATTTTCCTGAGAGCTGAGTTTCCATGACAGGCAGCCTTATGAGGACCTCGCAAAAGAAATCGCTCTACGTCAAGTAAGCATATTCAATTTTATTGCAAATTAGATGGGGCGAGAAATAAGAAAAATTTTTGATGAAATTTTTTATTTTTTTATCCATTTTTGTATAATCAAACGTAAAATGAGACTCTTCACGTCTGATTAATTGAAATTTCTAAATGGTTTTGCGAAGCCGCGATGGTTTTCCAAAACTTGAACTTGCACATTTTAATTAGCAAGATGAATTTTGAAACACAGAATCTTGTTAATTTTCATCTAATTGTTTTTTCTTTTATTTTGTTTGCTAGAACGTGAACGTTATCAAATGACTTTTCCAATATTGCGTCGTTTATCGAACCAACTATGAAGATAATGCAACATCGAACATTACGCTAACTAAAACGAAAATAACTTCTCTAAAATAAGAAAAAAATGTTTTTACTTGTGCAGAACACTATTTAACTATGATCCGGCCAAGGACGATGGATTACCGTCTCATGGTCTGTCGTTCGCCTATGGTGAGATTCTCCACGTAACCAATGCGTCGGACGACGAATGGTGGCAGGCGCGAAAAGTCACCCATCTCGGTGAACAAGAGGCGTTGGGCATAATCCCGTCGAAGAAGCGCTGGGAGCGCAAACAGCGTGCTAGAGATCGACAAGTCAAGTTTCAGGGACATTGCCAGCCGGTTATTGTTGATAAGGTGAGCGACAATTCTAATCCAATTCTAAAGAAAGCTTACAATCAGATGTGTTTTCCAAGTGATCCGAGACCGTTAACGAGTGTTACTCGCAAGCTCGACTCTCGGTTTTTATTCCGTACGAGTACTATTTTTGAAATTTTCGCGCACGAGATATCGTGCAAAAATATACAAACTGTCTCGTCGCACTCTTGGCTTTGATTAAGATATCACGCGGGTGGCAAGATTTCCGACGAGCGCGTCGAAATGAGCTCCGATCGAAAATAAAAATGGAAAAAAAGAAATTGTCCCCAGCTTGAGCTAAATTAACGAGTGCGCCTGGTTTTGACCTCGTTTTTATCCCTTTGGAAGTTTTTCCCTCTCTCGCTGTCGATTTTATTTTTAATTCCTGTATCTGTGCACGCGAGCGTTAAATAGCTTTTTATAAAACGCCATGCTGACTTTTTCTTCTCTTCCAGCAATCAACGCTCGAGAGGAAAAAGAAGAACTTCCCGTTTGGCAGAACGCTCCCGTTCTCTAAGCACAAAGACGGGAAGTCCGAAGAGAGTTCCGTGCAGGAACGTAAGTCTTAATTTTTATGCGTACATGTGTGGATGTGTACATACACACGCATTCACGAAAGGCGCGCGAAGCGCTGAAAGCTTTTCTTGGCATTGTTTCTGCGTGGGAGAGAAACTTATTTCTTTATCGTTGTGGATTTATTTTATAATTATTTTTAATTGCTGAGTGGTTCGCAAATAAATTTAAAATAATTGTGACAGTTTAAAATGCTAATATACATGTTCGTGGTAGTTTTTATTGGTTATTCGTATGATTCTGTCTAATATTATTGTAATTTCTTTTATTTCATATTGATTTTCTCTTGTTGTTTGTTAATGTATAAAGCATCTCATCGAACACCATACTTTCATAAATATCAATCTTCCTAAGTTAAGGGAACATAATTTTAATTGTTTTATTTCGCAGAAATCACAAATGAAAACAAGAATAAGAACGCTGATGGTGAGGAAAATGTACTATCCTACGAAGCAGTTCAGCGAGTGACGATAGAATATACACGGCCTATAATAATAGTCGGTTCTCTAAAAGACCGCATCAACGAGGACCTGATCTCTGAATTTCCAGACAAGTTCGACAGCTGTATACCACGTTAGTAGACATAATGTAACTTATCGTCCTTCATCGGAAAAAATAGTATATATAAATACATGAAGTAATTTTTCTTGTTACGGTTAATATAGATACAACAAGGAGTAAGCGTGAATATGAGGTGGACGGTCGTGATTATCATTTTGTCACGTCGAGGGAACAAATGGAAAGGGACATCCAAAACAATCTGTTCATCGAGGCCGGCCAGTACAATGATAATATCTACGGCACAGCCGTTGCTTCAGTACGAGAAGTTGCCGAGAAGGTGAGAAAAAAGGATTCTTATCGTATTTGATATGAAATATAATTTGAGGTATGTTATCTTCAGAAATATATTGCTTTTGTACTCGCAGGGAAAACATTGTATTCTCGATGTCAGCGGCAATGCTATCAAGAGATTGCAGATGGCACAATTGTATCCTATTACTATCTACATAAAACCTAAATCTGTCGAATCTATTATGTACGATTCACCATGTATCTTATTTGCAATAATAATATGTTTAGAAGAAATTTATTTTGTGAATTCTTTTATTGCAGGGAGATGAACAAAAGGATGACCGAGGATCAAGCTAAAAAAGTTTTCGATAGAGCTGTTAAAGTGGAGCAAGAATTTGGAGAGTATTTCACAGGTAAGTGGAAATCAGTTTGATTTTTTTATTATTGGTAGTATAGATGACATTATCGAAGTAATACTTTTTATAAATATTACTTCCAACATCTTTTACCGGAAGTTAACGGAATACCTTTCGTTTGCGCCAACAATTGATGCATACTTACTAGCATGGCTATTAAATAAGCGTTTAAAAGTAATTAGTGTGATCAAACAATTAAACATTATATGTGTTTAGACGTACAAAGTTCTGAAATAGCAAGTTGTTAATTCAGTAGAAAATCGCGTCTTAAGATTTAAGAGTCATAGCACCCTGTATAGTGAACAATACTTTGAAACATTAGCAAATTAATTAAGAACTTGATTTAGTTTTAAAATTATACAAATCGATTGAACAATCTATATTCTGTAAGTTTAAATGCTTGAAAAGTCAAATATCGAATTTGATTGAGTTATATTCAAGTCAACTATGTTAATAGAACTGCAAATACTAAATTTTCATATAAAGCTGTGATTAAAGATTAACCTTAATCACAGCTTTATTTGAAAATTTACCTCTAAACAGCAAGATCAGAATTTATTCAAATTTTAACGTTTTAATATTGCTGTTATTTCTAGCAAGGTAACACATAATACCTAATCTAAAATTCATGTCAAACTCGTCTTCGCAAATTCCAAGCATTGATTAAACAAACTATTCATTATATTTTATTGATTTTTCAGCGGTTGTACAAGGTGATACGCCAGAAGATATATACGCATTGGTGAAAAAAGTTATAGCCGAACAATCGGGTCCGACAATTTGGGTCCCGTGTCGAGATCAACAATTGTGACCTCCTCTAACGGATTACTGGATATGTAATTCGCATAGCGACTAAGGAATCAAAGAAAAAAACCAATTGTTTCTCGTGCCTTTCGAAGATGACTAGATCTGAGCAGGATAACTAAGTGGTTGGATGTTCTCATTGTTTTCAACACCCACACACGAAACTCACACTTACACACTTATCTCGCTTTCCTTCGTATCAGCTGCATTTTTCCTTTTTTTCTTCCCACATCTTTTATTTAACAAAATGCACCGGTCAGTTACCAGCGTTTGCGTTCTAGTTGCATTCCTGTGCCAAATGCGCTTTTTTGAACGCCTTCTTGACAATACCAGTATTGACAACGACCGCTTATGTACACAACTTGTTCACTAAAAGAGAAAGAACTTTAATACATACACAAACTAATGCATAGTATTGACTTCATTATGAATGCTAAGAATTGCATTGTTTTCTTCTATTTTTTTTCCATGTATATGGAATAATTTACGGACAAACTCTATAATGATTTTTTCTATTTCTTTTTTTTTCTTTTACTTAATGCAAAAAAAGAAAGAACTTATTTCCGCATTGTGCATTTAAAAAGACGTATATAATTTTAATTTGTACATAGCTATTTAATATGTAATTAAATAAGTGAAGAGAAAAAGGAATATTTGTAAATAGAATAATAATTGTAAATTGTACATAATTTAGTTTGTAAAAATACAGATCTATTATCGTCTTTGTTGATGCATTTGTACATTAATTTCAGCATCATTCAGATAGTTTAGCTAAATCAATTTAAGAATGAAAAAAAATTCTATATTAGAATTACGTAACGATATAATGTTCTAGTTTCTCAAACGAAATTAACCATTATTGTAACTAATTCTTTCTATAACTAATATTATCTCTCACACTTTCGCGCGTATCATCGTCAGCAGCAGATTCTAATAATTTTTTTAAGAACATAATGAAGTATGTATTAGTTAGTTAGATTGTAGAAAAAATTATTAGCACGAATTATCGATTCTTTATTTTGTAAATGTATGTCGTATTGTAAACCAAAATACTTTATGTTTATTGTTATCAATGACTAGCAAAAATGTAATAATAAAGTGATATACAATTTTTAAGACACCCCTAACAACTATTTCCTCTGCTCCTTGATATACTTTCTTTGCAAACATTCATATGATTGATATTCTAAGTGGCCAATCATATATGACGATAGAAAAGTAAAAGAACGTTCATTTGAAATTCGAAATCGTGAATCTGTCCCTCTGGCGTCATAATAAGCAACTAAAAGATGCGACATTATACACCATGTGCTATACAAGAACAACAGCTGCACAGTTTGAGATTGCAAGTACGAGTTTATTGAGTGGAAGAAATAAGTCTTCACCATCAATTGGTGGTTTAAACAACGTCGAAAGGCGAAGTATTAGATCTTAATATCTCGAAGTAATCAAAAAAGTAAGTTTTTCAGTATGTCACTTTTCACAAATATTTTGGAACGAAAGGATAACCTAGATGCAATTTTTGTTGGAACACTACGTTAGACATACATGAGCCGATCAGTATACAGTCCGCACTAAAAGTGTGTCGCGACACAGAATCTCTCACCTTGTAATAAAAAATATACATTTTTTGCTTGGGGAACGAAAAAGTTCGCGTTAATGATTGTTTGTTCTAACTTGTCCTTTATTTACGATTGAATGTGTAAAATAAAGAAACAAACATATTTATTCACTCAAGATTATTCTAGGAATTTATCGAGATAGGATCGTAAACAATCTGTCATACAATATTTTCAAATCTCAATATTAGATAAAACCCATAAAGTCATAAAATTGTTCAATACTAAAATAAAACACCGTATATCAAAGAAACCACCTAATTACCCATCACTTCAAAGCGCGACCGTCTGATCGCTCGCAAACGGGCGCACTATCATCGTCGCTCTTTTAATACATGTGTCTCCGAGTACAGTGTTCAGTGTTACGTCAGGAACTTCCTTAGATATCGTGTCCCAAAAGTTCCCTCGTTATCGTCGTCGGAGAGGTGGAGCTAGAAAATAGTAAAGTCGGGGCGTCGAGATTCCAAACGTCGTCGCCACCGCTTTTGAGGTTAGGTTGGCTGCGATGATATACTCGGCCCTACGCGGATACGGTTCCATAAAAAGGGCTAATGGCAAGGTAATTACGCTTTTAAACAAGTTTAAAATATTGTAAGCTTCAAAACGATAGTTTGATTGATTGAAGAATGGTTTGGAGTGATGTGGTTATCGTTGTATTGAAGTGGAAGGTATTGTATTTCGCGAGAATGTTTTGGAGCAATAGTGGTTATCAACGTTATTTCACTTGTTAAAACATTTCCATGTTATTGATCCTATTGTATAACGATGCATAGCTTATTTATGAAATATATATAAAAAAGTCAGTCATGGATAAAATTGACTTTTGAACTTGCAGTAGCTTAAACAATAAACAACCAAGTGCTATCATCAAAATTACCAATCTTTTCAGAAAATTATGATTCCATCTTACCTATGCAAAACAAGTATAATGTTTTCTTAACCATTAATTTCTAGATGGCAACCGCAGAATCATTAGCAGAAGTGACTGATGTTGTACAGATCTTACGCCAATGGGAAGATGATCAAAGCTCACCCACATATGATCCCATACCAACTCTCACCCGCTTAGCAGAGATCATAGAGCAAGAAACTGAAAATTATTATAAAATGGATCCAGATCCATTTGATGAGAGGCATCCGTCTCGTACTGATCCTGACTGCGACTTTGGCCACATTTTAAAAATTTTATTCAGAAAAGAAATTTTTATGACAAAGGTTAGTATTATATTTTATTTTTACTAATGTTACAACAATTAGACAAGTACTGTATTATTTGCTTTGATTGTAGTTGATAAATGATTATCTGAGAGATAACTACTGGCAAAGATCAGGTATATCCAACAAAGATGTCAGAGATCTAAACACAGCAGCTTGCAGATTAATGTTGGACATTTTACCTGGCCTTGAAACCTCTGCAGTTTTTCAACCAGACATGGAGGGTCTTATTCTCAGACTATTCTCCTGGGCTGAAAAAAGTGTAGAGCCATTACAAAGCTATGCAACTGGTTTGCTAGCAGCTGCAATGGAAGTTCAAGATATAGCCACAGGTTTTAGAGAGCAGAATGGTAAAATGGTACCGTTGATGTTAAAAAGACTATACAAGCTACAAGAAGAAGCATCAGCTGAGAGACAACAGAATAATGCTGCCAGACCATTTGCTCATCTGGGTCAGAATAGAGCGAATAATAGTTTGCAGGATTCAGATCAAAAGTCATTTCCTGGGAAAAGAAAAGTAAGGGACAAAAAGCGAGAGAACGGAATTTTGAAGAGTCCACCAAAGTTAGCTGGTTACTCGTCTGATGAAGACGAGGTAGAAGGTGAAAATAATCGTAATGAAACTAGGTCTCCACCTCCAAAAAAATTAAAGAATAGTGTGGATACTGAACAGGTAACCCCAGTGAAAAAAGATGCTTCGTATCCCGATCTCATGTCACCACCGCTTTTGATTCCTCCTTTATCAACGAAAAATAATGCCAGCCATTCTCAGGTATATTTTTCTCTCTTTTCTCAATGTACTTTGACTCATTTTGGTTGCACTTTTAATTGAGTTTTTACTACAGTCACCAAGTCCAATGAAGAATCAAAGTTTAGACAGTTCCAATACTCCATTCACTCCACTTAAACAAAGTCCAGCATGGACAAAAGTCATGGGAAGTAAAAATAATACACCTTCGCAGGTACTCGAAGGAAACTCAAACTCATCCTGGGCTGAAATGGAGTCTAATGTCATTGGAATCATTCAAATTTACCCTCTAACTTTAGCTACTAAACAGATGTTGATTCTCAGGTATACAGTCGTCCTTATTCTACTTATCAAAATATAATCTTAAGTTTATTATTTATTTTTATCTGCTTCAGGTATTTAACGCCAATGGGAGAGTACCAAGAATTCTTAGGCCACGTCTTTGAACAAAACGCGTTAGACTTGATCCTCCAGTACATAAATGTACGCGAAACAAAAGACAGCCGTTTAGCTTTCGAAGCCCTCAAGTATCTTGCTTCATTATTGTGCCACAAAAAATTTTCCATCGAGTTTCTGAGCATAGGTGGTCTTCAACGACTTCTCGATGTACCAAGGCCAAGTGTAGCAGCAACCGGTGTGTCGATTTGTCTGTACTACTTGGCTTACTGTGAGGACGCGATGGAAAAAGTTTGTCTTCTGCCAAAGCACATAATCTCAGATCTTGTGACTTACGCATTATGGCTCCTTGAAAGAAGTCACGATTCAGGTAGATGTCATGCAACTATGTTCTTTGGTTTCTCATTTCCATTCAAAGTCATTCTCGAGGAATTTGATGCTCAGGATGGTCTGAGAAAACTTTACAATGTGGTGGGTACTCAATATTTTACAAATAACTAGAAAATATTTAATTTTAATAATGTAATATGTTATAATATTTTATTTGTTTTTTAAAGATATCTACTTTGCCTCTGTTAAATATCGAGGAGGAAGGGCAACTGAACGACGATGAGGAGTGCGCATCTAGGCAGATCGTACGTCACGTTGCGGTGGCCTTGAAGAAGTACATGGAGGCTCATTTGTATTGGAAGGCTGAACAACTGCAGCGAGCGGAGAACGTGAGGACCGAACGCGATACGTGGCAGCCTTCCATACCACCGTATAAAGTATGTGTTTATCATGATTATATATATATATATATATTCATATTCAAATTATAGTCATACAGACGCTAATGGATATTAAATCCGTAATTTTAATACTAGTTTGATTGTGAAATGGAAAAATCTTATTATTATATATGTATATATATATATTAAGAAAATGGCAAAATTCGAAATACCTCAAAATTTATGTAAAATGGTTACTTCTATGCAGAACATTATTTTAATTTAATGATTAATATATATTAATTATGTGCGTGCGCGCGTGTGTGTAATTTTTTAATTAATTAACTTTATATTGCATTATATGTAATTGATTAATAAATAATAATAATATTCTTTCTTTTCAGGCTGTGAAATTGAGCAGCGAAGAAGTCCAAACAAAAGTCGAGGTACTGCAAGAATTGATGTCAATGCGGGCATTGTGGCCACCAGTTGAACAGCTTCACCGCCTGGGTGGTATTTCTCTTCTTTTGCAAATTATCGCTTTCGCGCGCGAATGGAATTTCAACAGTCGGTGAGTCCATGATTTTTTTATCGCACAATGACAAACTAAACAAATAATCAAACTATCGCATTTTTTTCTTTAAGTAGTGTTCATACCACATCAAGCGCCGAAACAGTCCGTGCCTGCCTTGACGTAGTAGCCATCTGCTCAGTAGTTCCCAAAGTGATGTCTTTACTATGCGAACGAGTAGATATGCCAGACCTTTCAATGACTATCTCCATAAATCTGTTGCTTGCTGCAGCCGAGTGTGAAATAATCGCTGATGCAGATGTGCAAAGAGCAGCGCTCAGAGCACTCATTAATTGCGTTTGCGCGCCGGTTAATCGGGTTGGTGGTAACGTTGCTAGATATTCATCCACTGGATCTGCTAAGAAAAAAACGAATTTGCACAGTAGTGAGGAGCTTATTCAGAAGGTCTGGTCGAGCGTTAGGTCTAATAATGGTATTATGGTGAGTTAATGGTTATTTTAGCGAATTGTTTTCTATCACTTAAAAATTTTTCTCATATAAATTAAATATTTTTTAGATTTTACTTCAATTAATGATGGTAAAAACGCCAATCACAGACGCCGATAGTATCCGCGCTTTAGCCTGTCGCGCCTTGGCTGGCCTCGCACGAAGCGAAAAGGTTCAACAAATTATAAGTAAATTGCCAATGTTCACTGACGGTCAGATCCAAGTACTAATGAAGGATCCCATACTCCAAGAGAAACGCCAAGAACACGTGACTTTTCAGAAATATGCCTTAGAACTTATAGAACGCGTGTCGGGTAAGGTCAAACCCACCGGCGCTGAATATGAGATTTCTCTTGTTAGTCTACATAGGGTAAGTAATTGAATATCGATAGTTAAATATGAATTATAAAAGATTGTTTCATTAATGGAATTGAGATGATTGTAGGCAAACGTTGTTGCACAAACAAGAATTCAGTACAACGAGCAACAGCTCTATCAATTGATCTATCAACATCTATTGTCCAGAGGTCTGACAGATACAGCTTCCATTTTGGCGAGAGAGGCTAGTTTAGAATCGCCGGTAATACCAAAATCGCTCACATATCAGCCTTTTCACTATCGAAGCCCTGCTATCACAAGTGTAAATTTTTAAAATATTATATTTTCATTATTTAATCCCAGTATGTCACTTACATTCTTTTTCTTTTGAATCAATAGCCCAGAACAGCATTTTCACCCGGTGCAGCAGCAAATCTTTACAACACAAGAATCACTCAGAGAGATTCTGCAAGCCGTAGCAACACAACCCCGACATCGAATTCGTCAAGGTTCATCTCGCTCACGGGTGCCGCTACCAATTCCACTACCGTCGCCAATAATAATCCTATTAGAATTAAGCTCGCCGATACGATGAATCAAAGTCCTACTACAAATAATCAGCCTATAAAAATTCAAATCAATCAAAAGTAAATTTTTTTTATCTGAAATATAGGTAGAATGTAAATGGAAATTTCACATTGAATTTTGTTTTCAGGAAAGCAGCCGATAAGCAGCTTACCTCAGCACAAGTCAACCAACAAATAGCCAGTCAGTCATCCTGTAGGTCCCTTCAAAAGCAGATATCAAGAGAACTTGGATCAAGTTCTTCCGTTGGGATTGCCAGTTCAAATGTCAATACAGTCACGTTAGATTCTATTATTACGGAGTACTTGACGAATCAACATGCACTTTGTAAAAATCCTATGGTTACGTGTCCACAGTTCAATTTATTCGAGTAAATACCATTCTTTTATGATTTTCCTTTGTCGCAAAAAGAGTGATGAGCACATTAAAAATCTAACTCATCTTTTGTTTAGGCCTCATAAATGTCCAGACCCATGTAAAAAGAACTCCACGCCACAAAATTTCTCAGTCAGATTAACGAGGCGGCTGTTGGGATTCGATGGGAAATTATTAGACAGGCGGCTGATTTATAGTCGATTTTGTCCCGTCAAAACTTTCCGTCCGTTGGATGTCGATAGTACCTTTACATGCTGCACATTCTCGGTAAGCGTCAATACAGTTTAATTATAGATTAATACTTTTTGCAACAACTATTTATTCACTTTCTTCGTCACAGTATAGCCAAGATTTTCTTTTCGTTGGAACCTACGCGGGAGAATTAAAACTGTTCAACACAAAGAACGGTGCCGAAGAGGCAACCTACAACTGTCATGAGTCGTACGTTTCTCATGTCGAGTGTAACAAAATAGGAAATTTAGTATTAACCTCGACAGCGTGGAGACCACCGTTATCAGTACTATGGAGCAGCGGTAGGTTCTTCGAGCCAAAGATTAATTTTGATCGTGAGGATTACGTTGAGTTTAGTAAGCTCCAGGATAAAATTGTTGGCACACAGAGTGAAGTAGCTACGGTTAGTTATTTTAAGGTTTTGAGTTATACAGTAATATAATAAATATAATAGAGCTTAGTCTAATAATATATCATTGCTGTTACAGATATACGACATAGAGTCTGGAAAATTAATAACAAGGTTTACACCAACGATATCGAACCAGTACACAAAAAACAGAGCAACTTTCAGCATGAACGATGAATTGATTTTAAGTGATGGAATTCTCTGGGACGTCGACTCTGGTGCGGTTGTGCATAAGTTTGACAAACTCAATCAAACGCTCAATGGTGTCTTTCATCCGAATGGAACGCAAGTCGTGTCGAATACCGAAGTTTGGGATTTGAGGACGTTTCATTTGCTCAAAACAGTGCCGGCACTGGATGATATGAACGTCATTTTTTCTCCAGTTAACGATATAATTTACGCAGTTTCCATTGATCAAGAAAACGACGACGAGTCCAATTATGTGACGTCGTTTAAAACTCTTGATGCCGTCGATTACAGCAGTATCTGTGAGTTCAATTATATGCTTGATTTCACATTTAAAATATTGAAAACTTATTCAAATCAAAGATATAAGCATGTAGAGTTTTCGAACAAATTAATTTAGGTCTCCACTTAATAATCAATTTTTATCCAAAATTAGCCACCTTCGACGTCAAAAGAGGCATCTACGATTTGGCGTGCAACAAGTTAGATACTCAAATAGCTCTTGTCGAGAACGTAGGTAGCTTTGACAGCCTTCAAGAATCTAGTGTGCGTCTTTACGATGTTGGTAGGCGCAGAGACGACGAGGACGAAGCTGAAGAAGATGACGAGGATGAAGATCTCGATGCCACCGACGATGAAGGATCAAACACTGGTTCTGACGATAATAACGCCGATGGTTTGTTACTTTTTACCTGTTTTATAAATTAAATAATTATAAATGTAATTATTAATGATTTATCATTTAATGTCAGGTCTAAAATAATTGTATGAAAACTCAGTTAATAAGCTTACAAAATAATTGTAATAAATGTTTGTTTTACTATAGATGCCGATAACGGAGATGCACAAGGAGATGATATCATCGACGATGCCGACCAGAATGATGGCGACGATAACGACGACAATAGTGAAGCCGAGGACGACGATTCTGGCGACGATAGTCTTGATTATCATAATATCTTTTCGTCGGACGAGTTTAACGCGTCGGATGTTGATGACGTGGAGATACTTTTCAATTGAATACTATGAAAGTACGCCGTATTGTGTGGAAGTAATTTAGTTTCTTCTTTTTTTATGAAAGCAATTAAAAGGCTAAGTGCTAGGCGCTGCCTCGTTTTATCAAATCTGTGGAAAAGGAACTTGAATTTATTTGTGGATGTTCCTTATTGAGAAGAGAGAAAGAGGGGGGGGGGGGGGGGTAGGGAAAGAGAGAGAGAGAAAGAAAGGGAAAGGGAGCTTGAGAGACAGAGAGAGCGAGAGCCTGATTTAGCTGTTTTTCGTGAATGTGTAAATGATGTTTCTGAAAGAATATTTTCTATTTTCCGTACTTTGATAATAATTGTATGTATGATATAATTTTGGTCCTTCAGATAGGACCTTCCGTATGTGTGTTTTGAGTGCGGAGAACAACGTTTTGAAGATCTTGCAATTTATTGGGGTACGAGTGAAAGTGATTATATTATTATAGTTATAGTTATTGTCATTAACGAATAATTAAAATAAGAATATACAAAGTACCTTTAATGAAATGAATAAAACCATATTGTAAAATTTTATCTGTTACATTTCTTTTACTTTTTCTAATTCATGACATGAGAACTAAACGTATACCATAATATAGACTAATATTATTGGTATTTTATTTATAAAATTTTTATATCTTAGCTTAGCCTTTCCAAAGTAATACAACTGTAGATTTATTAGTTATTTTAAAAAGTAAAAATATCAAGTAATTGTACATCAAAATTTTCAATACATTTTATTCAAACATAAAGTCATTCGGTGATTTCATATAGTTTGCAATACAATTTCATTGACTTGAATCAAAACTTACATAATATTTGTAGGAAATGTCTTAACAGTACCTTTAGTCTTCTTAAACGTCGTTTGAAGTAGAAAAATATTATTTGGCATTTATATCTGGTCTACTACATGGTAGCAAGTATAAAACAATAAATATTTCACAAAATTCAACGGCAAAAGATATATAATTATATGTATAAAGTTATAAAAATTCGTTATCAAAATTTTATTAACTAATGCACATAGAATCATTCATAATATCTATATAGAATGTAATAAGAACATTTATAAATAATTTTATGAGTCTAAATAGTAGCTCAATGAACTTATTCATTTTAATCTTTATGAGTTACATGTATCAAGATATATCAAACAACAAAATTTTTTAAGAACGAAGTAAACTATTAAAATCGTAATTAAATATAAAATTTTCCTAAAATTAATTGAGATATTTAAAATTAAAATTAAAAATTTATACTTTCAACTTTCTGTATAAGTTTTTAATTTTTAAATAAACATCATTACTCAACAGCTTTATGGTACAAGACACTTTCTTCAGTAATAAACGTATCACAATGTTTTCTTTAACTTACTAAATATCAATAAAAAAGTTGATAATTAAATAAAGTTCAAATGTTTCTTTGTGATCTCCACTTTTACATTAATCTTGAAAGTATTCTATAAATAATAATCTTCTTAGGTCTCAACTAAACTGTTTGTTTTTATCTTTGTCATACTTAAAAACAAATTAAAGTGTAACTTATTGCCTTATGATGCCCATGATGCCAGTTTTTGCAAGTCATCTCGACTAATTTCTGAAATAATTGTAATATTAGCATAAACATAGGCAATGACACTCAATAGTAAAATCACATGTATTTAACAAATTACTTCTATTTGGTAAAGATGGCAATTTTGAAGTAGGAACAACAGGTAATTTATCAGTGGCTTGTATACTAAGCAATTCTCTGTCAAGTTCCTCTTGTTCGAATGTTTCCAATTCTTTTAATAATTCATTGTCGTCTAACTCTTGACCATAAGTTACAGGGTTAGAGATGGCATCTGATAGTTCTCTTGCCAAGTCTTGTTGTTCTGCAATATTCTCTATGATATTATGAATCTTATCGATATCACTAAAATTTCAACAAAAATAGCATTATAAATTTTCAAAATAAAAATTCACAATAACCAAAAAAAACAGAATTTAACTGACATATGTTTATATCCAATTTTGAGAGCATCAGCAGCACTCTTCATTGTGTGAAGAACAGCAGTGTTTGTAGTAGAGTCTTCCAAGGCTTCTCTTTGCATCTCTATACTAGTTAATATGTTATCAATTTGCTGCTGTTGCTTTTCGTGACGTTTTTTCCTTTTAAGAGCTTGCATTGCAGCTATAAAAATAATTACAGAACATCCTATCAATCGGAGTTCTTGTGTCATTTCATATATCTCTTTGCATGTATATAGTGTTTATGTTTACTACTTCAAAGCAGTTTCATAATACAATAAATATATAGTGAATGAATACTGCTGTAAAGTAAAGTTCAAATTATACCCTGTTTTCTTTGTGATTTGAACGACATGTGAATATTTCAACAGGAACGTTGCAAATGCTAATAAATCAAAAATAAGAAATTCATTGAATATTTAGCCTTACCGCGCTTGTTCTTTGTGGAATACTTCTTAGCCATTGTTTTTTCCTGCTGAATTTTTAAGTCAAGGAATTCATTCTTCTTCTCGAGCATTTTCTCTATATCGCGTAATTTTTGTATCGCCTCAGCAATTGTTGGGGCTGCTTGAACTTTCTTTTTCGAGTTGAATACTTTCGCGAAGAAACTCATTTTTCAGATATAAATGTAAATGCAGCAAAAATAAGGTGATGCACGAGAATGAATAAAGTTTGACACGCGTCAGAGATGATGATTGTAACGCGATTAACTCAACTTGGCGTAGAACAGAAAGAAAAGGGATGGCGAAACAACAAAATCAAAGAGCACGTTGACAGCAGAGTGCCTAAGCCTAGCAACGTGTACAGACTTACAGCCATGTGTAAACTGTGGAAGGATGGAAGGAAAGTCTAGGCAGACACGTGGAACCTCCCCACCTTATTCTTGACTAAGGATCAGCTGTCGTATACTCTTTTTTAATATACTTCCTTGGGTACTAAGGCTACATCTACAATAGTATGTAATATGTAAAACGTCTACGTGCATAGATGGGTGACGGTCATGTTACCTGCTTATTTTAGATTTTTTCTCGGCAAGTGTATTTGAACAAAATAATCATTAATTTTTTAATTATAGCTAAAAAGATTTTTTATTCATGGTTTTTCTTACAAAAGAACAATTCAAAAGGAAGTTGAATTACCGTCACCTATGTATACAGGTAATGTTTGACATGCTATTGCAGATAAAGTGTATAACGCAGATAAACTTTGTAATGTTTTAAATGTGTAGATTGAAATCTTTTTTAATGTAAGTTTAAATAATGAAAATAATTTCTATTAGATTCGAATGCCATATTAGATATGATAGTGAATCGTAACACCGAACAAATATATTTTTATGAATTCAACATTACAATGCGTAATTGAATATTACGTATGAAATAATATGCATAATAAATGAATTATTGAATAATTATTAAATAATTAATGAAATAATAAAATAAAACGTATGAAATTTTTGTAAATTTCAAGTGTCAATCAAACACCTGTTAATTCTTATATTAAATTGGATACAGCTTATTTTATAAAATTACAATAAAGTAAAAATCAATTACTATTAGAAATGTATTTTCAAAAAAATAAAGAAATTTTTAAATTGCTGTCAACTCGATTATACCAAAATTTTCAACGAAATTATATCTGTGTAGCATTTGAAATATTTCGCTTGAAAAACCCAACTTAATATAAAAATACAATAACATATTATTTTAATTGAAAAATAATGTGTGTTTATTGAGTACTTAGGCAAAATATAAAGATGCAGCATATTTAAAGCATTTTTATACAAAATCTAAAATTACAGTGTATTCACAGGTCCTTGATATAAAGTAAATCTTAAAATTTATGTCATTTTTTTTACGTAATTTATAGTTTAAATCAATTCCTAAATATCATAATTATAATGTTTACCGCAAACCTCGTTCAACTCGCACGGATGCTTTTAACACATCGGTCTTTTACACTTCAAACGCTGATACCAGATCTTGCGATTGAAATTATCGACGTTTCGCGTTGATCCAATTTCCTATCAAGAATTTCATCTTTTCGATTATGATCTGGTGAATACTCATCATGAGACTTCAGATACTTTTCAATTGACAGACGTAGACAGAAATTGTAACCTTCACGCATTTGTTCGTACATTAGACTGTATATAAATGGATTGCGATTCGCTTTACGGTTGAGCGTTGCATGTGAAGAAATCGTATTTTTTGCAATTCTCCACACGCGACATTGTTACAGAAGTAGAATTGTTTATAATTTCGTTTCTGATATAATACAGGTTCCGAAACAACACGACAAACATTGAATATCGTTGGCAAGAATTTTTCAGTAGCTTGCGTGGCCTGTGGCACGATGATTGAAATTTGCAAAACATATATCTTGGTGCCATGGAACGATTCAAACTAGCAGCTGATGTATCGAATCAAAATCATACTTTAAAGATCTTACCTTTGCCTCATTTTCTATACAGAAGCTAAAGTTCGCATTACGTGTGTATAATGGAAATAAAATTGTCACTAAATTGATTAAACGCAATACCTGATTTATACACTGCTTCAGCAACGCAATATCAGGTAGCACTAGCAAGAAAATTACTCATGCTTGACGTTGTCAACGGTTATTTTAAGATGTGTAAGTCTTCTAAAACGCGCGGCCATTCGAATCTCGCGCTTTGGAAAACTTCAGCTAAGCGGTGACGCCCTCTATGCGAATATGCCCACATATGCTGCGACTGTAGTTCGATCACTCTGTCTCTCTCTTGCCCCGCCTCTCTCTCCCCCCGGCGCGAGATAGTGTTGCGCGCGTTTTATCGTTCGCGCTGTTGTTCTGGCTTCGCGGTTTGCCGGCAATCAGAAAATCCGCGCGCAGAATCGAACGCGCAACGACCGCGACGACGGCGTCGAGGCAAATAAATCTCAAAGAGAGTAGCGAGTGTCCGCGGTGCGGTCGCGGTTAAAAAATCCCGTGGTGGACGCAGGCGAGAGCACCGAAGCGATAATATTAAGCGAGCGGCGCGGAGAGAGCGAGTCATGCCTCGGGAGTTTGCAAGTCGCTGGGCGCTGCGTCGACGACAGCAGCTCTCGACAGCCAGCAGCAGACATCGGCTACGGCTACGGTGGCGGCGGCGGCGAGCAGCAGCAGCAGCAGCGGTAGGTAGCCTGTAGCGCGGCGTCGTAGCGGAGCGGCAGCCAGTACCCCCCCGTCGTTGGCCGCGGCTGCACCAGTGGACTGACGACTCCTCTCCGCTCTCGCTCTCGCGCGCGTTCTCTCTCTCTCTCTCTTGGCTCTTTGTAACCTAGAAAAATTACCTTGTGTCGAGGACGCGGAGAGAAGTGAGCGAAAGGCCTTGGTGCAACACGCAGCAGTGCGCGCAGCAGTTGTTTGTTTGATCATGTAAGAGTCTCGCGGCGAGCTCGTGCGTTTTTTTGGTTTGGTTGCGCGATCGAAGCGTGAAGTAGCGCGCCAGCAGGGAAAGAGGCAAGATGACGATGGTGGAGCGGTACGACGAGTTGTGCAGACTATGCGCCTCGTACGATGCCGTCAAAATGGACATCTTCGGGCAGGAAGGCAGGAACCGACAGCTCGTCGACAAGATACAAACGTGCTTACCCTTCAAGGTATGTATGCACACATTGTGTTTTTATGTTCGCACGTACGTACACACACATACATGCACGCAACCGTACACACGCACACATACACGTACGTCGCATTTAATCGCGGCGTCGTCTGCTAGAGTTTCACCAATTTTATATTTGTTCCGTGCTCCTCGGCGTCATCGGTGCGGGCCACGACTTCGCTTTCTCGTTCTTTTGTTATCGACCTTGGGGGGTTGATTTGGTCGTTCCCTGGGAGAGGCGTTGGAGAGCGAGAGAAAGAACGAGAAAGAGAGTTTCTGAGAACGCTGGCCTCTCGCTCTCCTCGCCTCTCTCTCTCTCTCTCTCTCTCTCTCTCTCTCTCTCTCTCTCTCTCTCTCTCTCTCTGTGCCTGTCTCTCTGTCTCTCTGTCTCTCTCTCTGCCTCTCTCTCTGTCTTTCTCTCTGTCTCTCTCTCTCTCTCTCTCTCTCTCTCTCTCTCTCTCTCTGTTACCTGCCCTGAGCGCGCCTGCGCCAAAGCTGCACCTGGCCACTTTTCTTGGCTTGACCGTCCTCGGTCTCGTTTTTACCAATCCGTGTGCCCGCGTCTGGCTGTGTGCGAGCGTCCCTTTCGAAGCGAACCGACGCCGAGGAGGCGGACAAGCGGCGTGGGCGCAGCGGGACGTATCGGATATACGCTTGGCTCTCTCGCTCTCTCCCTCCTTGGCTGCTCTGTGCGTACTCGGGCCACGGCGACGACCATCTTGTGTCGTCGTCAGCGGCAGCGTCGGTGCGGCCTCGTTCGCTCTCCGGCTGCGATGTTTCTTGCGGCTTGATGGGTTTTCCGCCTCTCGCCATAGCCGCCGAGCGCGCGGTTATATTCCAGCCTGTCTCTCATAATTGAACCTCGTCGCTGTTCGTCGCTTACGGACAAATTTTTTACTCTTTTAATTCGAACTAAAGCAAACGACCACGCCATCCCGGATGACGAAATTTTCCACTGGCTCTTGCCTTCGTCGAGCGGACTGCATTTTTTCTTTCATTTACGGCTATCCACGGCACTCTCGGGCGTGCCTTTATCATTTCATTCATAAAATTCGCCCGCGGGTTCTAACGTATTTGACAGAGTCGAAGCGGGCGCTAACGAAAGCACGCTCGATGTCAATCGCCCTTACCTGTTAATTTGTTTTTTCGCAAATCGTCGCAGCTTGGGTAGAGTCGTGCGACGAACAAAGGCGGAGCGCCCTTTTTTTTTCTTTCACGTTAACCGGGGTGGACAGGTTCACTTGGAAGTCCTCTCTCGTCGGGCGACGAACTATATCGACGCACGTAATCCCGAAGACTGTGGCAAGGAAAGAAAAAAAATTGAGGAAAACGCGTGCCGTGGCGGTCGGCTCTCTCCCGAGAGACAAACACGTGTCTTTGGAATCAAAACACCCCCTACTCCGCGTACGTGTAGTCTATTGCGGCCGCTACTGCTGTATACGACTTGGTAGTTTATTAGAGCGGCGTTTTCAAGCGGCGCGAGAGACGCCTATCTTCGCTGTGCCCGTCGTCGCACTGTGATAAGTTTTTGGATAGACAACTCAACTCGACTTTGCTCTGAGTTTGTTCTGGGGCGTTATTTTTTTTCTTCTTTTTTCGTCTGTTTGGGCTGGTTTTCGAAGGGTGTCCACGAAGAATGTTGCTAGGGAGAAACACGTGACGAAGTTCCCGCACATGAAAGAATCTCGGCTAGCCTCAAGCTACGAAAATACGTCAACTTTTTTTTGTTTGTTTTACAAATTCGCTCTTATAGATATCAGCCTTCGTCACGTTAATCTTAAACTGTGGCATGCACGTCGAAGTTCTCGTAGAGGCATTCGAGGGTGAAAAATTCGCCAACGAACGAGAATGAAAACCAGGCTCGCGAACGAGAGACTCGCATGCATTTAAATGAAAGAAAAAACAACAAAATTTTGGTTAATGCAAAATTGGTGCATGCAGCAGCGAAGTCGCGTTTCGCTATAAAATTGCACCGAACAATGAGAAAAGAAATTCCTGAAACCAAATACAATTTCTGCAGTGACATTAATTAAAAGACAGGCGTGTATCAGCTCGCACAGTAACAGTTATAGCGCGACTGCTAGTGCTGTTGATAACTCGGTTACGTGTGCGTTGTGTACTTACGCGTATGGATTTTTTCGCGCAAACTGAGCTCCATGGACATAGGACACCAGCAGCTGAGCGTTTATTGATATTGCGGTTACAGTGAGTTTTAACAAGATTGCTTCCCCCCCCCCCCCCCCGTAAAGAGATCACAACGTTCCCGAGTTCACATTATATATCTTCAAGTGGTTTAACTTTATCTTCGAACGGGGTTGCTGAGTTTTCAAGTTACTGGCTCGCAAGCCGTACGAACGGCTGCTCAAATCACGTCAATTACGAACGATTAATCACTTCGGCGCGCATAAATCCAATCTCGTTACAATTAAAGCGCTTCTGCGGGGAAAGATGATGCTATTCCGAGCCACTCTTCTCAACCTAGAACAACAGTTTAGTTGAATAAGGAAAAGAAAAAAAGGTAGAGGGACGAAAGGTTCAATAACCACGCGTGGCCCGCAGTCGAAAAGCGCACGACATTGGGTGCTGGGGGCGTAGAGAGTCATCGTGGCGAGAGCAACATCCATCGGCCGGATCGATGCGCCCCGGCGAGCAGCGGCGTCCTCGTTTTCCTCGAGAGCGGGACTGGCCTGGCTGCCTCGTCACCTCGCCGCTGGCCGCCGCGTTGCCACGATCGATCCGTGCCAACAGCAGCAGCAGCGGCGGCAGCGGCAGCGGCAGCAGCAGCAACACCGGGACCCGCGCGAGCCGCCAGACAGAGATGGAGCGCTGGCAGCGAGCACGCAGCCCCCGGCGACCGCGCCGCGCGCGAGTAACTCGATACCGCCGCTGCCGCTGGCACGTGGCAGATGCGCGACACGGCGAGGGACGCGCCCTCGCCTTTGTGTGCCTCGCGATTTCTCGCAGCAGCGCCTGCCCGGGTGGATTCGAGCGGCCGCAGGTTAGGTTCGCTTGGGCGCGACACGTGCGCCGGGAGGAGAAGCGCTGATCGTATGCGAGTAGCAATTGCTCGATCTCTCTCTCTCTCATCTCTCTCTCTCTCTCTCTCTCTCTCCTCTCTCCTCTCTCTCTCTCTCTCTCCTCTCTCTCCTCTCTCTCTCCTCTCTCTCCTCTCTCTCTCTCTCTCTCTCTCTCTCTCTCTCTCTTCCGCGGCGCTCGAGAGGTTCGGGAATGTCACGGGAGAAGCTCGCGAGCGAGATAACAGACGGCCGCGCGAGAAAGTGAAAGTCCTGCAGAGCGTCAAATGGCAAACATGACGATTCGCATCGGTTACGTCGGACGGTTTTTGCTTGATCACTTGGCGGTAGGTTTCCGTGCCCGAGAACCGAGGGAAATTGCTGAGCGCGCGCTCGTACGCTCGAACAAGCGACGCCAGAGAGCCGCCGCCGGCTGGCATTTTTCTGTTCCGGACACCCGGTGCGTGGCCCCTCGTGGCAAACCAGCAGCAGCAGCAGCAGGCAGGCGAGCCAGGCGGCCAACCAGCTTGCGAGACGGGTGCGGCCTCGCTCTCTCTCTCTGTCTCTCTCTCACACACACATACACACGCTTGTTCGCCCGCCCCGCTCTCTGTTCGCTTCGAGGTCGTCCCCTCTTGCGGCTGCTGACTCGGGAAACTACGCCGCGTCGACGTTGCTGTAACTCGCCTCGCTGGGAATTGAAATTTCTCGACTCTCGCTGCCACGGCTGCGAACACAATGTTCGCCTCGCACGAAGAGAGAGAGAGAGAGAGAGAGAGAGAGAGGCAGCATCTGCCGCAGCGATACGGGTGTTTTACGATCGGGATATTTACGAGGAACGGCTCGGCGACGATGACACGCAATTTTCTTTCCGAGCTACGAGATATCGTCGTTCGGCCGGTAAAACAGACACATTCGCGCACCCGACATGTGCCCCCGAGAAAGCGAGCATTCCAACGCGAGCGAGTAATCGTCGGAAGAACCTCGACGGCAGCAACAACGGCAACGTCGGGCGTAGACATCGCCCTCCTCACGCTCGCTCGCTTGCTCTCTCTCTCCCCCTTCGCCATCGCCCGCTGCCGCCGCCAGCCGCTGCGACGCCACCAGGCAACCGGCTCTCCTCGGCGATGACGAGGACAGAATGCCGCGGCAGCCTTTTTACGCGCCTCCGGCGTCCTTCGAGCTTGCGCGTCGCGTTTTCCTCTTAACACGCGATCTAGTGTATCTCTGCCTCTTTTCCCTCCTCCGTCCCGCCGCACCCTTGCCGAAAATGCAATCGACCAGCGTGCCGACGCTGCCGTTGAAGGGGAGAAGGAGAGAGAGAAAGAGAGTGGGCGAAGGCTGTCCGGTTACCTGAGACCGAACGGACGCGCGCGTTCTCACTCTCTCTCTCTCTCTCTCTCTCTCTCTCTCTCTCTCCCAACCTACCTGGTGGTGGTGCTGCTGCTGCTCCTCCCTGCCCCGTAGCGTTTACACAGAGGCCTGCACACACACACACACACACACACACACACACACACACACACACACACACACACACACACACACACCTGGCGATGCTCGAAAATCCAGCGTTCGCTCGCGCGCGCCTCGTGTCTTTTCGCGCGAACGTTGAATTTTTTTCCCTTCTCGTGATTTTCGACGAGAGCTTTCTTCTCCCTCGAAAGCGACGAGCGCTGTTTGTCGGGCCGATTGGCGTACGAATGTTCGTCGTTGCTCCTGCCACGCGTATTCGATTGGAAATCGAGGACACTGTACTTCCGACGATGCGCGGGAGAACAGGAAGGAATCGAGCGTCGCGATTGATCGCAGCCGTTCGCGCGCGACGACACCGAGTGGCCGACCCAAAGGCAGGATTAGCGTGCGAGAACGGGTAACCTCACTATCCTTGGCAATTGGTACGGCGAAGCATCTATCGGCGCGTTGTGCCATCAATTGGCCGATGCCGCAAAGCGCACGACTGACCTGACCGCTCTCCTTTTTTCCATTGCAGATCGTCGAGCATGACAGACTGCCGAAATGCCTATGCTATCGCTGCATGTACAATCTGGAAAATTTCTACGACTTCAGAACAGCGTGCGTCAACGCGGTGGCCATGCTGGAGAGATGTCTGCCGCCGGAAGACGTAAGACCTTGAGCGCCGGGGCCGAAGAACGATCCATGTGACGCATTTCAAGGAAACCTCCAATGTTTTCTTTCGTGTACAGACGGTTCCGGAAATCAAGCAGGAGGAGGACGAGCCTTACTCGGAGCTGCGAATGGAGCTATTGAAAAACAAAGAGGGTATGCCAATGATGATCTCGGAAGCACCGGTGGTCAATCCGAACGCAGAACTTGGCACTCCACCGAGGCTCAGATCCGACGGCGAGGCCGATCCAGACGATTTGCACAACCACGACACCAGTTCACACGGGGAAGGTAGGTGTTTTTTTTTTGCTTTTTATTCGTTTGTGGCGATCGATAAGGATTCCAGCTCTTAACTGCGAAACCTTTTTTAGCTCTCGACGACGATCACAAGTCGGACGAGTACGAGATGGACATGGAAACGAATCCGAGCGACTTCCTGGAGATGAGCGCAATGGTGCCCGAAGACGAAGGTGGTTTACCACAGCCGTCACAGCACCAGCAGAAGTTTCAACATCGCAATGAACAGCACGAGGTTTACGTGTGCTCGTTGTGCAACAAAGCATTCAGTTCCAAGGGGCACCTGTCTCTACACGCTAGGATTCACGTTGGCGCTGGTGACGTGATCGGCGAGAAAGTCATTACCGACGATCACACTTCCTTCAAGAGACCCTATCAGTGCGATCTTTGTAACAAATCGTATTCCACGGCTAAGCATCGGTGGGGACACGTTTCCACGACTCATCGGTACGATAATGGAATAATGGAAGCTTTTGGTTTTTTTGCATTACGCGCGAGTTTCTTTACTTTGATGCCTTTTTTCGTGAAATTCTTGATAAAGGAAAGACTGCCGTTTGTCGAATGAAAAACATCTCTGCCAATTTTACTGTTCTATTGTCTTGACGCGCTATAAAGGAGTATATCCTGGTTGTGTGCACTGATTGATTTGACATTGAAGACAGACGGAGTCTGGAAGAAAAACGAAAATTACTTTTTTTTCAAGATTCTGTGCGTTCATAAAAACAATTACAGCAAAATAAAAAATTGAACGTATCTATAAGCAATTATTTTGTTTTCATCGCAGAGGCCATCCAGCAGTGACGTGCGGCCACTGTTCACGTATCTACTCGACCCGGACAAATCTCGAGGAACACATCAAATCACGCCACGCTGGTCAACCGCCACCGCCCGAAATTCAAGTCAATTACGTGCAACAAGATTCGCGATTCCAGTGCAAGACTTGTCCTAAAATGTACACCAATATTACTGATCTCAACAAGCACAGTCGTATCTGTCATGCCTCGCATAATAGCCTCAATGCTCAGAACTGTAAATACGCAGGGATTTCAAATCTTAGTTTTTTATTAAAAGTATACATTTTAATTAATATGACATTTCCTTGTCTTACAGCAAAGTTGAGAAATGCTTTAGATCCAAACTCAGATTTATCGAGCGTGGATTCGGATTATGAGAACAGAGATTATAGAAGCGCTGAAGCGAAACTTGCCAAAAATCCTCAGCTGACAATCCTCAAACAAGCCTTAATCAAAGGAGAGAGCGTGAAAAAAGAGTATGATGAGAGACAAAAGATGCTGAGCAAAGCTAAAAAGCAGGCCAAAGGTATGTTATTTGCACGGCATTTTTCTTGATTATCTGTTCGATCAAGTTATATGATATCATATTTTTATTGAACATTACAACAAACACTTGAAATTGGCTCGACGAAAAAGATTAAGCAAACAGCTCTCAATTATGAGAGCTGTAAAATTCATGTAATTCATGTGTTAATAATTCGTATTGTTAGGATTCTTATATATTCATAACCTGAAATTTCATTTTTGCAGAAACCAATGACGCGAACGGTAAACGATGGTACTGCGAAGCGTGCCCGGCGAACTTTGGTAGTGCGGATGAGTTGCGCGATCATGAGAAAACACATGACGCCGATAAACCCTTCATTTGTATTCTTTGTGAGAAAGACTTTGTGTTAAAGTCTTCATTGAGCAGGCACATTTTGTCATCTCACGGTGTTGACCCAACTCCTCTTATCGAGAGTGAAAAGTGTTTGAAGAAGTCTGTTTTGGAGGCTAATGCGAACCGACCACTTATAAAACAGGAGGCTAATGATAATTCATCGTCACCTATGTCTGACGTAAGTTGAATTTCAAATTGAAAGTGTGCATTTGTATGATCTAAGGAAATCAATAAATTATAATGTTAATAATTATTCTTGCAGAACTTAGATGACGAGGATCAAGAGAACGGCTATGACATCAAGCCCGATATGGAAACTGTTTTCGTCTGCGAGATCTGTACACGCGATTTTAACGATCGAGCTTCCCTATGGTTGCACATCCGAGCCACACACAAAGAATATGCCGCATTCGCATGCGGAGTTTGCTTGAAAATCTGCCAAGATAATGCTCAATTACTAAACCACGTAAACATGTATCACGGTGGTTCGAAATTGCAGATATCCGAGCAGAGAAGGTACAGCTGCACAATATGCGGCCGACAACACGATTCGCGAAAAAAGCTCATTACTCACGTATCCATTCATAACATCGATCCAAGCTACGACCCAGCCAATTACGTGCAACTAAATACTAACTACTATAACGAAAGCGTTAATACCAATGACAGCAATAATGAATTGATTATGGATTGCGACGACGAGAAGCTCGACTGCTTCGTTTGCTTTAAGTCTTTCCCTAATGAGGATCAACTTATTCGACATCAACGAAATGCTCACAAAACTGAACAAATACAAATAGGCGAGTTTGGTGGTAATGGTACTCCTGGTGGATTAAATGATAGTACTAATCGAGCGCAGTATCATCTGTTCTTTGTATGTGAACTCTGTGGAAGCTCACATCCTAGCAAGTGGGAAAGGTGGCTTCATGTTAGCAGCAGGCACGCTGATGAACCAGCTATCAGGGTAAAATTTTTTTAAATACTCGGCGACGAGAAAGAAATGAATCGCCTCGAAAATATAACTATCTACTTTTATTTTTTCTTTTTCAGTGTGAACGTGATGATTGCGGTAAAATTTTCGCTACGAAAACGCTGCGAAACGAACATACGCAACATCATCATTTACAAGGCAGTGTACCCAATACCTGCGAGATTTGCGGCAAATTATGGAGCAGTCGAGTTGACTATTGGAAGCACGTAATGGGCGTACATTCGAATACGGTGCCTCTTGTCTGCGGTGTTTGTCTCAAAGTCTTCCCTGATGTGATTCAACTAAGTCAGCATGTTAAAATTAAACATTGGCCCTTAACGAATGGTGACTTCAGTTGCGATATTTGCGGTAGACCATATTCAAATAAGAGCAAAATGAAAAGGCACAGAAGGATTCACGGTTTGGATGATGAACCTTATGAGCCTTCTTCCAATAACGCGAGTTTGGTTATCAATGATGCTTCCATGGGTGATATGTCTGGTTAGTAAAAAGGAGATTTTATATTCAGTCACGGTTTTTGATTTATACATTTTTTAAACAATTTATTGTTTTTTTTTTTCAGGCTTGCCAGAGCCAATTCCAATTGATAACGGTTTACCTCAACCCATCGACTCAAGCTCCACGATGGACCTAAATTGCGAAATGTGCGGAAACTTGAAGTTCTCTTGTCTTGACGAACTTAGTAACCATCGTCGTGTCGTTCACAATCTTTTCCCTTGCGACTTGTGCAATAAGTGTTACGGTCGTACCTCTCACCTCTGGAAACATGTAAATCGTGTGCATAAAGGTCACGACGATGTTACCTGTCGTTACTGTCTGAAAACCAGTGCATCGAGAGAACATCTTACAGCACATATCGCCAAGATTCACAGATACGAGCCTGAGGTTAAGCAAGAAATTCGTGAGACAAATATAAGTTTCAAGCAAGAAATGGAGGAAGACGATGGTGTTATACATTTCTGCGAGAAGTGTAACAAATCGTTCAATAAAAGGTGAGTAATTCGCTGAATTCATTCTACTCACAGTCTACTTAGACTTTCAAGAAATATTTGACATGCCAATTGTCGTTATTTGTCCAGGTACCTGTTACGTCGTCACATGAAAGGCTGTCAGAACTACCGCAAAGATCCGGGTTCTCTATTGACACGTTGCCGCGCGTGCGAGCGAATCTTTAAAGACCGCGCAAGTTTACAGAAACACATTGAGAATCATCATAGCTCATACGAGTGTCATCTATGTAAAATCACAATTACATCGAAACTCGGCATCATGACGCACAATCGGGTGCATCACATGAACCATCCGGATCTTACCTGCGAAATTGAAAGTTGTCGGAAACTAATGAGGACAACAGAAGACTTGGAATCGCACAAGAAAGATCACAAGCATCATCCGAGCCCAAACGTCTGTGATTTCTGTGGTGATACCGTTGAAAACAAGTTGAAGTTGAAAATGCACGTGCTGAGTTTGCACAGAAACGAGATCGGCGTTTCGTGTGGGGTCTGTTTAATTCCTATGAAAGATCCAAAGGATCTGAAGAAACACGTCGAAGAGGTTCACGAGAGTATTCTTTTACGACCGAATACTTGTCAAGTTTGTGGCAAACAGTACGCTTCGAAGTGGAAGGCATTCGATCACACGAAAAAGTGTCACGGTAAAGTGTTCCGCACATGCAAACAATGCTTGGCTGTGTTCACATCCGACGAGGATTTGCGGTATCACTACGAGCACATTCATAACATTCCCAAAGATCAACTTGACGCTTATCAGTACAGATTGGAAGTTCGTGGCAAACAAGCTCGAATGGACGATTTTGATCTTGGACCACTGGAAGTCGTGGTGAAAGAAGAGCCCGACGAACTTGAATTCGATATGGATCCGTTCGATGAAAACTCGAACGACTCCAAACGAAAGCGCTCTGAGATGGACACTCACGACTGTGAAATCTGTCCGGAAATCTTCCTCAATCAGGAGTTACTTTCGTCGCATTACAGAAACGTTCACAACACCGATCCGGCAAGAATGATCAAGAAATTTAAGACGGAAGTAGGTTCGGGAAAGAATATGCGCGAACGCGAGAACTACGAGTGTAAGAATTGTCAAAAACAATTCTGTACAAAAACGCTGTACATGAGTCACGTTAGCATGTGTACTCGCAAAGCTGGCTCGTCAATTCTCGAAGCGCACTTAAAGAACAACAATCAGATTCAGATCAAGAGAGAAGAACCGGAACCGGTAATGTGCGAAACAAATTTAAATATTCCGGATTTCAATCTGTTTGAGGATATCAACATGCAGCTGTCGGGGCAGAAACCAGTGCCGAGTTTGATGCCACTTGCAAGTAGCGGTAGTGTCCATATGTCGAAGGGCTCCAAGTACTCGAGGAAAGACTCGAGAAAAGTGTACGATGAGTCGACAAATACCGAATGCACGTGCGAGGTGTGTGGCAAACAATGGCCAGCGAAGAAACATCTGTGGCAGCATTTGATTAGGTTCCATAGAGCGGAAGCGGCGGTTACTTGCGGAGTGTGCTTGAAACTTTGTGCGACGTACGAGGATCTGTCGGATCATCTGAATAACGTACATCCGACGATACTCACGACGACAGGCAACAACTTCACTTGTAAAGTTTGCGGACGATATCACAACGCGAGGAGTAAGCTGCTGCTGCACATGAGTATACATATTAATTGTAAGAGCAATTCGGTATGCGCGAGATGCAACAGGAGCTTCGAGAACGAGGAAAAATTAAAGGAACACATTGCTATGTGTATGGGCGCACGAGAAGGTCAAGCACCTGGTGAAGATCAAGTCGAGATAAAGATGGAAGATCACGATATAAAAGAAGAAGAGGGTAGTTTAATCGGTGATGAAGATGATGGTCAGTCTGACTCGGATAATAGCAGTTCTAACGATTCCGATAGTAGTAATTCTGACAGTGATAGTTCAAGTGACGACGACTCAAGCAACAGCAGTAAAGAAACCGAGAACAAAGAAGTCAATCCACAAGAGTCGATGAGTATGCCCGACGAAGATGAAATGTACGAAGAATCGGAAAACGATGAGTACGTGAAAAAGAATCAGCAGGAGATACAGCAGAAGTACGAAGCTCCACGGAAAGAACAGATGCTCGTCAATTATTTCGATGACGAAGGTCCACCTGCACTTAGTCCCATGATGTCTATGGCCATTAAGGAACAGAATGAAGATGATAGTCAATTAAGTAGAAGTGCTTTGAGCACTGACAAAGCTAAGAGTGATGCTAGTGAAGAAGACAGTAGTGACGAGGAAGAAGCGGAGGAAAGCGAAGTCGAAGAAGTGGTACAACACGCGCAGATTGTTGATCCAAATAGTGCACTCCACGTCGACGATAACTCCGATGAAGGTGATTGATTGTGCACACTGGCCTGGGAGACACAATGCTTCTTTGTTTTGCTTTCTTTGCATGCTTCTTTTACTTCTATTTCTGCGGCGATTATTATTTGCATCAACTTTAATAAAATAATTACCCATCGGTATCATCGTGTCGTAAGATATTAGTGCACTTTACTTACCAAGCCAAGTCTCCTCAAGCATTAACTTTAGTTCAAACTGTTGCTTTTTTAATATTTTTATGTAATATTACTAATAGAAGACGATTTAATAATCCAATCCTATGTTTTGTACAAATCATGCGCTACCCTGCTATTTTGTTTTACGTTTATGTTTACTTCCCACTGTGCTTGTTCGCTTAAACATTTTATCTTTAACTAACAATATAATTAATTATTTTTACAAATTAAGAACAAGAGCAAGGGGAAGGGCAGGAATTGGAAGCAGAAGAACAGGAAGTAGAAGGCGAGCAAGAAGAGGAGGAAGGAGAAGGAGATGGAGAGGAAGAGGAAGAGGAAGAGGAAGAGGAGATTGAGCAAGAACATGAACAAGAACAAGAAGTTGAGGAGCAAGAAGGCGAAGAACAGGAAGTTGACGAGCAAGAAGGTGAAGAACAGGAAGTCGAAGAAGACGATGAAGGTTTAAATGGCACGGAAGTATTGGAAGTCGATGAAAATGACATGCAAAATCTTAACGGCACAGTACTGATGTTAGCAAACGATGCCGACGGCAATCAAATCCTCGTCGAGCGTAACATTGCTGACCTCGAAAATGACGACTCAGTTCACGATATGGCACAGTATGTTTTCCAAGATGGGGAAGGTTTTGCTCTCGAGGACTACGAGGCCATCGTCGAAGGCCAAGGTGACGAGGACGATGATGGAGAGCAGCAAACCTTTGAAATGGAAATCGGCCAAGCCCAAGAGGAGGAAGAAGAGGAGGAGGAGGAGGAGGAGGAGGTCGAGGAAGAGGAGGACGAGTGACTCTGTGCCAAATTGAGTGTCGAGGACTGGGACCACGTACCCTTAGAATTGTACAATGAAAAAGGCTAAAACGCCGATGAATTAATTTATTCGTTTGTCGCCCAACGAATGCGCGGCTGATGTTCGTTTCTTTTTTTAAGTCTTTTTCAGTACTAAACTTCGTCGTTATTTTTTAAAAATTTACACTTCCGATTTGTCATTCAAGCGAGGTGAAGTTCTTTTTTACAAAAAAGTAATGTTAACTGTTGTATTCATTCCAGGATTTTTCCCGAGAAATCTATGTGCAGCGAGAAAATCAGTTTCTCGTGATAATGCCATGGAAAAGACGGATAATTAACGTTTATATCATATTCCTTGCACGTTTTAGTGTTTTATCTTATATAAATATTTTTTTTGTTTATCGTAATTTATGTATCGTTTATAAGTGCGCGGCAATGTAATTCCTGAAATACCGATGAAATTTGAACGGTACGAAGTAAATCATTTGGCATGTAAATAATGTAGCATAATACCAATTTACCACTTGAAAGAAATTTTTAAGTCAAATCTTATTTGTAGGTTAAGTCAACAAAAGAAAAAAAAAACTCGAGAAAGTATAAGAGTGAACGGTTGTATCACTGATTTGTGCGACTGTCGGAATTAACAAATGTGCGGAGCGTTAATCGTTTACAATCTTTCTATCAATTGCGATTAAACTAATTATGTACAACTTTAAAATACTTTAGAATGTAATGTTGTGATAAGACACAAAGCCATGTATAAAGATTATCGAAGTATATTTAGCGATTAAGGAGGTGAAGCAAAATACACATATACACACGGAATCAATGTTTTTTTTCTCGGAGAGGTGGGAAAATACGGATCCACATTCGCGTATAGAAATTGAAGAAAATATAAAAATTAGATTATGGATATCCTGCGAAAGAAAAATTCAGGCATATTTTAGGTGTAACGATTTAAATAGTTTGTAAAATTTTTTTCCCATTGAGATGAATATATTAAATTAACGACGCAAGTGGCTACGATTGTTATATCGAAAATAAAAATTTAAATACTAATAAATGATCAAAAATTTGCATTTTCTCTCGTTTCACATTTACTTAATAAACCTTTTCATCTCTTTACACAAATGAATATCATGATTGATTTTCGAGTCTTACTTTCTTTAAAAAATGCTTTATCATACAGAATGAATGCCTTCGATGAATGCTTCAACTGATGGAATTGGTGCATCTGGTAATATTCCATGACCTAGATTAGCTATGTAACGTTCTTTACTGAACTGACGGACCATATTTTCAGCTCTCTGACGTACTTTTTCCTGTAATTAAATTATTTTTACGATTTGATTAGTAAAATAAATACATCTTTTTTAAATATTCAAAGTGTTCAACTTTATTCTGAGATTATCCGACATTCAATTAAATTTTTACCGTGGTTGCGTATAAAGCACATGGATCCATATTTCCTTGAAGTGTGACGTTTGGTCCAACTCTTTGGCGAGCTTCTGCAGGATCGACAGTCCAGTCTAGGCCTATCACGTCGTAACCAGCTTCTTTGGCAAATATTTCAATAGAATCAAGAGCTGCTCCTTTAGGAAATGCAATCTATAAAATATATTTTAATCAGTGGTATTAATCAATCGATCGTTATATTTATATTAATTATTATTTTAATAGATTACCATTGGTACTTTTGGAATGTTGAGATTGACTAATTTTTCAATAACGCTCTGGTTAATTTGTTTGAAGTATTTTAAAGAATATTCTTTAAATAATTCAGTATTTAAAAAATCACCATGGCTCTCAAAAACTTGTAACAACTAAAAATATAGAACAAAATTTATGAGTTTTCCTTTACTCTATGCAAATTTTGGAATTTTTAAGTAGTACCTGAGCACCAGCTTTAACTTGCATAACTAAATAATCAACAATAACATCTGTAATCTTTTGTAATAATTGGTGTGACTCTTTTGGATACTTATACAACCAAGTTCTTGCAGCTGCCATTGTAGAACTTCCACCACCTTGGATCATGTATCCCATCAAAGTCCACTATAAAATTAAAAATCAATCAATATTATCTAAACACTCATAATAAAAATTACATGAACAGATATCTCACAGGAGCTCCTGTGAAACCAATGAGAGGAACTTTGCCTTCCAACTTATGCCTTGTCAATGTAATAGCTTCACCAACATATCTCAGTTCCTTGTCTACATCAGGGATCTTTAATCTAGAAATGTGCGATGGATCAGTTAAAGGCTCTGGCAAAACTGGCCCCTTAAAAAAATGAATATCATACCAAAATCATAAAATTTTTAACCATTTTACCCAGTGAGCATATGTAATGTATAATATTTAATTTACAATGCCAGGCTTCATCTCTACAGTAAGTCCCATTGCTTGTGGAATGACAAGAATATCAGAGAAAATGATACTGGCATCCAGAGGAAATCTCCTGATGGGTTGCAGTGTGATTTCACAAGCAAGTTCAGGAGTTTGGCATATTGTAAAAAAGTCATGCTTTATCCTCATTTCTCTAAATTCTGGAAGATACCGTCCTGCTTGTCTCATTATCCATACTGGCACCTTATCAACAGGTTCTCCTTTAGCTGCTTTTAGTATCCTGTCATTTTGGAGTAGTGGGAAATTGTGCTCTGTCATGCTGTATACCGCAATAGTACAAAATCAAATTATGTTTTACAGTAAGTAAACAGAAACGATATCGAAAGCAATGATATTGACTGCAGAATGAATGTGGCACAAAATATTTAAATTCCAATGCACAATTTACATATTAACAAGTGAGCTCCGAACTCACTCAGTAAAGGCTTTAGATTATGTAATTACAAAATTAGAGACAATTGCGTGTTTGTTTATAGCTACGATCACTGATATACACTCTACAATCACCAGAACAATAAAATAATGAATAATTAATGCTACTATCAACAATATAATTGTATAACCTTACTTTAGAGGCAGAGACGCGAGGATCAAATCTATAGACCAAATCAGGCAGTAGCAGAATACATGTGAGTAAGCACGAAACTGATGTGGATATGGCGATATTGGCTTTAATCGACATCACAACTGATATGAACCAGACATCTATTGCCACAAAAGAAAAACTTAACGAAAAATAGACGAAAATCGACCTGGAAAAATTATAGAAAAATTGCGCGTGATTGACAAGGATAGCACAACTGATTGATAATTGCTCGCAATTAAGATTTCATTAATAAAAAAATTCAAAAAATTGATCAGTAAAAATTAAATTTATGTAGCATTTTAATACGGTTTTTGTAGCAATGAATGTGTTGAATCGTTAGCCAAAATTATGCGTAATTTTACTATCGAATTAAAACATTATTATAACCATATCCGTTAAAGAATAAATATTATTTTTCATTACAGCAATACATGTATCTGAAAGATCGGTTGGTAACATAGAAAATACTCTCTCAAGAAAAGAATCTCAAGTAGCTAGGAATTGCGCTCTTATTATAACAAGAGCAGTTTTAATAAAAATGGGTTATCTTCTAAAATAACCGCTAATGTTAACTGTTTGACAGACGTGGATTGTTTTAACCTAGATAAGTTTTGAAGTACTTAAAATTATTGATTATTCAAAAAATAACCCATAGTTCTTATCAGGACAGCTCTTACATATTGACATTCTCGGAAATAAGGTATTGTTTATATGTCAAAGTAGTTACTGGATATTTAAAAAATGTTCATGCTTATGACGGTACAATTCTTTTCAAATCGCAAAACATACATATGTCTTGAGCGCAATTTTTCTCTAATTCTTCTAGGTCGATTTTCGTCAATGTTCCGCTGAATTTCTTCATCTCCATCAATCATATATAGCTAATAAATAAATCTATCTATCTCATAAACATTATTAATATAAATACATAAATAAAAATAGCCATGTCTAAATGTTCATTATCCTGGTACACTTAGGAAACTCCTTGCCCTTCCAATATACAGACACACACATACACGCATGCATGTGATTTACTTTCCAAGTAAAGTAAAACTTACGTGCGAATAGGTTGCTGCAAATACCTAAAACCTAGAGACTGTTTCTAAATGATTTTTGTTGCTGCAAACAATTAAAAATTTGGATTAGGTCTATTTTTAATATGACTACATAGTGGAAATTAAAAAATTTTTTTTTATAGTGGATTATGTTATCGAGATTGAAATTTTCTTTCGTATAATAAAAATATATCAAATGAAAATTTTGCATTGTTTGTAGTTACAAAATATCTCGAAACCGCTTCTAGGTTTTAGGTATTAGCGGCAATCTATTCGCATGTAAGTTTTCTTTTCTTGAAAAGTGCATGGAGGGGCATTTCTCATACTACCATTATAATTTCTGTATACAGTAAAGCTTCGCGCCATCTAACGCTACGTCGTTTTACAAGAAGGAGAAATTATCGATAAAGTTGAATGAAAAGTTTTTGGTTGGTATTGCAGAGTAAATAAAAGATTTTTTTAGCTTGTATTTAACAGAAAAATGCAATTGAACATGGCATTTTGTTGCATTGCATTGGTTTTGTATTAAAATAAAGGATAGCAACTCGTCGTCAAAAGACAAAATAGAAAAGTACGTAGAATAGCAACCATTGATATGTGATTTTTTAGCAAAACGCGTTAAATTCAGCAGTTTGTGAAATAGTCATACAAACAAATTTGTTATAGCCGCTGTCTTCAATTGCCAAGATAATTTTCCAAAGAATTTGAAAATCGTCCGATTAATCCCGCATGCTTTACTTGGAGAAAAAGAGCTTCCGTCATCTATCCGAGTAGTAAAGTAGCGGTTCACGCTTCACTTTCTTTCTGTCTGTCAGCAGTGCTCGCGAGTGAGTGGCAGTGACCTTTCGAATTTGACACAGAAATCGACTTTGGTTCGCATCTGTCTAAGCCGCAAGAAAAACTGATATCGGTCGTCGAGGCTTTTAGAATTGGAAATCAAGTTAGCCCACGTTTCGAAAAATCGAAAAAAAAAGTTTTCGATTGTAGATCAACGGATGCGCGCTAGCGCAGTACATATAACTAGAACCAACCATCCGTCGACGAAAGAGAAGGGGGAGTTGGGAAGGAACGAAACGGCGCATGCGGGGGCTAGAGTAAGCGCTCATGCCGCGCGCGACCGAGGTTTTTTTTTCACTTTGTGGTCCGTCGTTTAGTCGCAACAGTTACATAGGGTCGGCAACCTCGCTCATTCAAGTTTGCGGCCGTTTATATGTGCGTTGGTGTTTTCCCAGAAGGGTTGTCATAATCAGCTGATCTGCCCAAAGTGAGTACGCAGTTTTTTGTCTGCATACACAATAGAGGTTACACTGCATACACAATAGAGGCTGTCTCTCTCTCTCTCTCTCTCTCTCTCTCTCTCTCTCTCTCTCTCTCTCTCTCTCTCTCTCTCTCTCTCTCTCTCTCTCTCTCTCTCTCTCTCTCTCTCTCTCTCTTCTCTTTCTCGCTTTTTCTCTCTTTCTCGCGGGGGAAGGAGGCTAAGTATAAAAGTGCATTATTTTCTACGTTCCGAGTGAAAAGCTGAATCGACACAAAGAGCTACATTATGATGAATCAAAAATCTAGATTTATCGAGTATAGTTGGCATTGAGACAATTAGATAATAAATTTTTTTTCTATATCCGCCGTTTGTTGAGGCTAGTCGCTGCGCTCTTCCGTGAGTCACGAGTTTTACAAACAAGAATATGTTGTAATAGTGCTCTTAAAGTAAACACAACTGCGTGCATTGAAACATCAAGACGATATTTTTGGTTGATCATCGGCAACGATCCATTGTTTACAAATACGATCTGCAAATAAACAAGGTGGACATACTTTGCACCGTTTTGGACGTCCGCTCTCTCTCTCTCTCTCTCGCAGATAAATACATCTTTTTTATATTTCGCATTCGTATAATATCTGCATTGTGCATCGAAATGCACTCGAGCATAACTGTAAAGTAAGTAGGTTTTGTACTTCGTGCACTGTGAATAATCCGATATTTGTGACTGCAACAATGACATCGCGAACAGAAGGTTAGTTTTTTTTCCTCTCGCACATATCCTCTCACAATACACACAAATAGCACAACAATTAAATCGCGCGTGTGCATGCGCATGATTATAAGCAACCGGTTAGAACTCGCGTACGATGTTGTTACGTAAAAAAAAGGAACGTACATATAAAAGCCGTGCGAAAATTTGAAACTTTGCAGCGAAAGTTGCGAACAACCGTTGCCGGACTTGTGTGCATGAGGAGAAAGAGACTTGGGAGAAAGTTTACGGCGCACATCGTAAAAAGAAGAAAGAAAGAATTGAGAAAGCGTCCACGTATTTGCTGTTGTTTTTTTGCAAAATTTGTTTTTTTTTCTTATGATTTTAGTGGTTAATTATCGGTCATCGAGAGGAAAGCTTTGACAGCGGTAAATTAATAGATTTTTTGCTCAAATCAATAGATTTAAAATCAGTTCACGGCGTATTATTTTCTGGTTCGGATAATTTATCTTTTGTTGGTGTCGTCAAAATTGTTCGCGAATTGCACAGTCGGATTGATAATTGCCGTTGCAAAAAGTTTATTTTTGTAGACCGATAGGTAATTGGCTAGGCTATATTGAGGTAGTGAAGCGGACTTTACTGGTATTATGAATAGCTTTGTAACCGCATTTGATTATTCGATTACCGTTGATTTAACAGTCAATCAACAATGTTGGTATCTAGGATTTTGCAGCGAAATTACCAAGTGAACAAAATAAATTTCAATCTTTAGTAAGCGTCGAATCGATTTTACGATAGTCGAAAATCTAACGAGATGTACAGTCGTAGAATGGTCTAATGCATTTTTCCGACGCTCGTGCGCGAAAGCTTCTCTCCGCAACGTGCGGCTATCTAACAGCAACCTTGAATGTCGTAGCTTCCGGGTGCGACACACGAGCAGTCCTGCCATTTCATCCTGGCAATAAATCGAAAGATTTATTAAAAGTAACGCCGCGGTGTTGTTCAGCTCTTTCACCCACGGCTGGTTTACATGCGTCTCATTTTGCCGCGCGCAACTGCCGTAAACCAGTTCTCTCAATGAATCAGTCCGCGCACCGCGAGAAAAATCCCTTCGCGATATCTCGCGATAAGACGCTCGCTTGCTGTATCGACAGTTCCGATACTGCGAGCGAGACGAAGTGATGAGAAACTGCGGCGAAATGGAAAAAAAGAGGAGTCGTTACAAAACGCGGATGATGATACAGGCGAGATGGAAAAGTCGAGAAGACGAGATTGTAAAAGAGTTTTTGCCGTCCGTGAGATCGCGCAGCTTTTTATCTCCGCGTGCGTGACGAAAAGTAAAAGTGAATCTTTGTCGTGTCGTATTCAATATCACTGACGTCAGAGAGTAACGCCGAAGACAGAGTGAGAGAGAGATAGAGAGAGAGAGAGAGAGAGATAGATTGAATATTTTTCCTCGAACATGCGCAGCGAGATCCTGGTGGCCATTCAATTAGCAGCGTGCAAAAGACTCTTGCTGTCTGCGCGTTTACACACAGAAAAGCCGATCTTTCGCCACTCTCAAAGGCAGAGGAAAGGAAGAAAAAATTATCGCGCGCTTCGCGTTCGCCTTGTAGTTCTCCGGCAAATAAACTGATGCTTGGCTAACTGTCAATCAACGCGGTGTGTATTACTTACGAAATTAAAAAAAAGCAAAAAAAAAAACAAAAAAAATTACCGGCGACACCTTGACACTTTTTCTTTATCGAGCGAGAGCTTTTTATACTATAACGCGTGCAACCAAATGAAATGCGTGAATTGATTCGGCGTTTCTAGAACGGGACGTTGAGATTTTTCGGTGAAACGACCGTTGTACGTCATTATCGCGTCGGAGGAGAAATCTGCGCTTATCTGCGGGACTAGCGATGGGGCGACGAAGGCGATCGACTCTGCACGCAACTGTAACGATTGCCTTTGCAACGCTCTCGCGACCAACGATGTTACTGCCATTGCCGACAATAGAAAGTTGAATTAGGACAAATGCATACTTGTCAAAGCAGGCCAAGGCGGCGCCGTGCGATACGCCGAGAAAATCAAACTTTTGCGCGCGCACGTGTGCGGAATTTGAATTTCCGGTCACGTTGGGGCGTTCCAGTGCGCGTTGATGATCATTCGATATGACGAGCGCATCACACTCGAAGGACTTTCTTTTTTTGTCTTTTTTCTCACGGATGGATGAAGCGCCGTGAATACGAAAACTTAAGAGTGTTCTGGCTGATTTTGCCTTTATTAGGTATTTTCTTGTTTGTTTTGAAGTACAGCGATTCGATTATATATTGTGAACGCGAGAGATCGTAAGAAAGTTGCATGATCAGTGCAAAGCGTATGTCGAGGATTGTGACATGCGCGTCTTTCTAAAAAGACGTACACAAGGTAACATCCGAACGGGTATATGAACGTTGAAAATGAAAATGGAGTTCTTCCAAATAAACGCGAAGCAACGCGTCCTGTTTTCTGACAATGAGTCGTCAATTTTTAGAACGAAGCCCACATTTTGCTCTTCTCCGAAATCTCGCGATCGTTTTGAAAAAGATGAAGCGTCCCGGCATCGAGTGTCGGTGAAGAGCGAACAGGACGTCTTAACGATCGCCCGCGACCGAAGGCTGCCCCGGGATCTTGGTTGTTTTCCTCGTGCATCGAGCCGCATCGGCAATCGGGCATATCGAACGTGTACAAAAGATGCATTGCGCAATCGAAGAGAAGTGAGGCGCGCGCGACCTTGGGAGATAAAATTCAGAGCGCGTCGCCGAATCAATCCGCGCGGAAGTCATACATCTCGTACGCGCGGACGATGGAATCGCCTCGGATGAAGGTTACATTTATTTTCCCGTGCTCGACGCGTGAACTAACGAGGTACCTCTCCGTTCGGAATCCAAACCCGCACAGACGATGCTCGACTCGGCGCGCACGAGCGACGCGTGTACGCGCACTGCACGACGCGCGCGCACACGCTATCTGCCGTTCAATGTCGACGTATCGATAATAAGTCGCCTCAAGAGCGGAAGCGCGCGGAGGATCGATAATCGATTCGCCCGAGAACAAAAGAGAACTTGTCCCCGACGAGGGCCGGGCCGAAGCGAAAAACTTGCGTCGTAGAGGAAATTCCGCGCCGACGCGATTTTCAAAACAACAAGCCTATCGCTGAGGAAGCATTGCCGTCGCTGCGAACGGCAATCTTTCGTTCGCGCGCAATCAGCACTGAAAAGTCAGCGACGCTGACGCTGCGATGCAGGTCGCCGCGATAGGTGCACCCCCGTCCCACCTTTAATTTAAGTGGATTCCGCAAGAGGCGTGCACATTTAAATATTCAACCGTCCGCGATAACTCGAAAACTCGACTCAATCCGCAAGGTCTTCTTATCCGCAGGAAACTCGTGGCTTGTCTCTCGACGCCGCCCAACCCAAACAATATCGTAAGGATTCGCGCTTGGGCCGTCTTAGCTCAGCGTCCGTCGTGTTAATCCGGGTCGACGCTTTATCGTCCGCTTCGTCTTGCGAACAAAGGAAAAGAGAAGAGAGGCGAAACGAACGGATGATATACGCTATGTCTCTTCGATATTCGCTAGAGGCCAGTTCGCCGAATTATAGTTTTTTACCATACGTCGCGCACCTCGCAAACTCCGACGTCGTCTTACGACACAGCGTGAAAGCCTCTTCTATACCGGTCGATAAGCTCGCAACGTCCGAAAGTACCGCCACGGTCGTTCGCGCCATTCGTCTACGCTCGAAAAAGAAAACTCACGCCACGTGTACCGCTCCCCCGGTGTCTTCTTCTTCTGCCTCATTGTTTTGTATTTTTTTTTTTTGCAAAAACGCACGGCCGCTCGGATGAATAATGTCGTGAGCATGTCCAGTGTCCTCGTCGGTGCAGGATCGTCGACCTCTTCTCTTTCGTACGTTACTTCAGTCACGTAGACCCTTAAACTCGTCTTGCGCCTCGCTACACTTCTCTCCGCGTTTCGCAAAGGGATCCACCTTGCTTCGGTCGCTCGTGCGCGCGCCATCGGGGTTTCTCTAGACAAAACGAAAAAACGCCGGCCTTTAATCAACGTGGCGTCGGCACACTCGCCTTTTCCCTTTTCACCGGCGCGCACCGCCAAAGGCCCCCGAGTTCGGCTAAAGCCTGAGGGCAAACGCTCCGATGGCTCGAGCGAAAAGCGCGCGACATTGTTCGATAAATATTGCGAATCTTCACAGGCGTAAACGAACGGAAAACCAGGTCATAATGTAACGCGAAAGGCGAGGGAGGGGGAAGGGGAGAAGAAATAGCCAGCAATTTCTTCGCGTTTAAAAGTCAACTCTAATCATGGAAAGCAGTACGCTCTAACGCTACATCATCAATAGTGTCAAGATCGATACTCGTAACATGTCCAGACGCGTGAGTAGCTCGTGGCTTGTAAAAGTCAGAGGAGAGAGAGAAAAATCTACCGTGGTGGCTGCTATCATCGACGATAAAAACTCACCGAGCGCAAAGACGTGGGTCGGAGGATATAATGCACGTGCACTGTTGCCTTCTTCTGCCACGACGCTCGCGCGTAGCAACCAATTTTTTCCATTTCAAATAGTAAAAAGCTGCGCGTGCGCGCGCCGATTGTTTATTATTTTACGTAACGGGCAATTAGCCTGTCGATTTTTGCATCGACCGGAAGTCGGAATACACTGCTGTCTTTTAGTTGATAATGTGTTGTTTACGTTGATTTCCAGTTCTCATGTCCGTATTTTACTTTTTTTTATTTATTTTTTTCCCCTTCGTCTCTCTGAAAGATAGGTCAGCATATTTCACACGCCACGCTGCCGTGTAATATTCCCCCGTTTTTCGAGACCGCCTTCGAGTACTGCGACGGCGGTGAAACAACGCGGTGATTCACTGAGAGGCCACGTTCCAAGTCCACCCGCGCAAAAAACGTGACTCTATTCGCAAAGGAATACGACCGAGAAAAAGGAGGAGTTCGTTGACCACGTCGAAAAAAACATTGCGAATGTTTTTTTTTGTTTGTTTGTTTTTCTTTTCTTGCTGCGAGGCATTGTCAAGGTCTGCGAGCACTCGGAGCGAAGATAGCGCCCGCAGTGTTTGATTGATAAAGGCGAGTTCTAGCGCGTGAAAGAGGAGCCTCTCGCAGACGCGCACATTGCATCAGCATTATCTCGGCTCGAAACATTTTACGGAGGCTAAGCACGCCCGACTTGCTCTCATGAATATGCGGCGCGCGGGGAGATATTGTTTATTGCTTCGTATTTTTCGTCTTCTTTTCTTTCCTTTTTTTTATTTTATGAATCACTGCCGACACGTGCCGTACATTACGGCGTCGGTCATCCTTTGGGCCTCGTTTGACCTGCTTTATTTCGTCTCCCACAGCGACTTCGCTGCGATTTGCTCTCCGAAACGACGTCGATATCGCGTCAGCATTAGATAATGGAATGCGCCGCACGCGTCAAGGGAAAATAATACAAAAGCTCGAAGTCTGAAGTCTCATGATGATAGATCATTAGCCAGACTTATGCAACTACTGACCGCTAGTTCGCAATGGCGACGCCTAAGAATGTACATAACGACGACGCGATAATCGGGAGGGTTAGTAGAGGGTTAGACATTTGTCGCGGCGTGCTCCGCTTTATTAAAATCAACTTATATCCATTGCGACGCGAGCATTGCCGCGGGTTGTCCACAGCTGCGGCGATCGCTCCGTTCGGCTTTTATTCGACCCCCAAACGCCGCTAATCTTAGCGCGACTTTTGACAAAATTTGTTTCCGAGACGGTTAGTGAAAATCATGCCGTACGTTGCGAAAGTTGACATCCGTACGCGAGCCTTAAAACAAACACTCGCGAGGAGAGAGAGAGAGAGAGAGAGAGAGAGAGAGAGAGAGAGAGAGAGAGAGAGAGAGAGAGAGAGAGAGAGAGAAGAAAAAGGAGCGCAGCGCAGTGGCACGCGATGGGGCTGGATCGGAGCGCATTCTTCTGCCTCGCGCGCTCGAAGCGAAAGAAAAACGTGGAAGTGGGGAACGGTGGCACGTTATCGCCAGCGTATACTATCTGCACGCCTCAACTTTCAAGAGCGCAGTGTCACCGTGGACGCGAACTCCTTCGCTTCTCCATCTCTCGCGCGCACATCCCCGAGCACGGGAGCACGGATCGTCTGTTGCACTCTGTCATTCCCATTGTTTGGTTTTTTCATTTTACCTTTCTGCCTGCGGCTCGGGAACCCAGGAGTGAGTCGATTTTGCGCTTTACAGGGTTATTGTGGAGAATCTGGAGTATTAGTGCCGCGATTTTGATTTAAGTTCTTGTTTTCCGATAATGCGAGGACGGTCTTTTTTTTCTCTTTTGTTTTTATTGAAAGCACGATTTCGACGATGTGACGGTCGGTTTCCGTGTGATATCGCACTTCCTGCCATTCAACGAGAAAGAAAGAAACAAACAAAAAAAACACGTCAAACGGTTGCACGGTGTCTGACGATAGGTCAAGTATCGGGGAAGAGTGAAACAGAAAACGGTCGTGATTTTCACGAGCGCACGCGAGCGATAATCTTGCAAATTTTCTTTACTGTTCTCGCGCTTATTCAAGAGGAAAGTGCGGGCGCGCGAAACAAAGCGCGACAACTAGTGTTTTCAAATCGCGAGCGCTCCTCGGATCGATCGAAAATCGCGAAAGAAAGAGAGAGACTATTCGGAATCATGCCGCTTTGCCGTCAAACGACAGAGAAGCGCGAAGCTTAAAGTGAAATAGATAAAGTTTTCGTGGGGCCTTTACTATTGGCCGACGACGAGGAAGACCGTCGTTCTCGCATGGTTTTCGTTATTCAGGGAGCCGTCTCTCGTTGCGCAATTGATATACAAACCACGTGCAAAGCCGTGACAAACATCGGCGTAATTCAGCGGAAAATTGGCGGGTAATTTACGTGATTGTACGACAAATCGTTCGTTTTCGCGATGAATCGCGCTAATCTATTGTTTTCTTCTCCGCGAGCATAACAAGGAGGACGCAATTTTTTTTCACGGCTATTAAGCTCCCGCCCCTTTACAATTTACCGGGCAGCACAGTGCGCGCGCTCGCCGTGCGTCACCTCAGAGAATTAGATCGCCGCTCGCCCGGTATAACAATCCGCAAATCTGGGCGATATATCGTGCGTGCACTTTCACGCCAAGGCTAGGCGCGCGCAGATACAAGTTCCGAGTGAGGGACGATAAGAAGCACACGATCGCGATAAGATGCGACGATCGGTGTCGCGGCTCGCACGCGCATCCTTGACTTCTGGCCCGATTTTCTGGAAAAAAACAATTGCATTTTTTTCGCGCGTCCCGCGAGCGAGGGGAACGACGATGCGTCGACGCGCTTGTGACCTTTGATGCACATTACGTAAAACGCGATTCGATCGCTGACTCTTTTTTTTCTCCACGAGAGAGAGAGAGAGAGAGAGAGAGAGAGAGAGAGAGAGAGAGAGAGAGAGAATTCAAGCAAAAATCGTTGTTTCCTTTGCATAATCGAGTGAAAGTTTCTCGCGTACACCGATCTCCACGTGAACTTGGCTTTGACTTGGTTTTCGAATCGCGATCGTGAGTTGTTGACCCCTCTCATCGCATGGATCTTGTTTTCATTTCAGAGACGCGCTATGATCCTTCGCCCCGCCGCCACTTGATCGAGCGCAGCGGAGCATATAACTCGTTGGATCACCGTAGCGTTGGAAGCGCAAGAGGAGCGGCCAGAGGAAGAGAGCGCGCGCGCGAGAGATCGTCCTTGGCTCTTAGGAGAGGAACGATCGGCCAACGAAACGGGAGATGGCAAGCAACGCCTCGCCGTCGCGTTCGTCGCTGAGCTGCTGCCAAGTGGACAACGCGAGCCACAACGACGTGCACGAGGCGTGCAACCAGAGCGTCGTGCAGGTGAACAACAACTACTTCATGCAGGAGAAGCACCAGTTTCCCAAGAGGCCCGAGGTTGACCTGCAGTTCAACGACGTGCGGTATCGCGTCACCTCGTGGTCGATGAAGAGACTCCAGCCAGGTTGGTACGCGGGCAACGCTCTCAACGTGCCTCGACCCGTCGGCGTTGACGCGCGTGTCCGATTGGCGCCTTTCGATTCCGCTTTGAGAGAAGCGAGATAACGTTACGCGGCTTCTCGTCCCATTGACCTGATCGTCGAGAAGTCAGGTGGCAGCGCGATTTTTTTTGGCAGGTCATTTTTTTTTTGCCCGGGAGAAAAAGAGAGAAAGAGCAACTTGTTCCAATTTCTCTTCCTCCTCCGGTCGAGCTAGTTTTTCAACTCGTCGGCGCGCGCGGACTCGTGCCATTGTTATTTTTCCTTTTCGAACAACAAATGCGACTGATCGGGCTTGCCTAATGTATTTGGAAAAAATACGTTGGCTGCGGTTTTATAAACGTTACTTTGGAAATTTCGATTTCTCGATGATGGCAAAAAATTAATCTCAAAAGTAGCGTGGGTGGCTACAATTAAATATCGGACGAAGCTTTAATCCCAATTCAGGTGTCACAGAAGAAACTTTTGGTCGGATTATTTTCTTTTTTTCAATAGACTTTACTCTGAGCTTACTCAAAACTTTCTATAATTTATACACGCCATACGCGTGAAAAAAATGTGCAGACTAATGCAGAAAACGCGCACACACGCTCAATAAGACATTCGATTGAATAAAACAAAAAAACCAACAAAAAAAAAACAAAAAAAAACGAAAAACGCAGAAAAGAAAATAGAAAGTTAATCTTACGAAAGTTTATCGTTATCGCAGCATATACTTTCAGGATCTCCGTGAGAGAAATTTTTTTTCGTTACGCAAAAAAATTATAAAATTTCGAAAGACACGCAAAAGTCACAGTCAAAAGAAGAGGGAGCGAGAGAAAGAATATGCTATCGCTGGAAAATGCTGAAGAAATCAGAGCGATAAAATTTCTCTCGGACGCGTCGTCACATTTCTCACGTGCAGTCATCTTTCATTATCGAATTTATGCGCTAATAGCAAAACAGAAAATGTTAGACGTACAAGGAAAATCCAACTGATATTACGTGAACGACTGCTGCGCTCAGCAAATTCACCTCCGTTTCGAAAGAAAAAAATAGCGCAGTATATCGACATCTATCGCTGAGCAGCCGGACGAAGCTCACGTCTGTCAGGCGAACGTGCGTCGTAAGAAAGTGCGCCCGTGCACACGCGCACATATGAGCACGATGAAGTCATCGTTGCGAAAATAATGAAACTTGCATTAGAGAATTAGGTCTGACGTGAGGCGAGACGCGTTAATTTAGCGAAAGTTGGCGGGCGCGATAAACGCGAGCCTTGAGTCGAACGATAACCGAAGCCGATCGTATTAACCGATTTTCAGTTGGCGGCCAGGCATTTTATCGAGACACCTCATTGAGCGTTTACATACAACGCGCCGCGCTCGTCCGTGCGTCGGGCCACGCGACCGAAACTTGCGCGCTCGCTTGCCCGGCCGTTTCGCGGGCGCGCTTGTCGCGAGCGCGACCGAAGAGAGCGTCGTCCACGGCTGACGGACACGCGCGATTTATTCGTGCAGGAAGCCCATTGTCACGTCGCCGTCGAAAAGCGTGGGAACGCGCCCCACGATTTATTCAAGCGAGCGCGCGCTTCGCCTTCTCGAGTCGGCCGGAAGAGACGAACACGTCATACTCAAAGGGCTAGCGCCATGGGAGAACGACACCCGCAATCTCGGCGGCGTGTGTCGCGCGCGGAAACATTCCAGATTGGCAATCGTCGAGCGCGATTGATTAATCGATCGACCGGAAAAGAACTGAGGCACGCGGTTATTTTATTGATATCGGGCGCGAGCGCGGTGTCGAAGATTTATGGTACCGAGCCGCGCGCGCGTCATCGGCGACATGTGCGAGTGCGTATCTATAAATTCGTAACGAAGCCCGAGTGATTCACCGGTAGCTTTGTCTTTCTCGGTCGCTTCGAACACCATTTGCCCGACGCTACGAACATAGCTTCTGCTCATCTTTTCCTTTTTATCTATGCCATTGCGAAATGTGAGTTTGTAGGTCACTTTTATTATCAACGACTCCTCGTTTAATAGCTGTAATTCGCTCCGCGTGCGTCGTACCAGACGGACACGTTTACGTTTCACGCGAAACACATCCCGCGACGAGAGAAATCATGGCTCTTTCAACGGCCACATTCCAAGCGATCGCGAGCTATCGAGCAAATCAATATTAGAACCACGTTAATCACAAGATTTAATTTAAAATAACCATCGTCGCTATTGCCGATCAAGCCGTGCATCTCGTATGCAGAAGCTCTTTGTAGTCGTCGAGTGCATTAATTACAACCACAGCGCGGAGATGCAGTGCGTCAGTAAGCCGTCTACTCTGCTGCAAAAGCCGTATCGGCGCTGCGTAAACGCACACGCGTGCGCCTAATTCGCAATAATGGACGTCGCTTAGTTCAGCCGTGTTCTTTTACTTCCTTATGCGCGCTACTTTTTCTTTCTTCTTACGGTAGCTCATCTTCGTTAGTCGCTCCTGCTTCCGCGATATCGCCCGACGAAACTTTTCAACTTTTCGTGGAATAATTTTACCGTGCAGAGGCGCTTTGACTCGGCCGAGACGCGAGAAAGAAAAAACAAGAAAATGAAAAAACAAAAAAAAAAGAAAAAGAAAAAGAAAAATAGAGTGAACCTCTTTGTCACGGTCAATGCTTTGCGTAATCGCGCATTATACTTTCTGGAGAATAAAAAGTGACGCGCGCGTGAAGACGTTATCACATCCGCGGCGAGATGACGGCGAAGGAGAAATCATCGGCGCTTTATCGTGGCGAGCGTCCAGAAGATTCCTTTTCTTTCTCTCGGGCACGATCGCTTGGTTACGACTCGTCGGCGTCTGACGACCATTTCTCATTTGCCGGACGACGTTTCCATGAAAGGTATGAATTCACGCTCTCGCGAGTATGTATCGTTTCTGCGAGGCGACCTATCAAGTGCTATTGACCCAAGTAATGATTGCCACGTTCGAATTAATGGACTGTTATTACGGAGATTGAAAAATATTCTTGATAACATTCGGTCGACGGGTTAGTGTCCCTATTTTCAACGATCTTTATTTCTCTCCTCTTCTTTTTTTTCTTCAGCGCCGGCTATTCTGCGATTCACTCATTGCTCAATTACGACTCGTTAACTTTTGCATTATCTTTGGAAACGACGAGTGATTCACGTTCAACAGTTACTCACGTACGCGTAGACTTATTTTACATCTGTGTTGAAAATTTTGCTCGTCACACAAAGGCTATTATCAGGAGAGAGAGAGAGAGAGAGAGAGCGAGAGAGAGATGGTGAGAGGGAGAGAAGGAGGGAGGGGAGCAAGATCCATATTGCCTACGATCGCGTATGGTCGCAGTGCGTCAAACATCCTTTCATTAGAAAGAACTGATTGCGCTTATGACGCATGGCTTCATTTTCCACAAAGCGCATCAACGCGATGACAAAACTGTCGTTGTTTTTTTGTGCGCGGCAGCGGCTTAAGAAAAAGTAATTGCGAGATCTCTCGCTAAGAACTTGACACTCTGTTCTACTTTAGTTAACGGTTTTCTAGAGTAGCCTTATCGCATGCAATGAATTACGGATCATTGCGAAATCAAATTTATACTCGCTCGTCATCCACAAAGCTCGTGAATTACTCAATCTCTCGGCCGATAGATAATGCGGCAAATAAGTGTCGTCGTCATAATTGTCGCGCGGTGACGCTTGACGAATACCGAGGAGCATTACATCCGCGAAAAAAGGGGAGTCTGATCGCTTTCACGATTCGCTTGGTTATTTCCAGACCATCTGTTGATGCCGGAAGTGGTATGGAAAAAATGTCGACATTGCAATTCATGGAACGAGAGGAATTTGACTTTTTGTAAGAATGGTATTTTAACATCGACGAAACATTTCTACTGCTTTGGTTTTGACAGTGCGAAAAATTGCCGATTCAATGTTTGCCCACTTCAGTTTAGCGTAAAAATAAACCGTTTTATCTCGACACTCATTGGAAATGGAAAGTCTCGAGAACGAAAAAAAAAATCAAGTTATCGTCGATCAATCCGCACTTTGATGCATCTGACGCGTTCGCGATGAAAGTGAAAAGCCTCGAGAAAATAACTTTTCGCCGATCACCGATACGGTCAAATCAGCAAGAAAACCGGAGGGCGGACGAGAGCAGAGGATAAATCGAGAATTCCATTATTCAACGTCTCTTTATGTAACGATAATACCCGTCAATCATGAGCGACAGTTGACGAATGCTCTATCGATGATATATTGCGTGTTGAGCTACGCGACCTTGAACTTTCCTCCTTATCGTCGCGCGAGCGCACCAAGCCGCGTCGACTCTTCATTTTTTCCCTGCTCCGATCGGAATTCGCTCGGGCTGTCTCGTCTCTTTGACGTTCAAACGACAAATCGATTGCAATTCACATTCTCCTTTTTTTTTCCACTCGGCAGATCGTTACGCATCAGGGACCGAGGTTAATCGCCACGAACGCCATGCTAAGGTGGTTTTTTTGCCCATCGCCTTGATTGTACTCATCAATTGTCACTTCTTTGCGGACGAAGTGCTCCACGATGATTGTTCGGTGCACGACAGTTTTCGACCAACGACACGCTGCCGAGATAAGAGGGCGCGATCGTCGAACTGGTTGATTTCCGTGTTATTGATAGTCGAACTGATAATAACGCAGCGAGCGCCCTGGCAAGTAGAGCGATATCGGCCGAGAGCTCGCGCTCTGTACGCGCGCGACGTTCCTCGCCCTTCCGTGGTCAGTAGCGAGACGACAATACCCGTGGATAGAATCGGAGAAAAGTTTCAGTGTCACGGACGAAACCGCTGTGTGCTGTTGCAGTGACGAGCGAGATACTTCATGGTGTCAGCGGAGAGTTTCGCGCTGGCGAACTCACGGCGATCATGGGACCGTCCGGCGCTGGCAAATCAACTCTACTCAACGTCCTTGCTGGTTACACGTGAGTCGACTTGAGCAGCTTAATTTTTTCGTTTGCGTTTCCTTTTCGCGCGAATTCTTTTTCGGCCTCGATCCTTGACACAGAAAAATTATGTTGCGCTCGCGCCTTCTAGCGCCGCGATATATTGTAGCTCACCTTGGGCGGAAAATTTCATTTGCCCAATTGTCGTCTCGAGCGTCACCTCGCTCTCCGGTGATTACAGTTATCGCCTCATCCGATTCAGTTATCATCGATCTAACGCGCGATCGAGCGGCAAAGCGTGCACTAATACGCATTCGCCGAATATTCGTGGATACTTTGAACTGTCTAGTCGGGATATTACATGCGACGAGAGTGAACGCTTTGGCAGACATTTTTACATCGAAGCCGAACTTTTACGTGGATGAAACTAACAACAGGTGGAATATCTTGTGTGATAATGATTGGACCGAGAGAAAAGTGAATATATTAATGAATATATATATAAAATGAGAAATGAAAATTCACTTTGAGACATATTTCGCGGTGACATATTAAGACATATTAAGCTCGATCGAGAACTCAACCCACTGTGGACGAAAGTTTTTGAAAAGTTTACGAAGAGTTTCAATCTCGTCGATTCGCCCAAACCCAATCTCCGGTCAACTTATCCCAGCAGTTTCGAAAAACAGTCGATAATTGCGTCAGGCTTCGATGAAAAAGAAATCTGCCGAAGCGCAACCGCTCTGCGAAAACGAGACGCGCGCAAGGCCAGGAAAAGCACGCGGCGCGGAAATAATTGGCCGCGCGTGGCGGTGTGGGCCTCACGAGCTTGGGAAACGCGCGGCGCCGATTAGCCAATGTGCCCCCCTCCCCTCCTATACCCGGCTCGCGGGCACACAATGGCCCGCGCACGAAGGAAAAGCTCGCGTTCACGAGCCGACGGGCTCTACCCGTGTGGATCGAGTCGTCGGTGCGAATCCGATTCAGGCATTTCGCTTGAGAAATACCTCGTTTGTTCACTCGATGCGCGCGAGAACGTTGCGGTAAAATAATGAAACAACATTATACCGCGTCTCGCTGAAAGCGTGCAATTAAAAAATTCTCCGAGAAAAACGACACGCTTCTGTCGTCGGCAGCTTGTAATTTCGTACTGCCATCCACGGCCGGATCGAACTCCAATTGCTAAATGCGCCGCGACACTTAATATTATATCCAGGTTACGCGGGACGACCCGTATACATAATTACGCACGCGCGCGCGCGCGCGCGCGAGAGAGAGAGAGAGAGAGAGAGAGAGAGAGAAGTGCGCCGCATCTCCGCTTTCCAATTAATTCGCGGTGGACAGATTCGTGACGAGCGCACAGTTACAGCTCGTTACTTCGCGCTCTGGCAAGAACGGCAAACAGAGTCCTAGGCGCACTCGGGGTCCTCCCTGCGAGAGACGATTCTGACCCACCAACTCTTTCCACGACGGCAGGGTGAAGGGCATGGACGGCGAGATCTTGGTCAACGGCAAGGCGAGGGTGCCGCACAGCGAGACGTGGCGACGCACCTCATGCTACATACAGCAGTATTCGGTGCAACGCACCAGACTCACCGTAGGCGAGGCCATGACGCTCGCCGCCAATCTCAAGCTCGGCTACACCATCAGCTCGGCTTTCAAGCACACGCAGGTCAGTTCTTTCACACGAGTTGTTTTGAGAGAAAAAACAAACCATAAAACAATTGTCACGCGTCGAGGACACGTTTCCTCGACTGACCGGAACATGATGCTGACTTGGAATCAAGATTTCCTTTTATATGGCGTCTTCGTTTGAGAAAAAAGCTGCACCGACAAATGCACAGAAAATAATAATGCTTAAGGTGTGTTGACCGATCTCTTATCAGCGAACACCTAGATTACGTACTTAACCCGCGATCATCAGATAAATCTGTCGCACTCGTCATCTAATTTCCAGTCAGATCAGGTGTCCGGATACTACGAACAATTAAAATGTTGGAAGGTCGATTTGTTTAAACGACAAGACGATGCCGCAGTAAAAATTCTAATCGATCGTCCATTTAAGGATATACGTCGTTGCTCGGTCATCATTTGTCTTCCTTAATTACCAAAATTCCATTCGCGGAGCACGTATTGTGTGGACACGATCTTTGGAGCATGCATTTTATTGGACGCCGCGCACTGCCGAGACTCTACCTCTTCATTTCCATGAGATTCGCGCACGAATGGTCGCAGTTAGATTTCTACGGTCTCGCTGAGCGTATCACGATTCCCCATCCGCGATTGATGCATTTGCCAAGAATAAAAGGAGAGAAGAGCTCATTAAGCGACTCCGACTACGCGGGATTCTTCTCGTTCCGTTAGGGAAACTCGCGTTGTACGACCAGTTGCGTGCCACACAAATTCTGTTTCCCGATTGCGACAGTGAAGGGTCGTCGCGCGTCGCGCAAACATACACTAGCCGATAGACGTCCGCGCGCTCGTCACTGTGAAAAAGAAAAAGGAAACGGGACGCCTTCGTGAGCTTTCGCCGCGCGCTGATGAAAATTCGCGAGCAAACGATCGACACGACGCGAGAATGGCGGGGTTGGGTTGGGAAGATTCATAACGACGAAACGAAAAATTGGCCAACGGCGCCGTCATCGCGTGCATCGCTGACGAGAGAAAGATCGTGTGCGAGTGGCAATATCGCATTTCGGGCGCACGCTTGTGATATCGAACCGTTCGTTTTGTTTGACCGGCGCGCTTCATAAATCCGACTTACATGGTTTTGCGTGGGGATAATGATTGATTGCTTGCTCACTGGATTGACTAATTAGACTGCATTGGGGGAGATTCACTTGGATTATCGGTACGCAGTTCAATACCCCAAGTCTACACATTAAAATGAAAATCCTTGATATAAGAAAAGTGCAACGCGATATTTGCAAGACGGAGATTTTATTAATTTTAGCAGATATTTTTACATTATTTAGCATTGAAGTTCTAGCAAGTTTTCTCTAATATCAAATAATAGCCCGATAAAATTAAGAAATTTCCACTTGTGTGTTCTTATAAATTCAAAACGATGATTAATAATGCAACGATATAAATAAGTATTTGTAGTGTACAATGCAGAAAAGGAAATCCTCAGACTTTCTGTACATTGAAATAAAATTTTTTTAAATAAAAATGTTTCTCAACAGACGAAATTAATTCAAGCAAACAAATTCTAAATAAGCTGTTCAGCGTATAGAAAAATTTGCCGCAAAAAAAAGTTTTATTTTCTCATTGCAATTCTCTGGCACATTACAGACAGTCTAGTGAAATGAATTAGGTCATAAAGCCTCGAAACCCAATCTTTACATGGATTACAGGTGTTGGAACTGCTGGAGATATTAGGATTAAGCCACTGTTACGACACACTCTGCGGCAAACTGTCTGGCGGTCAAAAGAAACGACTTGACGTCGCGCTCGAGTTGCTCAGCAATCCATCAGTATTATTTTTGGACGAGCCCACCACTGGTACGTCACTTTTATCGTTTACAACTCAACTGTCCAGTGGCGCTGCTATCAAACTTTACGACGCCGTTAACAAAAAAAAATTTACGAGCTTCCGCATCTCGTGCGCACTTCGAAGTCGCGTGCCTTCGGGAATTCAAGCGAAAAGAAGCAAAAAACAATTTTATGACATATTCACGAGTAATACGCTTGATAAGTCGTCGTTATTTACTTTTGAGCTGTGCTACTTATATTGACTTTGGGAATCGTGTTAGAGTTGATCGAGATCGTATTCGTTTCGGCACATCTTCTCGTAAAGACGTAATTTCGTTTTGCCGAAATTCAACCAGCAGCAAGCCTTCTTTTTATCGTTATTCGCGGAATTTTCGATGTTTAACGTTACGAACTTTTCAGGATTAGACTCTGCCTCGTGCAGCCAATGCATAGCCCTCCTCCAGCGGCTAGCACGTAGCGAGCATCGAACAGTCGTCTGCACAATTCATCAGCCGAGCGCCTTACAATTCGAAATGTTCGACACGCTGTACGCGTTAGCCGATGGTCACTGCATCTATCGCGGCCCAGTATCGAATCTCGTCAGTCATTTAGCTTCCGTGGGACTTCACTGTCCACCTTACCACAATCCCGCCGATTTCCGTAAGTATTTGTCTATTCTATAAAATAGTCGTGAAATTTTGCGATACGATGCGTCATTGGTTGTTGCCCACAGTGCTCGAGGTAGCGATTGGCGAGTACGGAATCTCGACGGACAAGCTGATCACTGCAGTCAACAAATGTTACGAGAATCAGAAAATGATTGCTCCTCGAGTCAAACCTACGTTAGACGGTACGCATCGAGTGAAATAATAGGATACGTATAATGCGGGTGTTCACTGTAGTCGAAGGCTCTTACACAACTGTGTTTTTTTTTACAGACGACAGTAAAACGGAGAAAAACGAACCACCGCCGCCGGCGGGTTTTCTTGCTCAATGCTACCTGCTCTACAAGCGCCAATTGATGAGCTTGAAACGTGATTATTTTCTGCTGGTCGTCAGGCTGATGTGTCACTTACTCATCGGCATTATATTCGGTTACCTTTACATGGGCAGTGGTTATCGGGCTAACGGTGTCTTAGCCAATTACGTGTATCTTTATGGCTCGCTGCTACTCATTGTTTATACCGGCAAGATGGCTGTGACGTTAGCTTGTGAGTAATTTGAATTTTATATTTGTTATGTTCTCGTTGGTCTGTAACGATAGCTTCTCGTTGACCCAAAATTTGCGTTCGATGATTTTTATTCCACTATATAAGAATTTAGATTTTAAGTGCATAGATTTTAGTTGTTACAATAAGGGAATCATATCTTTACCTAAAAAGTCTTTTAAATATTTTTACAGATGAAACACCAATGTTTCTAATAATTTTATCATTCGTTACAGTTCCTTTGGAAATGCAGATACTAACGAGAGAACATTTCAACCGTTGGTACAGACTAGCACCATATTATATCAGCATGCTACTTATCGAAGTTCCATTTCAAGCCGCATGTGCAGCCACTTATCTGGCTGTCAGTTACTGGCTAACAGGTCAACCATTCGAGACCGAACGGATAATCATGTTCATGGTAGTGAGTATCGCTGCGAGTTTGTGTGCTCAAGCTTGGGGCTTTTTCATTGGGGCGACTACTCCCGTCAAGGTAACGTCTTTCGTAATAAACTCGTAAATATATATGAATGGAGTTGTGGCATTTGTTTTTGAAATACGACTATTTTGGTTGTTTTTATTTTGTAGATCGCAGTGTTCGCTGGTCCTATTATAGCAGTGTTGTTCTCGGTATTTGGCTTCTGCATACGTTACATGGACACACCCAAAGGATTCCGTTGGCTCTTTCACATTTCCTACTTCCGTGCAAGTTTTCACAGTCTTCTCATTACGGTCTACGGTAACAACCGAGATAATCTTTATTGCGAATCAACCCCCGACGAATTGAACTATTGTCATTACATCAAACCAACAATGTTTTTAAAAGAGATGGAAATTGTTAATGCGAACGTCGTGAATAATTTGGCGCTGATCGTTGGTATAGGGGTGCTGATGCATCTACTCACTGCCAGTGCATTGTGGTGTAAACTTAATCGACGGTAGTGTGTTAGTTGTTCGATAAGGAATGAATGCTTTTTTTGTTTTTGTTATGTACTTTTGTAGTTGAACGATCGTTGACTCGTTTTTTTATGTTGTTGTTTATTTTGACGGGTGAGATGCATTTCTTACACTTAGAGTGAAAATGTCAATGATTTTTTCTTTTTCGTAATTAACTACTCTTACGCAACTACCTTCTGTAACGAATATTAGTAAGTTCAGTATTTAAAATGATTCATTATGACTTGAGAAAATTCAAATACTTCAAAGCTCTACCGTAAGCTTTTAGTTGAAAATTGAACAAGAATTTGTTTTTGTCGACTACATTTGGATACGTTTTCTAGGTCGTCAGGCGATTTGCAAAAACACTAGTCTTACAATTTAGTTTAGTGAAAAAAGTGAAAAAACTCCGTGTGTAATTACGTAAGCTCTCAGATTTTTAATGATTTTATACGACAACAAATGTAGATTAATATTTGTTGTGTTTAGCCAATGTTTTGATTTAGTTAGCATAATCAGTCAAAAACTTAAGGGTACTACAATATTATCTACATATGTCAGATGGTATGCAATCCGTACTTTTAAAACTCTTATCGAAAGCTATTTGACTATGTAAAGATAAATATGTAAAATATATTTGTATAATGCGAATATTGGAAGTAAGTGGACGTGGCGATTTGGAGAATCAATTTTTGCACCAATGTTTTTTTTTCTAGTTATTTACACCGCAATCGCATACAAATCGATAATAATTTATAAATATTTAATTGTCAGGTTTGACACATTTTATACAAGATAAAATCGTACTAAACTTATCCAGCTTCTTTTCAGTAAATCATATAAGGTTATTTGATCTCTGATTACAAATTCGAATTGGAAAGTAAATGAAATAATAAAAAAAACTTGCTAGTAATATAGCGATTGCGAAGATGTCTAAGGTTTTACACAAAAATAAAACGTAACTAGTGTTACCATATTATATATAAAATTTTATGTTGTTTTGAAAGAAGAAAGAATAGAATGCCTATGTTCATGTAAACGAATCTCTCTATTCATTTTATTTTAGTAGTCATAATGGCTCTAATTAGTCCATTAGGCCGCGTTTTGATACTTACGTAAACTGGTTGTTTTGCACTGCCGCAACTCAACTCCACGATTATACGCGCCTCCAAGCAGATCACTCTCGCAAGGGATTAAAAGTCTACTATCGAGCGTTCAACTTTTGTTATTCACCTAGAAATAGAATCTTCGATAGATTAATTAAAATTATATCGATCAACTGCGTTCGTGATATTTGATTTAGGCGAGGGTATAATAATCCATAGCTGTTAAATGGATGCGGGAGTTGAGCGCACTTACGTCAACATGAACATCTGAAATCATATTTGCCAACATTTCTTTATAGCAGTAAAAAGAGAGGAATTTATATTGTTTTATAAATTCATATGTTGTATTTCGTATTTTTACGTATGTCACGTACTTGGCGATCATGTGAAACTTTACTTGTATACTTAATAAATTATATATAACTAATATAAAAAACAAATTGTCTTTTTTTACTACCATCTTAGGTCATTCGTTGAATTTATATATACCGAATTTGTATCTTTATTTTAACGATTATCATTTAATTTACATTTTAATGAACGAATATAGATCAAAACATTTATTGGCAAAATTGAAAATTCAAAAACTTAATATGATTTGATAAGAGACGTAGCTGGCAATGTTATTTATTGGTAAATAAATATGCAGTTACGTAGATACTCGTGTTTTTAAAATGTAATCAAAGAAAATAAATTAAATATAAATTCTAAGACGTTTATGGTTGTGAAATGCTGCACAATATTTTATCGTGATTATTAATCTATCGATTTATAGCTTTTATTACCTACTTTATTTATTCATAAATAAACTTTCGCATAGAGCAACATTTAATTAAGAGAGAGAGAGAGAGAGAGAGAGAGAAATTAGTGGTGGGTAGGAATATAATTCACGTGGAAAATATTTACTATTTATTGTTATTTGTTTGATGTATCAATCAATTTATCTATTGATAACGGTAATAGCAGTATACAATCCGGTAGAATACACAATTTTTATAAGCAATTATTGTGAAATATCACAATTTCATTTGCAACGTAAATCTTCCAAAAATACGAACTTGTAAAGTATTTGAACACTGAAAATATTCTTTTGGTAAGAAAAACAAAATCAATTTTGTCATCTATCCAATGAAACGGCAATCGCAGACACTTCCTTTCCAGCCTTTAGCGCAGTAGGGGACGCCGATGTTGCAGGGATAGGCTACGCAATGGGCATCGTAAGAACAAGCTGTACAAAAAATAGAAATTTAATTCGATTGACATTGTTTTTGATATTTAAAAAAATATTCAAGTATTTATGCTTTAACGATAAAAAAAGTAATGCGGCAATAAGTACACTTTGAACCGTAGTACGCATATTACAGTTTTTAAATCGAGTAAGTCAAAATTGAAATAAATGAAAATGAAGATAAATAGCTCGTTGACGAATTCAGCGACAACGTATTTATTTTCAATTTTCAAGATGATTTTAAAATAAATACTACGGGTATAATAAATGCGCAAACACTTTTAGAATATCGTCAAGTATTTTAACATCGTGAAAATTGATAGTTTTGATAAATCGCAACCAAATCGCAACTGAATTGAGCAGTAAGATTTATTTTAAATAGACTAATAAAAGTGTCATTTACTTACGCAAGCTTTGTGCGAAGACGACGCAGAGAGTAACGAGGAAAAGAGTAATCAAGTATTTCATCTTGGTTGATTAGATTTGCTTCAATGCGAAAGTAGCAAGGACAAACTGTATTGTCGAACGAACTTACCCACCGCTTTATACGCCTTTTAAAACGGCCAAAGAATAGATAGAGGTGGTAAAAATTTATTGGTGCAATGTGCGTCGCTGATGTGAATCCCGCGACGTAATCTTGGTTTTTGATAAGCACAAGTGTAACGAGTCGTTTCTTTGCAGCTGATACGAGATTCCTTGTAACCATACCGACTGCATGTGAGAATTAGAATAATCTATTCCGAAAGAGTTTTTTTTAAGAATAAAATCACAGTATGTATATAAAAAAATTAAAAAATTTTGTTCTCAAAAATATTATAACATGTATTTTATTTAATTTTTACATTTTCCATCGTTTTAGCTATTTGTGGTTCTTCAAATATTTATCAATTTATCTAATATTTATCAATGGTCAATTAAGAGTTTGTCAATGGTTTTTATTACGTATACATCGTTAAACCTGGAAATTATGTCAAACATCATGCGCTTAGACTTGTGAATCTGACGCCCAAAAAAATTTTTTAATCATATTTTTGAGTTTTCATAAGCTAAAACGTTTTCTCCCTTTTTCCGGATTATGTCTCCGCTTGAAATTTTATTTTCGGATTTTCCGTTTTTTGGAAAATTGCGAAAAAAAATCGGGTGTTCGTTCAGCGCGCAAAATGCATTAAACATTTTTCTCTTGTTTAAAAAGAAATAATATCGATAGCGGATGATAGCTCCCTATTCCCGGATCACGAAACAATTTTCCTTTTGTCGATTTTCTATCCACAATTGAGGAAAATGTAAAAATTAGTATTATGCGGCAGTTAGTCGATAAAACAGATCAAACATTTGCTAATCACCAGATATCCCTGTATAAGTTCTACAGTGTGTACAGTGCAGTGCTGAGGCTGAGAATCCGATCATTCTCTCGCAAACATCACAAACTTGTTAGGAGTTTAAGAAGTGGAGGAAATAACTTCTAATGTTCGTGATGCTTTAAATACAATACTTCATCCAGCCACCAATAAAGGCTTTATCTACAGAAGAGCAAGATCTTATATGGAAATTTAGATTTTATTTGTCTACTCAAAAAAAAAGCTCTCACTAAATTTGTAAAATGTGATAATTGGCGAGTACCTGGTGAAGAACGTCAAGCTTTAGAAATGCTTTCATCATGGGCTCCTCCTGATCCAGATGATGCACTTGAATTACTTGGTCCAGCATTTACACATCAAGCTGTGAGAAAATATACATTCAGTCGCTTAAATCAAGCACTTAAATCAGATGATGAATTGATGCTTTATTTGCTTCAATTAGTACAAGCATTGAAATATGAAGATTTTGAGAGCACAAAAGCAGCTAGTGAAGTTTTTAGTAGTAAGCGTTTATTAGGTGAAACTAATGATCAAGAATTCAAAAATAATAATGATTTATTTTCATCTAAAAACAATACTATTTCAATAGAATGCAAAAATGATTGTTTCTTAAATCCAAGTCCTCAGAATAACTTAGCTAGCTTTCTCATTACACGTGCTTGTCAAAATTCAACATTAGCTAATTATCTTTACTGGTACCTTTCAATTGAATGTGAAGACCAACTAGATCCAATAATTAGTCTCAAACAAGATACACGTGTAAGAGAAATATATGTTTCTGTTATGAAAATGTTCACCAATGCTCTTTCATTTGGAAACAGTGTTTGACAAAAGAGAAAAGCTTTTTTTGGATAAGCAGAAGGTATTGTGGATCAATTAGTATCTTTAGTCAAGAGAGTAGCACGAGAAAGTGGCAATCGTAAAAGAAAAATAGAAAGATTACGTGCATTGTTAGCAGATGATGCATTATTCAAAGTTAACTTTTCCAATTTTGAACCTATACCATTCCCTCTTGATCCAGATATTTGCATAAAAGCCATAAAACCTGAAAAAGCTACCCTTTCAAATCAGCATTGATGCCATCCAAGTTCACATTCCTTACAACAGCTAATACAGAATATATTGCTATTTTTAAAAATGGTGATGATTTAAGACAAGATCAATTGGTTTTACAAGCAATTGCTTTAATGGATAAGTTGCTGAGGCGAGAAAATTTAGATTTAAAATTGAGTCCCTATAGGGTACTTGCTACAAGTACAAAGCATGGATTTTTACAGTTTATTGAATCAACAGCAGTAGCTGAAGTCTTAGCTAATGAAGGATCAATTCTTAATTTCTTCCGTAAACATCATCCTTCAGAAACTGGACCATATGGTGTGGCATCTGAAATAATGGATACATACATCAGAAGCTGTGCTGGTTACTGTATTATAACATATGTACTTGGAGTTGGCGATCGACACCTTAATAATTTACTTCTTACAACCTCAGGCAAATTATTTCATATTGACTTTGGTTACATCTTAGGTAGAGATCCGAAACCACTACCACCACCAATGAAACTAAGTAAAGAAATGATTGAAGCTATGGGAGGAGTTGGATCTGATCATTATCATGAATTTAGGAAACAATGCTACACAGCGTTTCTGCATTTGCCTCGGCACGCAAACTTAATATTAAATTTATTCTCGTTGATGGTAGATGCAAGTGTTCCAGATATAGCATTAGAACCTGATAAAGCTGTCAAAAAGGTACAGGATAAGTTGCGATTAGATTTGAGCGACGAAGAAGCTGTTCATTATGTACAAAATCTCCTTGATTTATCAATGACTGCTGTTATGGTAGCACTAGTTGAACAATTTCACAAATTTGCACAATATTGGCGAAAATAAAGTGTTTTTATTTTCAAAATTGTATTAAATTTGTTTCAACGTAGCAACAATTTTGCTAATTTTGTGGATAATGATTACGATTAGGTATTTGCATAAAAAATATAAATAATCCAACCTTATTGTTTTATAGTTTTTGATATATTTTATAATACGACATATTGTTCACAATGTTTATCAATAAATATTGTATATGTAACATAAGCAAGAAAAATAAATTATATATTTGTGAGAAAATAAATATTGTTTATTTTAACCTGACCTGTATATTGAAGTATTTTAATAATATGCTACAATGAATTATTACTTTATACTGTTAAGAAGAATGGAAGTAAAATTAAGTTCGTTATTAAATAATTCAACAAATATAAAACTAAGCTATAAGTTTTTGATCAGTGATTGTTTTTTTCAATTTTAACTAGTCAATTCAATTTTTTTATTACTTTGTTCAGAATTATGTTATTTTATATAATTAAAATATTAATTATAAAATTGACATGTTGACAAACTTGTAGAAAACCTTAGAAAAAATTATTTATGTATATGTACATAAAATGTGAATGATTAATTGAGTAGAATTTGAATTACTTATTATAATTACGCACTGTAGAACTCATATAGGGTGTAACGGGGTGAAACCGTTTAATTATTATATTCGCGCGATTACATTAAAAAGACACGCGAAATTGTCAATGCTCACTACTATTCCGGGAGAGCACGAGAAAGTATGCGCCAGTCAACCGATAATCGTTAATAACCTATACTAAATTGAGTGGAAGCTATGTGAGATGAGAGAATCAATGAAAACACTTGTTAGTAAGGTAAATCAGATCTTTTATTATCCCTCAAAATTCACAAAAGGTCGGCCCGCGCGTTTGTTTACATGCACGCTCGCTCGTCGACAACACGCTTTGCCGGTACGCACGCTGCTCTTTGTTATTAGAGCCGTTACAT